CAACTTTATTCTTGACCGTCCATGACAGTCCTGCTTTCAGTATTGGCCTCTTGCCATGCACTGGTAAGGATGGAAGCTTCTCTTCTAACCTTCTTCGCTTCTGAGCGGATTCTGGGCTTGATTCTCTTTGTCTTTTCTCCATTGCTGATAGCTGCGGGCACTACTAAGATCAAAGAATCCTTTGGTTCTATTCCCAAGCAATAATAGAGCAAGTATATTGTGTGGTAGTCTGGTAGCAGTTTGGAAGTGTCTTGTAGCAAATGTATTTTTGGCAGAGCACTTACAGACCAGCTGTTTCGGGTCATAAACCCATCCTCAGAGTGCTTGGAAAGAATCAAAAAGGCTGAAAAACACATTAGTTTATTCAAGAGAAACAAAGAAACAAGACCCCAAAAGAAAAAACTAGTAAACATAGACTCTAAACAGACACACTTTTCTACCAGATGATTTCATTGTCCGAGTCTTGCTCAGGCTGAAAAACGAAATCTCCTCTAACCTCTGGGAGTACAACAAGTGGTTCTTCTGCTACATCAGTAGCCACTTTAGCTTTCTTCTGAGGATTGGACTTGTCATTTCCTCCTTTCCGCTTTTGTACCCTCACTGCTGCCACTCGGACTACAGTAGGTTCCCTGGACCAACAATCGGTCCATTTATGTCTGGACTTGCTGCACTATTACACAAGTCAGTCTATGCACTCTACCAATAGGGAGTACCGGAAGGTCATACCTTCAAGCATACTTCTGCTTTCCTTTTTTCTTCTAGAATATCCCCCGGGATACCCTTCAGTTCCACCGCTTTATCTTTGGAACTTGCTTCCTTCTGAGGTTTTGAGGAGCTTGCAGCTTCTCTCTTCCTCTTGGGGTGCCGTTCCTTCTCCGCAAGTGGATCTTTCTTGGTCGTAGCAGGTGCTTTCTCAGTTACTACTGTCTGGTACCTCTCATGGGTGTGCCCTAACTCTCTTAGAGCAGCTATCCGCTCCCTCAACGACTTTGGCTTGGAGGTAAAGAGAGCCCAACTCATGCCTAGATCCGGAAGGAGGGAACTGAGGATCTTATCATCCACTAACTGACCCTCATAGCCAGTCTTCCACATCAGCTGAATAATGATATTCAGGAAGGAGTCTATTCCTTCCTTAGCTGTGTGGGTAAGGGTATTCCATTGGGCTACAGCATCATCCCTAGAGATGGCCTCGCCAAAGGCTGCGCTGAGAGCATCCACAAAGCAATCCCAGTGCTTCCATCTCTCATCCAACACCACAGGCATCCCAGCTATCCAGTTGGCGGAAGCTTGGTCAATGGAGTTATGATAAGCTTCATACCACTTGACCGGAGCATCTTCTTCCATCAGGTTGCCAGCATAGCGGATCCTAACCTCTTCAGAGGTAAAGGACTGACTTTCAATGGAGAAGACATTCTCACATTGCCGGATGAAGGTCTCCACATTGTCTGCTTTGCCATTGAATTTGGCCGGAGGTGGTGCTTTGGGTTCTCGGGCCCTGGAGGCAGCGGAGGGGTGTGAGGGGGCCGGGGGTCTCATGAACTGGGACATGGAGACCAGAAGCTCCTTTTGCTGCTTCTCTAACTTTTTCCTGAGGTATCTCCGCCATCCTCTTCTGTCACCATCCTCAGGCTCCGAGTCTGAACTGTCTGAGTCCCCTCCTGGGTCGGGAGCGCCACCAACCGGAGGGACAATTCCATTTCCTCCACCATTACCCGCTGGTTCAGGGTTCTGGTTTTCTCCACCAGGGTTTCCTTCTGGCTGTAGGTTCCTCCTAGGTGACTCCGGGGGCGGTGAGCCTCTGTGGGATTCTGGGGATAACCCCTGGCGAACCCAGGCCGGAGGGAGCCCAGAGGGACCACTTCTGACCGGTGTCTGGGAGTAGTAGTCATCATCTCCTATAGGTTGTCGGGGGGGCCTAGCTAGGCCACCTGCCAAAGGGCTTGCTGGAGCTCTTTGAGGAGGCAGAGGTGAGCCTCCAATAGCCGATGGCATCATCAAGGGAAGAGTTCTCTGCCTGATGGACCTGATCGGAAACGCTGCAAAGGGGTTTACCCTTTGGTGGAAGGTTCTCAGGGCCACTCTGGACGAGGCCCTGGAGTTCTGCGGAGATGCGGGGTTGGGGACAGGTGCTGGTGTGGGCATTCTGGCGATGGAGAGCCTTCCTTCATTGATGGCTCTCTGAATATCTTCCAGGAAGTTTGGGGGCATCGCCGGGTTTGTCCACTCAATGTCTTCCATCTCATCCATTCCTAAGTCATCTCTCTGGGCATAACTCTGGAGTTGTGCCTGGACTGAGGAGACTTGTTGTTGCATGTAGCCAAAGGCATCCCTGAGCAGGACTGCCTCAGCTTCTTGTCTTTCTTGCACCAAGGCTAGCGCATTGCCGGCCATGATGACTTCCTGTTGCAGGCTGTGCTTAAGGTAGCGCTGCAACTCCGAAAAGAAGTCCTGTAAGGTGACTTTATTGGTATCTTGCCAGGTGGGCTCACATCCGGGAATGTAGGACTGTAGCGCCGTCCTGGGCTTGTGGATCAACTGTGTCTGACCCTCTTGGAATTCTAAGGCTGCCGGTTGCTATTCAATCTGAAGAGGCACTTGGGGAGCCGGGAGGGAGGACATGTTGTAGGAGGAAGAATAATCTGAAGGTGATTTGAGCACTAAAGATTATCTGTAACGGGGGCAGCCTCTTCTATGTATCGCTAGAATCCAATAGAATAGATGCGGCCGTGCAAGATAGAAATCAGGTGCAGATTTATTCAAAGATACTATCGCTAGAACTCAATAATCTTTAAGGGCTCTGCTACCGATAACAGGAGATGAGGATCCGGACAGTCGGGCGGGAATGACCCTGAGTACTTATACTCCAAAGGATTCTATTCACTGCTCCTTCTTCCTTCCTAAGTTCCGGTGCTGCCTTCTAGCGGAAGGGAAGCAATACCATCGCTACCCCGCTTCTCTCTAAGCGTCAGCGAGTGCTTCCGGTTCCGAAGGCAATGACCTTTAGGCAAAGCCTTTGTAACACCTGCAGTCTTTGTTGCCACACAACTGGGGCCTGCATGAATGAGCTGCCGCTCAGGTGTAAGCTTAATCATTGCTGTAGAGCTTTCGCTTATTGTAGACTTCCTAGGCATAATCCCTTCCATTACCGGCGGACTTCCCATGCTCAGAGGATGTAGAGGATCACCGAGCACTCAGAGCTTCACTTTGGCTGGCCTTCTAATCATTGGCGAGGCACAGACTCGTCAGTCATCGCTCCCATGAGTAGATCCTCTTCCTAGCGCTCAGACTGTAGTTACTCTGACAGCTGGTAGCTAACCACACTGCCGGTACTTGCATGTCACTGTGCAACTGGCTTCTAACAATAACTCTCGGCATGTAACCGGGCCCTGTGTGTACTCATACACCAGACAGTTGAAATGGCTCCGTTACATACTTAGACTTAGATTTCTGACGGGGGTCATTAGCAGTGTGTATTTGAAGAGAATGATTGTTATACTAAGCTTTCTGACGGGCGCGTTGGCGGCAGTGTGTATTTAGACAGAATGGACTTAAATTTCTGACAAAAGATTCAATTTTGAAAGCTCGTGAAGACGAGGACATTTGGCAATAAGATGAGCGTAGGATGGTGTAGTTAAAAGACGACCTGTCTGCGTTGAGCAACGCGTTTCTTAATTGGAGCTATCAAACGACCACGTTTTGTAGTCAAAGGATGAGTGGCAAAAATGGGTGGGGCATAAGATGAGGTTTTGTGGGTAATAGACGAGGTTTTGGACGCGGAAGACAAATTTGGACATCTGAGCGTGCGAATTCGTCCTGGCGAAACCCGTTTTTTGCGGACATGTGTTTACTTATACACCAGACAGTTGAAGTGGCTCCATTACAATTGTGAATCTATTCAGGCTTTTGTATTCCACCTTTGGGACTGGTTCCATTACTGGCACACTCTTTTTCGAATAGCAAATACACACACCCAGAACTTTTACTCTATTGCTGTGATTTGGTCTAGCCAACAGCTTCATTGTGTGAGAGGTTACATTTACCCAATATGATGCGATGCATAGTTATTTTCTAGCAGACAGGTGGATAGCTCAAACCAGTGGGCGCTACGCAATTTGTAAAGTTTTCTTAAGTCCTGCTTCTTGTTATTACTGCTATCAAGAATACATATATGACTGCCATCCCCGGCCCCCCAACCCCTATTACTATATATGTAACTTATGCGTACATATATTCTATTGTACTCGCGTCAGGGAAAAAGCACCAGAACATGCAAGTGAGAAAGCAGGGATTATTTGTATGGAGTGGCGCTGAGCTGCCATACAAACTAGGCATTTGCATGTTCTGGTTCTTTATCCTAGACCCGAGTACACAACCTAGGTTACTGTCATTCACGAGGTATTGGCGGATACGTTAGGTGATGGCGGACGGAGCAAAAAGAGACAGCCAAGCCAATTTTACCTGCAATTCGCCAATACCCAGTATCCACCAATACCCCGTGAACGACAGTACCGTGACCTAACCCATGCCGTATATCTCATGAAATTTCAGCATCTAAAAGACAAGGTAACATCTAGAGAAGAAATTCGTGCTACATCCAAGTGATCACTTATGATTTCGCCTCCAAAGGTTGTCTATGCGTCAACTGTTTTGATGGATCGTCTGGTACTTCAAGCGCGGACACCAAGACAAAGTGACACTGCGCTGCCGAGAACTAAAACCAATATTCACAATATATCACTCGAATTGTTAGCGAGAACGGGTTTCTCCGCTGCTGTTACTGGTTGTACCAAGAGACTTTCCTATCTGAGTAAGCTAGAAACATCGTTCTTGATAGGTGCATGTATTATGTGCCTGGATCACCTACTATCAATAGCTTCTGCTATCTATCTAATACCTATCGATAATACACAGCTTAGACCTAGACTACTGGGGTATTCTAAACTCGCTCTTGCTCTCGCTCTCGCTCCATATTCCCTTCGTCCTGTACAACTGCTTTCCTCATGGGAATATCTGCTTTTGCTCCTGCCTTTTCATTCCCAGGTGTAGTGAGGGACACCCGCACCGGCACACCTCAGAACCCCGCTATCGATAACGCTCATGGCTCTGAGGGTCAGTCACAGCCCATTAGGCAACCTATGGTCCGACATGTTTCTACACCTTCACTTCAGTCCCCACTGAGACACCACCAAAGAACAGCCTCAGTCGGTAGACCACCGATACGCGAAACATTGAATGCGTGTCTAACTTACGATGACGAGGAAGACGGGGGGCAGGGTGCCCGGATAAATCAGTATGCCTACTCAACGCGCAAAACTTAATATGCCCATTTCTTACAAAACGTGAATTATTAGGTATACTATTAAGCAAGAGATAGGCCGTGGATCCTTCGGCGCTGTCCACCTCGTAGAGGATCAGACGGGGAAGCGATATGTGAGACCTCTCGCCATTATCTCAGCCGATATTTACTCTCCTGGTTGTATTCATTCAGCTTGCTAAATGTAGTTGATCAGGCGATGAAAGAATTTTCAAAATCTCGTCTTCGCAAGAGGTCCCAATCCCATATCTTACGAAGACCCCATGCTGCCCAACGAAGGGGTGGACTGCTCTCCATACCTTCGCACAAGCAATCGGCTTCTGACATTCATAATCAAGAAGAGGCCGGCAACCCTCTCTATTTAATTCGAGAGGAAATTGCAATTCTAAAAAAACTGGACCACGAAAACGTTGCTCAGCTCATTGAAGTCCTGGATGATCCTGAGGGCGACTCTCTATACATCGTTTTAGAAATGTGTGAAAAGGGTGTGATTATGAAAGTTGGTTTGGATGAAGTAGCTGAACCCTACCCGCAGGAGAAGTGCAGGTTATGGTTTCGGGACATGCTTCTGGGAATTGAATACTGTCAGGTCCCATCCTCTCACATCATTTTATGATATGATATACTCACTACTCTCTAGTACACTCTCAAGGGATTGTACACCGTGATATCAAGCCTGATAATCTACTATTGTCGAAAGATGATGTTTTAAAGATTGTGGACTTTGGCGTGAGCGAAATGTTCGAGAAAAAGTCGCCAATGATGACGGCCAAATCAGCGGGCAGCCCTGCTTTTCTTCCCCCAGAGCTTTGTTATGCCGGTCATGGAGATATCAGCGGAACGGCTGCGGATATCTGGTCTATGGGGGTGACCCTTTATTGCTTGTTATTCGGCCAGCTTCCATTCAATCACTCTGGCGTCATTGAACTATACGAAGCTATCAAGAACGAGCAGTAAGGATTTCCAAACAACCTCGCGAACCGTCTTCTATTAACCTTTTCCAATTCTAGAGTATTCATCCCCGAAAATTTAGATCCAACTCTCGCGAATCTTCTACTACGGCTTCTTGAAAAGAACCCTAACCAGAGAATAACTATGTCAGAATTGCGGGTAAGTACCATCATATACCAGCTCCAAACGTAAACCTCTAACTCTTTCAAAGGAACATCCGTGGGTTACCAGGGGCGGAGAGGATATGCTGTTATCCGCAGAGGAAAACACCTCAAATGTCATCTCCTCACCTAATGAACAGGAAATGGCGTCAGCCATTACTAAAAGTATCCGAAACGTTATGGCGGTTGTATGTTTTTGACGCCTATGTTCTAGGGTGAACTATGTTAATACGATAATTAGGTTAGGGCTGTCAAAAAACTTAGGCGTCTAACGTTTAGACGCTCAAAAGGACCGTTATCGTCTTCGTCGGATAACACGCACTCTATATCAGACCCAAGCAACGATAAATTACCACAGCGATCTAGAAGTTTAAACACGGATAACAGGAAGCATCTTGAGCAAAAGCTAGCAGTATCTGGTGTGAGCAAAGCCATATCGATGGAGAGCGTTGCCAAGGCTTTACCAGATAAACCTAGACGGCTGGATTCGGCTATCGAGCTTGAAGATACGGACATGTCCGAATATCTACCTGAGGAATCCAAAAAAAGAGACGATGTTGATTGTGTCAGCGTCAAATCTACTGATCCTATCGGTTCTGATATGGGAGGGAGTTTGGTAAAGAAAAACGGAGAGAAAGCTCAGGCCGCCTCCCCCTTTAATGAACCGCCACTACTGCTTCACATTGGCACTGGAAGTGATTACCATATGCCTGAGGATACCGAGTTTGTCAGCGAATCACCTACACTTACAAATGAGAATGTATATGAAGAAGCATATCGAAATGATGTCGCACGCATACATCGAGAGCAAGGTCAAACGGCGAATGTTTACCTTACAAAACTGGTGGAATAAACCGAGAGTCTCATTTATATGTAATTGGTGCCATATTTGAATAATTAATATGGTATCAATTACTTATTAATTTCATTTTGGATCTGGGCGGGGGATACATCATTCTCTGGTTTTGAAATACGAGCATAATACCGTTGTTAGGGTATAGTTCAATAATGTACAGACATTATGAGGGAAACTCGTTACTGGAGATCTAATTTCTTTCTTTTAGAATTTGAAGGATATTTGTACAAGCTCAAAGACCCATAGTTTTTGCAAAGAAGTTTGCAAACTTTCTAGCACGAGGGTTCCTATTTGTAATGTTGGGAGTATATGCAAAAGCGTTAATCAATACCTTTACGCTGAATGTGCACATGTACACGGTGGAGATTCTCTGAGGATTCTGGAAATTTATCGGAGAAAGCTATTGCCGATGAGTCCGAAAAGGTATCACGAGCGACGATATTTTTTCTGTAACCTTAGCTTTTTATGATGCAGTTGCGGGAATGAATTATGCAAACTTGCCTGTTCACTTATTTATGAGCGATTTATGTTAGACGGTGGATATCTGGACAGGGCGGCCTTGGCCCAACTTCCTTCAGCAAGGTGGATGCGGACGTTTGTTATGACCCTTGTAAGCCGAACATTCATTGGCATGAGTACCAAAGTTTGGTATTCGATTGCTTCCCCTCCTACATCGAGAAGAAAATCCACACGTAACTACATGTGTAATACATCGTACGTATTTTCCAGTTTTTATATCTATATATAAATATGTATATTCTGGTCCTTTCTATCCTGACCTCCCCGCTAACGAAATGAATCAAAGCCCACCTGGTTAGGTGTTCGAGGACTTCCCGTAGTCAATAGAAGACGTCCTATCCAACTTCTTGGTTCTATAACTTCTCTCATCCTCGTCCCAATGAAATAATATTTATTGATTGAATAAAATTTCGACTTTCTCTATCCTATCTAAAGCAATCACCTTTCAGTGGTCGATATATAATAGAGCGAATAGAATCGATAGAACCATCCCATAGCCTACGGGAAGTAGTCCACTAGTATGGACTTCATGATAGAAATTGTACATATAAGTACCTGTAAATTCTGTGCATTAGTTACGGGTATACATGGAATTAACCATGGACCTTCCTCATTAACTTCTATGATACGGTACTTCCAACAATTGAATATGAACCGAGTGCTTCATACTTGTAATAACACAGGTTAATGATAAGACTAGCCCTGTCATCATTACAACGGAACATGTTCTACTGCATTATCAAAACCAGCCCCAATCCATATATCAGTCACACGAGTCTCAGCCTTTATGTACCTACATGTACACAGATACTGTAGCAATACGAAATTTCGAATTATACCGTAATTATGCCCTAGGATTGCAGCACCCTCGTACTGAACCCACCCGCTTTGGGGGAACTGTGGGCCCTACACACATATTGCAATAAGCGGTACTGGATGTGAACTTAGGCTCCGTTTGAATGACCGGTTTATTGGGTTTATTGGGTTTATTAGCAACTTCTGTAGAAAGAAAAATAAACTGAGTGTTTGGAAACCCGCACTCACCCTCATATACTAACTCCAATATTTTGAAGTTTCTCACAAGCGACTTGAATATAAGAATCAAAAATATTGTCCATATTTTTGCGCTAGGCCATTACAGGTAAAGTCTTCCCTACCTTAAACCGACAACCAAACAGATTGGTCTATTGTCACCTTCCACGGATTCAGTTTATTGAAAAATCAGAAAAATAAACCGGGGTGCATCCAAACGGAGCCTTAGTAAGTAGATTTGAGTTATGCCCAAACATGTATTGGTTAAATATTGTATCATCTACCCACACACGCATAGAGCTGTGATCGGTTATCGTTGTGGTAGCTTGTCTATTTCTGATGCGTCGTTCGTTCATACAATTTCCCCTCCTCACAAATTCTGCAAAACCTCCCCCGCCATCCGGCCAATCCTCGCCTGCGTCCCCTCCTCTTCACAGCCTCCTTCTTTCCCCCTCCAGAGCAATACACAGTTATTTCTAGATTCTTGAATCAACTTCTTCCATTTGTCTAACCCCAGCTCCTTTTACTTCCCCCTCTTCCTTTTCTTACTCTTTCTTTCCCCCTCCTGTTCTTGTATCATCTTTTCTTCCTGTCCTGCCGTCATCTTGTTCCCCCCACCGTCATTGCCTCTTTTTACGCTCCCCTCCTCCTTCTCAAACTTTATTACAATTCACTGTGTCCTCCTCTCTCTCGCCGCACTCCCTCCGCCATCGTGACTGTCTCCGTTGTCCCAGTTCCATCTTCAATCTCGCCCGCTTTCGGAAAGTTTTGCCCGACTATCCATAGCACTGTTTTTTTCCATCTAGTGCAGAAAAGCTTGTCAATCGCCACCATTCACTTTTCCACTCTCCTCCCTCACATACTACTGCTACACCAATAACAATGATGGAACCGCCGCTGCAGGCAAAGCAAGCGCAATCCACTATTCCTACAGCCATCTCGAATACCACTTCAAATAATAATAATAAAACCCCTTCTCTTCTTGACGGTCGATCCTCGCCAACGAACATGCGACAGTCGTCCTCCATCTCCTCCGCTACACCTTCAGCCGCGTCCTCGCCAATTATCTACCCTATACCTGGGCAAATCGCCTCAGTGTCAGGGTTGCCCTCTTTACCCGGATCAGCCTCGGCGTCAGGTACAGCAACGCCGTCCACCGCTGGAGAAAAGAAAACGATATCTTCTAGGTTGCAACGCATGTTCTCGCAAAGTGGCGGGAAAGTTAAGGACGAAAGTAAACCTGCTTCACGCGATCGACACGTCGTTGAAGGGGCCACCTCGGATAACGAAAGCGGTCGGGAGCGAGAAAGGCCTCAAGTCCCTGCTCGGCAACCATCATTAACGGAAAAGAAGCAAACTCCAGCCATCACGAGCTCGATCACAGAAGCTAAGAACGGAATATTTCCCGTATCTCAAAAACGTTTCCAATCATTCGCAGATGGCTCTCATGAACACCACCTGCGCAGTGCTAAGCGGCAAGAGAAATTATCAGATATGCTTCGGGATCTGCTTGTTGGAAAACGGAAAGAGGATCACAGCGGCGAACATGATCGGCTGAGCCTTATGTCTACTTGGGTAGATCAACTCAAAAATGAGAAAGAAAAGCTTGCAACCGATAAAAAGGGAGGCCCGAATTCTACAGCTACGCTTGTTGAAAAGTATGGAAAATGTCAGGAAATCATTGGCCGTGGGGCTTTTGGCATTGTTCGTATCTCGCATAAGGTGGACCCTAAAAACGGCCACTCTGAGCAATTGTACGCAGTGAAAGAATTTCGCCGTCGACCCCAGGAATCACCCAGAAAGTACCACAAACGACTGACCTCTGAGTTTTGTATCTCATCTTCGTTGCGACATCCGAATGTCATTCATACCCTTGACTTACTACAGGATGCAAAGGGAGATTACTGTGAAGTAATGGAATTTTGTGCTGGAGGGGACCTATACACTCTGGTTCTTGCGGCGGGGAAACTCGACGTAGCAGAAGCAGATTGTTATTTCAAACAATTAATGCGTGGTGTGGAATACATGCACGAGATGGGCGTAGCTCATCGGGATCTCAAACCAGAGAATCTTCTACTCACGACTACCGGTGCACTTAAAATTACTGACTTTGGTAATGGGGAGTGTTTTCGTATGGCCTGGGAGAAAGAAGCCCATATGACTTGTGGCCTGTGTGGCTCAGCACCATATATTGCGCCGGAAGAGTATACGGATAAAGAATTTGATCCTCGGGCCGTAGATGTTTGGGCCACGGGTGTTATATACATGGCAATGCGTACTGGGCGACATCTATGGCGTGTTGCGAAGAAAGACGAAGATGAATTCTTTGAGAAATACTTGGAGGGAAGGAAAGACGAGGGCGGCTATGCACCGATTGAAAATCTGCATCGAGTGAGCCTACAGTTAAATCCTCTTCCAATCCAAAATACTGATTCATGCTCAGGCGAGATGTCGGAATGTGATATATTCAATCCTCGATCCTAATCCTACAAGGCGAATCACAGCTTCGCAGGTTTTAAAGTCCGAATGGGGTAGGGAGATAAAAGTCTGCAAAGCAGGTGAGGAAGGTATGTTCAATATTGGCATAATTCAACTTTCGTATAGAAAATCCTAGTATCTAAAGAACCATTCCCATTAGGAATTTAGCCGAAGGTTTTGAGACGCCAGGCGCTTGAATACTACCGACGACTTCTACCTATGATCCAGCAGCATGAGATCTTACCCGAAGCGTCTGACATGAATTCCATCAACACCTAAAATTATGATTCGTCCTCTATCTGTAACCTATCTGTTCTTTGTAATTTGATTTTCTCCCACGCAGGAGATTTCTAGTCTGGCGTTCAAGGCAAAAGGGAAAACCCCTGGAGGCATTGGTTTATTGCTTACTTATCTTCTTTGTTACAAGGATTTCTTTTCTTTTCATTTCATTTTCTTTGATCACACAGTTCTCATTCAAGGGTAATGATGCTAGCTTGTGAATTTGCTTTCAGACATCGAATTTTGATTATTCCTTCATTTCTCGGCGTATTAGGAAGTTCACCCTACCCATAGTACCGAGAATAGCACACGTATTCAATTTACATACAATTATTCCTTGGCTGTATGTTTGGCAGCTAGTTTTGAGTTATAGAATAGGGCCCAGTGATTGGTGCGTGTGTAGCTCGCTCCGCGTGAACCTTACGGAGTCGATAAAGTAAAAATACTGATAAACAACGTCGTCGATACTGTTGTTCGCTAGGTGATGGATACTGGGTGTTGACTAACAAGGAATTTAAGAGCTTTACGGAAAATTGTTTAGCCGCCTAGAAAAGCAGGGTTACCCGAAGTGATGACGCAATGATTCGGTTTGGCCCTAGTTTGGTCTAATTCATCATGTGAATAGCTCAATCACGTGGAAACCCAGGGTTCAAATAATAGTAGGCTGTCTTGTTAATCGAGTGATTTCTTGTGACGGGTATGGGTTATTTAGCACTAGGTAGTATGGTTTTCGAGAGAATTGGTTCCCGCAAGCTTTACCTGTATGTGACGCCATTATCAAATGTCTACCCCGAGTTACTTAAACCTTTTCTTTTACCCATAATATATAAGCGGTACTGGCGTAATGCACATATACCGGGAGTGATTTAGGATTCTAATGTTCACCGCCGTCCCATAGCCCATCGGCGCCGACACCCCCACGTAATGGATGGTCAGTACTTGGGCATAGGACCTACCACATCTATTAGACCTCGTTCGGGTTCATCCGATAGACTGAGCTCACTTGGTTTTTTTCTGTACTTTTGTGATCTCGAAACTGCTCTGACAAACACCATAACAATACTGAATCGTTGAATAAACGCCAGGTTAAAGAATCACCACCTATCTTTTCAAAACACGAAAAGAGTTTGGCAGTTGAGCAGGTCACCCGATTGTACCTAATACCATGATTGCCGGTACTGACATATAAATCAAGGAGTCGTTTAACGCTGTGAAGCCTTCTATCGTATATTATGAGAAATATATCCCGAAATTAGCCAATATCCTAGTGGCTTGAGGTATTATGTCCTAAAACTATATCTGTAGTAAGATACGCTTAGGTATATAATCATGAGGGAGTCAGAACATCTCGCCGACCCTATTGCGTAGCAGCGACAACTATAGAGAATCCATTTTAGTAAAGCATTCAGTCCTGATATAAATGTAGCCTTCGGTATTATATCGATAATCGGCTACATTTTCCGCTGATTGAGCACTCGGGTAAATTACTTAGGGTAATTGTGAATCACATGGCATCACTCGCCCTATAACGGCTCTTATTTCTTAATTTGTGAGCCATTTATTAGAGCGACACGGACATCCATAGCCGAAAGCAACACAAAATATGATGAGTATCTAATAGGATTAACCACCTAGTAGATATCTGCTTCACTATTTGTAGTATCTCTTGGATTATTAGGCTCACTTAAACCCCTTTGCCGTAATGCCCACGGCGTAAACTACCCACTCCCGACATATTTATAAAATTCAAGCCTGTCTCATTCCTTTTACAATCATTCGTCTAATAGGCAAAGGCATAGGACAGAAGCGCTCAACAATTGCTAAGAAAACCGGACTCGGAAAGTTTCGTGCTAGCCGCAAATGCAACGCCCTTTATTCTGATATAAGAGTACTGAACTATTTATAATTCAAGTTCTCAACTGTTCAGCTAAGGGTACATGTAGTTATTTAGTTATCTTAGTTAAACTCAAGCTTGTATGTAGTTTGAATCATGAATTCTCACTCGCTAAACTGCCGAGACTATATACAAGGTTGATTGATTGATTGCTTCATTAATTGAACTATGTGCAAAGTGAGGGATTACAATAAACCCTATGCCTGCAAACAGTTAAAATAAGCACTAAATCAAGCCTCGGGACCATTAAAACACGACATTTCCTCGAATAAGCAGTAATAAAGGAGCAAAATAAAGCTCCATAGCTCCAAAGCCTCAGAAAGACGAGGTGTCATATTTAAAAAATAAAATAAAAACCTGCTGTATCGTCAGATATCGTCCTCAAATCGAGTGAGGTAGAAGAGTTGTAGTTACATCAATAGATTCAAGGATCTTCTCAAGATCGATACCGAGAAGCTTATTTATCCCCTTCGCGGATGTAGTCAGTTGAATTATTTCTGTCTGCTACCTCCGTTTCAGATGCTCCGATACTTTCTACGTCCCTAGTGAATTCTGTGTGCGTCATTATGCCATCAAGTGGAATTGACCCTGGGTGTCGACATGTACTTGAACCGGCCTCAATCTGCGTGATGACTTGCCCAGAGCATGGCGTCCTTTTTTCAAGATTTAGATCCCTAAAAGCTGACCCGTGACTGATAGAGGATTGCCCATATTGGTCTACAACAGTTCTTAGACATACGTGGCAACGAGAAGTGCGTGAAGCCACTTCATCTTGGTGTGTAACCCAATGGAGCACCAATACTGAGAAAAGGACTAGAAAACATCTATGGTCAAAAATCGAAGTTATGCAAGTCGAATAAAAGGGCACATACTATCACTATTGCAGACAGCAAAGCACACCCAACCAGGCTCTCTTCCGCGGAGTATAATGAGAGATACTAGGTTACTTTCTAGGTGTCAGAAATAGGCAAAGAATTAGGAAAGAAAAGAAAAAAGGATATCCTGCAGGCGTACCCAAGAGTTGAGATTAGAGTCAAACAACTCCCAATAAAGGTGCGTAAGGCAACCTGATGAAGGCGGGCTTGTTTAGTTTTGGCCCCATTATTAAATGTATAAAGGCCTAACAACATTAGCGCCAGAAGCACTTGATTAGAACCTCTGAGAATCAAATTCGTACCATGTAGCGGTCTTAAAAAGAGATATGTCAAATAAACCTGTAATGTCGATGTTATGAGCTAAATATAATCTTATCAATAGCGAGAGTGGTAAATTCGTACGTTTATGACAAAGTCAAAGATCAGGAGCGGTATGTTAGCAGGAAGTTTCAGGCCAATCTTGCATTCTCCATCCTCAGTTATTACAGCATTTCGACTATATATAACGAAAATATTAGCGTGACCGAAATAGCTGGTATACCTGTGATTGATGACTTACTATATGAAGGTCAAAACAATGATGACAAGGTAAGGAAGCATCATCCCGAAGCAATTAAATACGAACAGCTTGTCTTTCCAGCGGGAGTCATTGTTACCGCGTATAACATGTACCTATTCAAGTCAACATATATTTAGTAGGAATCAAGTACATACATATGTAAGTAAGTTATGCCAAATACCTTTTCAACTAAAAAAAAATATAGCAGAACTTTGGAACTGAGGTAGCAAACAAGGCACAAAAGGATCCCGGTATCACAAGCTTGGTGGCTACTATTGAGACCAAAGCTTGCTTGTAAGATAGTACTCGATAGTACGAACAGCCAGCTATCGAAGAATACGGCCAGAATTACTACATGTAGGTGAGGTTTCTCAATTGGTTAGTTAAATAGTAGCAAATCAACTGTAATTAAGATGAAGAAACTAACACCACCGAGCCAGGGCCAAATTTCTCACATCGCGCACACTGGTGAGTCGCCTAGCTAGACAAAAGCTCACAACGCTAATGGCGACCATAGCAAGCGATATACTTGATGCAAACGACCCAGGTGACATTTTATTCCCACCATGTATACCATCAACTCTGGCTGTATCGCCCATGGTTGGGGTAAAGAAGATAGTTAGAGACCTTAGCAGGTAGTGATAATAAGATTAAGAGAAGATCCAAGAGATTTAGCAGGCTTGTCAGAGGAGTTGTAGCGGTAAAGATTGTAAGATGGATTGACTATCGGACGAATGAAGAGGATATTTCCTATATTCTGGATGAGAGGAGTAAGATTTGGGAGCGACGATTAACGAGAAATATCTCGGTAACAGATCTCGGAGATTGTGGTACTGCAGGTGTCTAGACGATGACAGCTTGGTTCCCCCAAGCCCGGAAATCTCCCAATATAAGAAGAGTCAATTCTAATATGTAAGCGCATTCTAGGTAGTGGGTGTCCTGGCTTCTCGACCCACCGGGATTCGCCGAGCATGGCTGGTCACGGCTCATCCATAGGCTCATGTTAAGGAGTACGTGTAGATTGTGGCTATCACTCTTTTTCTTTTTTTGTACCACCATTTCATTTGACAGCGATAGCTGACGATGCTATGAACATAAGTACTTCAATGTATCTACCGCCTTCTTTAAATTCTGGAGTACACCATACACTACTACAATTCCGCACAACCAACATACACAAGAATTTATATTAGCCTAGTCTCCTCTACGATCTACTAAATTCTATGAGATAGCACATTTCTGGTGTATTTATCTTACTTGTATTTACTGCGAGAATAATCTTCCACCAGTTCTTAGTACGAAAACAGGGTTAAATGCCCAAAAATCGTGGCAAAACTTCTATTCACAGTAAGTAGGACTATGAGACAATTGTGCAAGCCTTCAAGTACGTGGATGTGTATCAACTACACGTATGTAGGTATGTAGATGCGTGTAATCGTGTACTACTACAGACATGTATACAGTCGCTGCTATAACGAACGTGCATATTGAGCAACCTTCCGCTCAGTATAGCAGATTATTCGGTACAGCAGACCAAACTCTTTGCCGGGGAGAAAAAAAAGCCAGCCCAAGTGGCTCGGTACATTAAATATACAAGCGTTCGCTACAACGGCGGGCGACTGTACACATTGTTAAAATTGCCAAGAGTAAGGAAATGATCACTGAGCGTCATTTGGGTTACAATCCTGGATGGTTGCAGAATAAGGTTTCTGGTGTACGAGTGGCCTTGACCGGCCGCGCATTATTAAGGTGTGAGGGCGTGCCGCACTTGCTGAGACATTTGGCCCTGGTTTTCAGCTACTCCATGGCCATATATCACGGCTGCCCACTTGCCAGGACTTAGGCAAACTTTGCAATCTGCGCAGCTCCTTTCTAAATTTGACCTGTCGTACTCCGTTTATTTACCTAAATCTGCATGTAGTGTGTGGGTTTACCATGGCCACAATTGTAGATACAAGTACCACTCTAGTACACTGCTCTACTCTGTGCGCCTCTATACTCTATATACTCGTGTATACATGAATTATCTCTAGGTATCCATATTAGCGCTAAGAAAGACATTTTTAACGTAACTTCTAACCCACTTACGTGTCACTACACTGAGCTAGAGTACTTAGTTAGGTCCACTAATCACGTGGTACCACACAAGCAAAACCGGGACTGACTGGTTACGAGGCTACCCAGCGATCATGGATTCAGTACCTACATGTACACGTCTATTCATAGCATTTCCGAACACGACCAATATTGCATGACATACAAAAAGCGCTTTTTGTATGGTAAACAGTAGCAGTCGTGTGCGGAAGCGTCATGAAATTAGTAGTACATACCTACTTCGAATAGGGGGTTGCATTACTCGAATACGAGTCTGCATTGATGGTCATCTAATTTAATAAGCCTTGCAATAATAACCATGTACTATACGCCGTGGTTTGTGCTGCATGCGGTGGTTGTACCTGGGAACAATTAATTCACTGGATTTAAAAAAAAAAAAAACATAACCATGTACTAGCTACCCACTAAGGATGGTGCGCCTATTGTGAAGATCACCCGGCCCCTCTTCGTTAATATTACTACTTGTATATAGTCTACTTCTTATTTCCTCATATGATACACTACATGTACATACTTAAATTAATATACTATTCACCATCATGATATTTCACTCGGATCTATAGAGTAGTTCCTGTGACCATATATAAATGTACATGACCTCATTCTCAACCACAAACCACCGCGTCTGCTCGATGGATGGAGATAGACAGAAATATATATATCAAAATTCTATCATGACAAATTAACGGTTTCATATTATCAAATTAATTGCCTGATCTAGTATATCATGTGATATTTACCGGCACAATGTTGTTTATCGCGGCATCCACGTTTGTCCAGGCCATTACCTTTGACAGGAAGATACTATAAAGGTGTCTAGAACTACATGTATACCTTTTAGGGGATATGTACCTAGAACGTCGAAACCGATGTACTAGATTCCATGATTTCTCAACCATAAGAGATCGAGAGCCGATTTTCTCACCGGGTTATAATTATTTCAAGGTTAATATGATCATACAGATATCTCCACATTAATAATGTTTTCCAAGGCTTTGCTACATGCTTGATCTACTGTCTAACAATGGCTTCTTGCTTAGGGAGTGGGTGTTTTGTGCACATAACTTCTGCACTGGAACTGAATTTAGGGAGTGTGTTTGTTATGATAAACTATTGATACTCACTTTCCAAACGTCCCTATAGCCTACTAGGCCTGGGTACGTACCGAACATCTCTTTAACGGGTAAATGATCGATCAGGTGAATATATGGTTGGGCATGGGGGCGTCTTTTACAGGCTCCCTATGTACTTGTTTACCACGAAAAGAGCCAGAAAATGCAGTTGCTCAGGGCAAGGATTATTTGTATGGAGTGGTGGTGATCTCTCATACAAACTATCCCTGTTTCCGTCACTTGCATTTTCTGGTTCTTTTCGTGGTAAACGAGTACATAGCTACATGCCAGAACATTGTATATACAGTCGCAACTCGATATGCCGGACCTCAATACGCCGGATCCCTTGCTATCCCGTACGAAATCCTCTGGGGGGTTTTTTTTTTTACTGCAGGGTCAATTTGCTATCCCGGATCTTTTGCTATCCCGTATGAAATCCTTCGAATCTTGGCAGTCCGGCATATCGAGTTGCGACTAAGTCCCTGCCTACAAGTGCCTGCCCACGGCCGCGGGTAACAGACTGAGATTTGAATATTTTTAGGTCTATTCTTTTGGGCAACCTAGCGAGAAGTACAGACTATGTCAATATATGTAGCTGGGTCTATAGATCTAGATTTTGTCCAAATCCCATACGACCTTGAAGTCTTGACGCGCCACATTTCTCGAAAATACATGTATGGCTCGAGAAGCTATGGGGGGTAGTGTGTAAACTTCGGCGTTTTTTTTTAAAGAATCGGCCAATCAAACTATAGAAATTGGCCATAATGGTACTAGCGCCTAGACTAACCCTGGCATTTTCTCAGATTCCCATACAAACGAAGTTGACACACCCGCCCTCTAGGCCTTCTCGCGCCATACGCAGTACGTAAATACATACAGATATGTAATTAAGGGATGGTATTTGTAGGATTTCTCGGGTCGTGAAACATATATGAGCTACACAGATTTTCCTTGCGTACTGTAGGTACCCGGGTGCGACATGTGGCGTCGCAACTCGATATGCCGGATTGCCAAGATTCGAAGGATTTCATACGGGATAGCAAAAAATCCGGGATAGCAAATTGATTTTGCAGTAAAAAAAAAAACCAAAACCCCAGAGGATTCCGTACGGGATAGCAAGGGATCCGGCGTATTGAGATCCGGCATATCGAGTTGCGACTGTATTTGTTGACCAATTAGCTACTAGTACTAATATGTTCTTAGCTGCTTTCAACGCTTGGACTGTGGACCCCAACTCCAGACCTGGCTCGAAAGCTGACCCTAGTCACTGGCCCCGCGAAGCAATACATACATGTGCTGTAAACTGAATTATATAGAGGTTGTGGGATATGACGAACGAAGAGTTACACCAGAACAGACATAACTCAACAGAAACCCCCCACCCAATCACCCCCAATGGATGTTGGTAACGATGGCCTGATTTCCCTCAAGGACGAAATTGCGGACCTTGAGAGTCGCTTGAACAAAGCGCGGACCAATCTCATCGCCGCCTCCAATAAGCCGGATAGCTCACCTAGCGGTACCCAAGCGTCTACTATCCACGGTACCCAAGTGTCCACTCCGCATCAGGTACAAACCGAATCGAAGACACATTTTCTTCTTCTACTCTCGGACTCTGCGCTTCCTCTTGGTTCATTTGCCTTCTCATCGGGCCTTGAATCTTATATTGCCCACCAGCATGGACAGCGTACCCCTCCCCGACGCTCAGTTGAACGTTTTCTCCGCTTATCGATCCATTCCCTCAGCGCAAGCACCTTGCCGTTTGTGATAGCTGCGTATAAGACGCCCATAGATTCGCCCATTCTCGACGATATCTTTGATGCTTCTACAACTTGCTCCGTCGCTCGGCGTGCTAGCATCTCACAAGGCCGCGCACTCCTAAGCGTCTTCGAGAAGTCATTTTCAACATCGTTGCCGACTTCACCACCAGACATGGAGGCATTCGAAACTTACCGCCAATCGCTTCGCTCGAAGATTTCCGAGGAGCGCGCGAACGGCCACTTCGGGGTTTCTTGGGGATTGGTTTGTAAAGTTTGTGGGTTGGACCTGGAATCTACATGCTATCTATTCCTGTTCAACCATGCCAAAGCTACACTGTCTGCGGCTGTTAGACAAAGCTTGATAGGGCCGTATCAAGGCCAAGCTTTGCTAGCTACCGAGTCAACTCGGATGTATGTCAGGGACGGACTAGACCTAGGTGGGCGTACAAGTATAGATAAAGCAGGCCAAATGGTTCCCACTTTCGATATTTATCAAGGTCGTCACGAATTGCTTTATTCTCGAGTGTTCAATTCTTGAAATATCACTATTCGATGGGTTGATAACGAAGGCTTTTGTGTTCTTTTAGACAAATGTAATTACTCTATTAGATTTGCAGTGCCGGTTCAAGCGCACACCATGAATACCCAAGTCCGCTTTCTCTGCACCTAACATTCAGGTGGGAAACGCAGGTTCGAGAAGCAGTACATGTAGTTTTGTACATGGTTTACATTACAAGCAAATTAGCCAACAATTTACCATAAAATATTGTCCTCAAAATAAAATCCTCCAGCGGTTCACTACATGTAACTGATACGTTACTGTTATGGTGAGGCCACATCCAGACTATATACATCCAAATTGGCATTTTGAAATAGAGACTAAGGAAACATGACAGTATGGCAGTATAACAGGAATTGATGCAATATCATTCATCCTTCATTTCGATAGACCGCGTAGAAACTATGTAGTAAAAACACTCGCATACGCCTAACCCTTACACAAGAAGGAAAAAGCAAAAAAATAGTAAATAGTAACCAGAAATAAAAAGCCCTACAATTAAAAACACAAATAAATCATAAAAACTGCCTCTAAGGAAGGATGGTTCTGAGTTGGTTCTTTTGGTCAGGCGTCAATGATGCAGGAAAAACGATCTGTATCCACAGGTTAGCGTATATTTGAAAGGGCAGGCTAGGTATGGCTATGATACTAACATTGACCTTTACAATGAGGTTACCACGCTCAGTAGGGTTCTTCGATATTGGCATGCCCTGTCCGGGGAAGCTTTCCTGCCATGTTGGCGGGGTTGGTCCAGCATGTGCTACTTTTAATTGCTTTCCATCGATAGTGTTTACTGTCCTCGACCACCCAAGCAAAGCATCCTTCAACGGAATTGAGAGTGTTATGATTAGATCATCTCCATCACGGACAAAATACTCATGAGGTTTCTATTTCACTTGTTTAGGTTTCTGGCGCTGTAAGAGTTGATTTCTGACCAACTTACCTCTTCAATAATAAAGTGGAGATCTTGCTTTGATCCATCGATTTCATCCCCAACACCCTTAAATTTGAATTTTGATCCAGCCTTCATGCCAGCCTTGACAGGAATATCAAGATCCTTGTCTTCCCTTGATATTTTTCCATCTGCATCGAAAGTTTTCCTCTTGACACGTAGCTTCTTTTTTGTACCACTGAATAACCTGCAAATCATGTCAGTGTTCGGAGCTTCATGAAACCGCTCAAAGAATTCCAAGAAATAATGGGTTAAGTATGGACCAAAACTTACTCCTCTAAAGTAAATCCGATGTGCTTCTCCAAAACTGTTGATTCTGGAGTTTTGCTCCTGCCATTCATTTCTGGCCCTCTTGAAGACCCAAACCTCTGTTCCGGGAACCCATGGCTATGATTACCGCGACTAGCGCCTCGACTACCACCACCGCCAAGCGGACTCCCAGAGCCGAATCCAAAATCAAGGTCGTCAAATCCCCCTTCCATTCTGAAACTGGCAAATATATCCTCTGGGTTTCTAAAGCTGAAGTTTTTGAAATTGGACCCGGAGAAAGAATATGAGCGCCCTCCACCCATGCCAGGGAAGTTGCTTGGAAAGGTATCCGACCGGCCGAACGATGGGTGAGGACCACCGCCGCTATTTTGCGGCGGAGGCGAAGATGTTCCGCCACGAAGGAGGTATTCAAGACCGAACTGATCATAAATTTTTCGTTTTTCCGGATCTGATAGGATTTCATATGCTTGTGATATTTCTATTCGGGATTAGTCTTTGTTCAGAGTCTACAGGGAGCATGCACTGATTAGAATGGGGGTTGAACATACCTTTGAACTTTTCAGAAGCAATCTTGCTGTCCTTGTTCTTGTCCGGGTGGTATTTTAAAGCACCTTTTCTTTAAAGCTGGTTGTCAGTATGCAGTGTTCCTGTTCTATAAGAGATATATATGCACAATTATATCTTCTGAAGTGGGGGTGGGGGTGGATAGAGAACTTACCGATAAGCCTTCTTGATGTCGTCCGAAGAGGCATCAGGCTTGACACCTAATGTATCGTACAGCTTTGATTCCTTCACCATGGTGATTTTTAATAGATGGAACACGCAAAGGAGGGTTTATTTGTTTGTGTGAATCGATGGATATGCAGAGCGAGGAAGAAAGAAGCGACAGCTGATTAACTTAACGTGAACTCAAACCGAGAAGGTAGAACAAGAAGGAGACGACGGGACTCGTGTGCAGGTATATGTAAAAAAAAAAGTGCGTGGAGCAAGAGACAAGGGTATGATGTCAGGAGAGCCGTCTACTGGTTGTCGATGGTGGGTGGGGATTTAATCGCTGTGTAAGTATATTCACAGTATGCTTGTAGATGCAGGATATCTCGACTCTACCCACGCTTGTGGCAATGAGAGTTAAGCGGGGATATGAGATGTGACGACAGCTGGGATATAGGAAGCTCAGCGTGTGATGAAGTCTGACTCTGCGAGGTTAACTATGACTTTATTAACCGACAGCCTAGAAGTTTCGAGGCCGGACAACAGCACCAAGTAGAAGGTATCGAGGCACGTAGTATGTGGATGATAACTTTTACGAATGTGTTTGTTTTAACTGCAAGTTAACAACAGGCATATATGTCAAGTCTCAATATATAGCCCACAAAAAGTTGGTGGTGGGAAGATTGAGCACTTAGAAGCGCTGAAGCCTGAGGGGATCCTCCTACAGTGGCCCGTAACTGGCGTTTACGACAGAGCCTCTGGAATGTTCTCTGACCCTCTAGTTTTTTCCGTCGAAACCACCTCCATGTCAATTCCCAGAATGTCCTTGGAGGTCATTGGCCACCGTCCAGGTTAACGAAATTGTTTTGCGGTGTTGTTTCTACATAGGCGAGGGTACCTAAATAACCAAGTGAACTTTATCAACCATTTTCCATGGCCATTGGCCCGCAATCGAATACATCGTGGTACCACTTGGCCTTTTTTAAATGCGTGTCACGACCCTGATCACTGAGTGAGTCCACCTAACTACATGTACATGTACTGGCGGTATATGTTTGCACATTAAAAGTTGTGCGTACTACGCGTGCTTGGAGGTGGCTAAGTTAAATTGTTTGGTGCTATACTGAGTTTGAAGAGGCTGTGATTATTAGAACATCCACACTACATACATGTAAGAACCTACATGTACTTATTGTCACGTATTTTTCTGGTTCTTACATGTATGCTAGTATGCGAGTGTGCACTGTATCAACCTTTTAATAAGCCTCCTTTAAACGATCTACTAAATAATTCTATATGCACTGCGGGGGAATTTGAAAGACAAGCCAGTCCATCATTTTAACTATAATCAAGCCCATTTCACGAAAGACTATCCTATTATTACTCGGACTTTGGCTCAAGCCGTCAGCTCGAGTCTCCTATACCACACACACACAAAAAAAAAAAAATCCTTTGATAATAAGAAAAACCCTTGATATTTACAAGAAGACAAAGGAATTGATCACGCCATTACAAGTGAGTAATTATTGAGCCCGCTTCGCTTCGCCCTTCAGTATGATAAAACATCGCCATGACGCTTACTTTCCAAACTTCACAGGCACCATCCTGTTGTCTCGATCGTCTCCTACATCATCCAGCATATTGAGTGGCTCCTCCCCACGCAAAGATATCCCGCTATCATCATGACCCATTTCATCGCCCCCGTCTATTAAGTCCACATCAATCGAGCCCCGGTCCTCGTTAACCCGGTTTATATGCACAGTCGCCTCGGCAGTATGCCGTAGAAAACCCCCCCGTTCTGCGAGCCATCCCATCCATTCATCTATCCAACATCTCACAACCCACCAGCTTCCAAATGAGACTGCTCCGTTCGTTGTTAGGTCCCTGAGCGCTGCAGAAGCAACCGCCCCCAGGCAAAGGTTGAAAAGTCTGGGTTCAGTCCCAGAAAAGCGGTGGGGAAGGAATGTTAAAAATTGTGTCCACCGATCCAGAACACTCTCCGTTGTAGGCGATCCGTCTTCCGCTCCTGGTGCTGGTGACATATTACCCCCATCAGGCGCAGAGGGTGGCTGTAATAAGTTGATAACCTCGTTATGTAAAATTTCCACGACAGACATTGCACCACACGGAAGTTCTCTATCCACAATTGTTTGGGCGTTCACGAATTCTTTCCAGTCTTTTATCATTTGCCCTCGGTCTGGGGGATTACCGAGAAATCTAGCCGCTGCATGCGCAGCATCGTTTACTCTCAATAAGCGATCTAAGAGACTTGAAAAAATACTGGATGGTATTAGTTTTGCCTGGACGACATGCGGAGGTTGAACGGAGAATGTTGTCATAATATGGGCGGTAAGATTTGTTGAGAGGTGCCGAAGGGCTGTTACAACAAAGGGTGGCACGACTTGTAAAGCTAAAGGAGAAAGTAACCGTATCATTTCCTGGGCAATGACGTCAGTCGAGCCCGATAAATTGGAAATGAAATTCCGACCTTGTACATGACCCAGTCAGACTCTCGAATCCAAAGAGCCAATGAGGGTTCACCCAAAAGTTTTTGGACAGGAGCTGTGAGGGTGCCATGAAAAGATATAAACAGCTGATGGAATTGTTTTAATCGCATATAGCGTACGCATTCTACGAGGGAAGTGCAATGGGATCTGTATATAGCAGTTAAAGTAGCTGCGATATCTGGGTCTGTGCCTAGGGGGGCATAGAGATCGATGTTTGGTAGTTTGAGGATTTCATTTGGGGTCGAAAGATGGTCAGATTCGTTACGGGAAAAGAATAATTCTTGATGGAGGAATGAAGATATGGGATATTCAGTGGAGACGCTCGAAGTTTTGTAGAATGACGAATTTTCGATGTTGTTTTCTATTGAAGTTTGAAAAGAGTTACTGAAGGGCTGAGCTGAGCCATTACTCATTCTGTCAACGGTCAGTAACTCAGCCAAAAAAGGAGCCGAAGGGTTGAAGACTTGCAGATGATCATCCCCAGCCGCTTGCGCGGGTGGTTCCGATCCTGATGCGGAACCTGAACCTTGCGAGACTTTAGGGGATGACTGCTCGCCAGCGAGGCGAATACCACAATAGTGGTACTTGGATTGTCCGCGAACACCAAGTCTGCGAGTCTTAATTTCTGGAAACATGAGCCGAACAAGTTTCCCAAACGATGCAGGGTTTAAAGGCTTTATGCGTTCATTTGCACAGATTCCCACATAACGGGCATATACACGGTTGCGCGGTACAGCGACAGAGGCGTCTGGGACTCTCTCGCAATTCTTTTGCAGCCTAATCTCCGCGAAATTTAGTAAGCATCGTTCTCATCTGGTCATCACCATCCCCGGGTTTTGATATAAGTGAAGCTTACCATCCTAATCCATAAACCTGTCTTGTCTTTTCCGCTGAAGGCGAATTCTCATCATTCCGGACCCTCCGAGCAAGCTCATCTAAAGGCACCATTCGAGTCTCTTCAGCTAGTCGACGAAGTTCTGCATCGTTATCTTCAACAACTGCAGATGTTCTCTTTGAATTCCGGCCTGATGAGGGGCCAGGATTCTCCTCTTCGCCCATTACAGTCTCAAACTCGCGAGTATCCTCCTCCTTTGGTTGCACTTCCTGGTTGAGGCTGAGCATTTCCGGAACGGGTGTGGAAGTTGGGCCAACGGCAGGGGAAGGAGAAGGTTCCGGTACACCACCAAGAGCTGGGTCGATGGGGAATGATGTGCTGGGAGAAAGCATAGATGGTGATCCCAATAGTGCAGTGTCAATGGGGGGTTGATTCTCTTGAATCTGCTGCTGGGTCAATGCTAGGAGAGAAGGATCGGTCAGGGGATGAGTGTCCTGGTTGTACTGTGGAATGTTTGAAGGCAGTCTGGCATGGACATTTGTGTGGCCCGTGACACCGGAATTGGACACTATGGAACGGGACCTAGAGCGTGTAGTATGAGAACGCCCAGAAGAATTTGGGCCTTGGTAAAGAACATGGGAGTCAGTACGGGATATCCTGAACAAACCGAAATCGAAGCCAAAGCAAGAACAACCCTACGAAATTGGAGAAACGCAAATTGGAGTATTACCTTGAGCTAGCGGAGAGCCAGAACCCGAGGAGTCTTCCATAGCGGCTGATGAGGGGAACGGGAGTTGCAGCGGTTGTGTTGACACTAGACAGAGTCGAGTTGGTGGGGCAACACTGGGGGGTGTTTCCAGGACGGTGCTGTGGTTGCAGCTGAGTCGGGGTTTTCTGGTTGCAGCGTGTGGTGTTGTTGTCGTTGTTGTTGATGATGAGCGAACGACGTCTAGATCCACAAGCGAGGCGTGTAAATAAAGCGGCAGCGATGACAGAACTTTGTGTGAAGATCTCACAAACGCAAACACCACGCACCCAATACTTTCCCTTCACAGATCGAGATGGGGATGTATAAAAAAAAAATAACAAACTGTCGCGATGTTATCGTAGATGAAATGTTGATCTACTCTAATTTCTTGTTTTCTATGAAGTGTGCGTGAGAGGCGGGGATTTGGTAGACGCTGAACCTGAGGGAAACGCGGAAACGCAGGTGTGAGCGAGTGGGTTGGTATGTCGCCCGGACAACGAAAAACCTTTGATTCTGCTGCCTTATGTAATGAGATATGCTGAGTCAGTACTCGGGAACCATCATGCTTATCTTGTGATATCTACCTAACCTACCACTCTGCTTGGTCTCTTTTCAACCTTCAGGTTATAAAAATAGAGCTGGGACGAGCTGCTCGTTGTGGCGGTTAACACATGTTAACTGTCTGCGGCTGTAAACTCAGTTGACGTAATTCGCTCTCTCCGGGGTAGCAGCGCCGGCCTTTGCCCAGCCCCCCTAGTGAAGCCAGCACAACCACACAGCCAACCAGCGCCAATCCAAGATAACGGAGGAACCGTCACCCAAGCCTGCTCGCCCACAACCGTCTTTCATCATAGTCCTTCGGACTCCTTCCACGTCTTCATCTTCGCCAAACTACAAGTACCTCGATCCGTCCCCATTTCTCACCTCTTCCTTTTAACTTCTGTCATCTACAATAGCTCCCAAAACAAAGGAAACTCGACCCTGCAGTCCTTTAGCGCTTAAACGTCCACTCAGTCTTATCACATCTGCCACCATGTCCTTCCAAGATAAAGCCCAACATCTTGTTTCCCAGCTCGACAAAGAGGTTCGTTCTTATTGAAAAACATCTATAAGGTATCCGTTATTGATTATGAATTAGCTGACTCGTACATGTTTAGCTTTCCAAATATCCAGCTTTGAACAATCTAGAGAGTCAAACTGGTAATTTACATCTCCATCTCTTCTATTTCCGTTTTTCTCTCGAATGATTATACTAACTGACTCCCCTTAGGTGTTCCTAAGGTTTACGTTATTGGTGGATTGGGATTCGTTTACTTCTTCCTCATTTTCATCAACTACGGAGGTCAATTCTTGACGAACTTGGCTGGATTCCTCATTCCTGGCTACTATTCACTTAACGCTCTCTTTACTACAACTAAAGTTGACGATACCCAATGGCTCACGTAAGTCTGCCCCCTTGGCCATCAGTCGTCCCCTACATTTGACTAATTATTTTAGTTACTGGGTTGTTTTCGCCTTTTTCAACGTTCTTGAATCTGCGTTTTCTGTCACATACTGGCTCCCATTTTACTTCGTTTTCAAGTTCGGCTTGATCATGTGGCTGGGATTGCCCCAGTTCAGGTATTTTTTTCCATCTGGAGTTTCCCCACTCTCCATACCCGATTGGCCCTCGAGTCAACGCTAATACCCTGCCTTCTTTTGAATAGCGGTGCCCAGGTCGTTTTCCGCTCTTTCCTTCTTCCCGTTTTTTCGAGGAGATTCGCTGGATCCAACACCAACCCTGCATCAGCCAACCTTCGCGCGAAGGCCGACGCCGCTGGCCTTGACAAGTCTTTGTAAGCATTTACGATGGTGTTGTCATTGTGCAGATGGCGGAACGAAAATGAGACCTTGATATCGTGAATCAGGAACAAAAATGGGAGGGGAAAATACTATTGGGAAATCGGTTGGGGGATTGGAATTCCGGGAGTATTGGTAATGAAGATGGTTTTTTTTCTTTCTAGAATGCATCTTTCCTTTCTTGTAGGCTAGGGTTTCTTTGTTTCCATGTTTTTTTTTTCCCAATGTCAAGCCCTATTGTACAACGAGGAATGGAATTATGAATCCTGTCGAAGAAACAAAATCTCCTCTCCAAGAAATGTTGGGTCGCTCTTGAGGTCCACCCAGTTATAGTCTTAATCGGTCATCATGGTCCGAGATAAGTTGTGATTTCTAAAAGGTTTTGGCTGTTAAGTGAAGGGATTTCGATTCTTGTAATCTAACTGTCTTCCACCACCCTATTCGAATCCCAAACCGCAACCTTAACCCAGTTCCCATAAATCGTAATATATTTAGCGAGGACTCTAATTACAACAGTTCATCCGGGACGTTACATAGAGGTACTCATCGCTCCCATGTCGCATTTAGGTGCGGAGCATATAAAGGACAGATCTCTTCTGTTTTAGGAGTACGTAGAAAAGAAGATGGGTACTCTATCTAACTACATCTAACAAGCGTTTAAGATTCTTTTTCACTTACAAAAAAGCGGTCCGAAAGCAACAGATTTTATGCCGCAACACCATCGTCTCCCGATTGCGCAACGTAGTCAAAATTAGACGAATAAACTAAAGCGCTAAACGCCTCCAGTTCCGTTTGTTGCTCCATTACCTGTCCAGTCAATTCAACCCCATCAATTAGCACAGTAGCACGACAGCAGATTAGAGTACCCAACCGCAGCACCCCACATATTCCCCATCCCCTGTTTACAAGGTATTTTATGTATCCACGGCAGAGGGTGATTGCAAACAAAACCACTAAGGGAAAGAGAAGCGGTAGAAAAAGGAATTGGAAGGTGAAGAAAAAGGCAAAAATGTTTTAGGCTAGACATACCTGTAAGTACTCATTCGGCATGTCTTTCCCAATCAAGTGTGCCTGTCTAGTCAGGGCCGCCAATACACTTGCAAATTTTGTGGTCGCTGCATCCCCGACATCATTGTCCTCCCCGCTACCTCTTGCCTCCTCTGATGGCTGTGTCGGTGGCAGTGCGGTCGCCTTGAGCTTAAAGGCATTATCTGTTAATTTTGACTCAAGCAGAAACGTGAACGCTGCGTTGAGCATCTTCGTCATGACCGTGTTGGCCGTTGGGGAGTCGATTAAGTCCGATGTCTCGTCGAGTAGTCTACGGAGAGATGGTGAAACCGGGTCGGTAGTGGTTCCCTCTTGGACTTCGGCGGTGGAGGTTGAAGATTGAGCGAGAACCATAGCCTCCTCCGACCTCGGGGGTAGAAGAAAGAGAAGCCACCGTGTGCTGCATACACTTTTAGATAAAAAAGTCCTGATATGCGACCCATGACTTGAGGGCCTATAGTTGATTGAAAGTACCTTGGTTCTACTCCTTCACCCTCAATTATTTTTCTAGTCTGAGCCGTCAACTCTTTCATTTGACCTAATGATATGGTACTTCGAGCGTTCCAACTACAGGTTCAATCTTGTTAGTAACCAAATTTGTTATAATCCACCATGCCATAGCGCCGGTTTCACAGCGGAGTCACTTACGGCCCAAAGACTTGCTTAACGGCTAGCTCAACCTTCTCAGCAACATTTCGCCATCCTCTATCAAGGAGCCACCATGAAAACGTCAAGTACTGATGATTCGTCGCCATATCCGTACCATAGCCCTCTTCTTCCATATGAATGGTGTGTTCACCCTCGCGTTCAGCGATAGAAACAACGGAGGAAAGGTACTTTTTGCGGCCAAGAAGATTCAATTGAACCCGAGTTAGGATCGTTAATAGCGCCAGTGTGTAAATAAGTGTCAACGATCTTGTTAAAGCTGCAGTATCATCATTTTCATCATCAGCTAAGTTATAACTAATACCCGTAAAGCACCAATTTCAGAAGAAGCCACCATACAGCTTATCTTGATTTCATCCCAGAGCTGATTCTTTGATTTCCGGGGCTTTTCCTCTCCATCCTTTGCTGCCATGACAAAAGACTCTGAGGCAAAAGATTGAAGTGACTGTGTATCGTCATCCTTTTGAGGGAAAGTTGCAGCCGTGGACGCCTCTGAAGCATCTGCTACTGACCGGGTTTTTGCGATCCGTGCAGCCTTCTTCTGCTGCAGTTCCTGGGTCAACTTCTCGACGGGTAGCTCCTCGAGAATGTGCTCAGTAGCCGTGGGGAGCAGTGCAAGGACTGTCAACGTGCAATCCTGTTGGTACTGTTCGAATCTTCGAGTGAGCCTGCTCGCACTATCAGCCACACTACTCAGTGAAAGAACTTAATATTGAGGAGCGGCGGGGGCCATGAGACACAATGAGGGAGTGATAGATTGAGTCCCATGGCAGGGCAGAGAGAATACGAATTAATTACTTCTCGCGAGCTCTTCGGTCACTTGACATACGGTCTTTGGCATCTGCGAATTTTGATATGACATAGTTGGTTGCGAGATAGCCGACGCCAACAAGGCCAAAGCCGATAGCGAAATTTGTGCGGTTGCGTCTGAGAAAGTTACGCGTAGCTTTGAACATTGAGATGATATATAAGTGTTGGAGAATGAGAACAGTAGAAGGATGAAGGAGATCTAATTTCTGTTGGTGATTATATTCTCATGGCGGAGAAGGGACAAATTGAGCTAGGTGGAGGATAGGGGTGGGGTGGAAGAAACGAGCGATTGGACAGGAATAGCTCTTGATACTGAACACGCACTTTTTCTTCTGCCACTGTACCTCGAGCTCTCTATGCCTCTATTTGTCGGATAGTTGATTGCAATACTGTAAGTATAGAGGATCAATAACACGTATGAGTGCGAGTTAAACTGAGCGCTGTTATCTTACGTACTGGTAGGACTTGAGCGTGAGAAATTTGAATGTGAGGGCAAGGGAGTTGTTTCGGCATGTTTGGTTCACGAGCGCTGCTTCCTAAATGGTTGCTACCTAGTTACAGCCGCGGGTGGCCGAGGTCTAAGGATCTGTACTGCCTAGGCACCATTTCTTTGGTGGGCGGCAAAGGGCTGGTCCTATCATAGGTGTCCGGATTCGAAGAGCGCTTCGGTGATCACGTGATAATCTCAGAAGTGACTAAATTGGCATGTATAGGGTTAGGGTTCGAAATATGATTTTGCGATAAAATGCAAAGAGATCTATTTGTGCAGATGCTTTTAGTATGTACATACATGGCTTAAGGAACCGGCCATTTATAAGCCTCACATGAAAAAGTGGCAATGATCCTTTTGCAACTCGTAGAGATGTACCTACAAACTAGAAACCGCTCTTCACCAGCATGCTATTTGGCTGCAATGTACGTACACAACTTCCCTACTTCATCACAGATATGGAGGTACATACGTATTTGAGAGGCAATTCCTCTGAATCCTTTGTTAATACATGTATGTACATTAGAGCCCCGTGAGAAACTCGGGAGTTTTAAACTGAATGTATGACAGACAGTTTTAAACTGGTTAAAAACTGGCTGTCGAAAACCTGGGTGTCATGATCATAAACTCAACAGCCATTTTGGGAGTGGGCTAGGGTAATTTTAGTGCAAAAATTGGTATTTAGGGTGGGTTAGGGTAATTTGGGTGGTCAAAATTAGAAAATTGAATCTGAGTTTATGCCAGTTTTCAGTTAAAAACAGCAGTTTATGATAGTCCGAGTTTATGACGTAGTTTATAACTCTAGCTCTGAGTTTGTCATGGGGCCTTAATGTATATGTAGGTATCTACATGTAGTCATCCCTGGTCAGGTGTTCCAACACGTGACCCGAAGACTCTCAAACGGCAGCACAAGTAGGTAGGAGTACAACCACACCTTTCAATAACCACCACCCCACCCATCAGATACTACGGTACCTATATTTCAGTTCGAGCGTCCATAACTTCAACCTATCTTAAGACTTTTAAGACTGTTGAGGTTGCCAAATCCACCTCCTCCCCATGTAAGTATACCCAATCCGTTGGTTGTATTACTTCCTTCCTTAGTCAGGGCCATCAACATCATCACCAGCATCACCCGCTGCAATATCCCATCCTCAGAGTGAATGATACCCCTCAGGTGTTGCTTGGTGCTACATACATCTGCCCCTCCTTTTTCGTCATTCCTAGAACCTGATCTTATTAGTATCTATTCGACTCCCGCTTCATTTATCTCCCCCCAACCCCACCCCTTCTTGCATCTCCACACTCTTCTTTCTCTCTCTTCATTTAACTTGTCCCTTATTTGCAGAGGATGACCTTCACAAATCGACCACTCTCGTCCTAACAAGTACTAGTCAACCGGGAGCTTCACGCTAAAAACGGCAACAACAACGACGCTAACCGCCAATAACCAGCCGTGCAAACTGCCCCTGCTCGCCCCCCCGAGGAAAAAATTACTACCAAGCAAAAGCAGATAGACTACTTAAGCACATCAACCCGCCAGCTCTTTGTCTGGAACTGGTGATATCGAGATAGTAGTTGTGTCTTCATTTCAAGACGATGGGATGGAACGGCCGCCCGTCTTCTCACTGGAGGTTCTCGCCGACCGGGCGCTCGTGAAGGATATCGTAAAAGGTATTGCTTTTCCTATTCTTCTCTCGCATCCCCGCATTTAATGGTTAGACGCATGCTAATAGATATGCTCTCCGGCCTTTGTCTGAATCCAAGGTGTCATCTCTACCATATTCTTCCATCGTTTCTTCCCCACGGTTCGTCCGAAAACTCGAGACCTGCTCGACCTTACATTGGTATGTCTGCTGCAGCAAAAATAACAGTCCATACGGAACTCGAAGCTTACCAACACGCAGCCTGCAGTGGACGACCCCGAACTTGAGGAGCTCATAGATGAGCGCACGAACGTGCTCATCAAGGCCATAGAAGCCTCTACTAGTACTGGATCAAAGCCTCATCGGGGACAAATAGCAGGTGACTATAACCCTTTTTGATAATTTGAGAAGGTGTTCGTGGTAGTGGTTTGCGCAGACGATTATTGACATGATTCTTCTCTTTTTCTTTTTTGCAGTCGAGTTCTACGAGAGAAGACCAAAGAAAGCATGGTTTTCCAAGGCAGAGGAGAAAGTTTGTTGGGAACAGTGGGTGCTCAATGTCACACTAGTTACTATTAAGACCGACTCTGGTAGGATAATCTTTCACCCAACCACCAGTGAAGAAGTGCCTATTGACCTTTTTTCCCTCCAGACCGCGCGAGGGCCCGAGCGTCACTTGAACACCAACTCCAGAAAGCGGTACTCGAGATCATTACCACGGCTAGTCTACGGAAGGACCATATCCCCCAATAACCACAAACGATTTAAACCCGTTCCCTTACCAGATCATTGTTTCACCAAAGGGTGAGACCTGGGGAGCACGAATGGGCATCTTTTGAGTTGTGGGAAACCACATAAGCACAAACACTAAAACAGGGGGAGAGAAAGAAAGGGGGGGAGGAAGGAAAATTTGATCGGGAAGGAAATATGCTGCTCTCATGCGCATATAATTTCTGCGAAAACCTCATGGACCATAGACTGGGGGGCATCGGTGTTTCGGCGTCTTGGGGAGGGGTAGTGCGACTTCCATGCGAGTTCTATTTTCTTCCTTTCCTACAAAGTATATACCCTTACACTCATCCACGCCTTGAATAATATGTATATGTACCACTAGTTCCAAACCATCGTTAATCGAAACACATTGAAGAAAAGAGGACGGGGTGAAAGGAAAAAAAAATCTGAAAAAAAAAAAGAAAGCTGAGCTGCAGGGTGCCCATTGCGATGGAGCCTAAGTATCCGAGAGGCGATGCGTGCATACTGTACGTAGAGTACATACTGTACGTAGAGTACATACTGTACGTAGAGTACCGTACATACATACATGGTTACTTTTGTCCGCCCTATGTACTCACTCATGTAATTCGAGTAGGGTGGAGCTTGCGTGACGTACAAGACAAAACCTACATGTAGGTAGAGTAGGTACGTGACTGCTCTACTTTACATCCATGACCTACTACATACATGTACCCACCAAATACCAATGGTAGAGTAGGCAGCCTATGCATGTTCCTAATCGTCCCGGTTCCCCATTACCTACATACTCTAGAGTACATAGAGTATATACCTGCCCCAGGTACTCTATTTACCCGCCGCGTAGCTGGGCCCATTTGCTCCCTGCACTCGAAGGTGGTAGGGATCTCAATCACTGGCTCTCACTCGCATGGCAACCAAGCAGGGGAGGTGGTGGCCCGCACCATGTGGCTGTGAACATCGATGTCAATTAGTAGGCAAGTTCCCAATGAGGACAAGCCCGTCCGCCTGCGATGGTCACGCCGCCAAGAATCAATTTATGACTCCTCGTCGCGTGGCCGACGCGCTGCTGCAACGACGACGCGTCTCCCCAGGGACTTGTATATCTGTCTTGTCTCTATATATCTGCTGTGTCTTCTTTCTTTCTTCTTCCCGCTCGAGGAAGTCTGTCTTGATTCCTCTCCAATCGACATCCCCCACAGTTGCAGAAAGACATGTCGACGGAACGCAAATGGACGCCCAAGGATGATGAGGTTGATGAGGAGGAGGAGGAAGATATTCAGGTAGATTCTATAGACATCATGCTATTCCTATCTATTCTACATGCCTAAAGAGCTGCTATTGACGCTAGTTTCTCTTTCTCTGAAAATATAGCAATACCAATCGCAAAAAGATGCCATTTTATTTGCAATCCACGTATGCAGACAGCTTGCCCTCATGCCAGTTCCAAGTCCACAGCACTGACCTCCCCATTCCCCCCAGGTCTCCGAGTCCATGCTCGCCACCCACGATGACACCGAAGACCCACCCTCCTCACCCAAGGACACCGAAAAGCCCAAATCCAAGAAGGCCACCCCAAGCTCCGCCGTCCTCACTGCCCTCCAATGCGCCTACTCCGTCCTTCAATCCCGCATCATTTCCAATCCCGCCGACATGATTGGCATCCTGCTCTTTGGCACGGCCACCACAAAGTTCACCACCGACAGCGGCTACCAGCACTGCTACCTCCTCCTCGACCTCGACGTCCCCGATGCCACCGGGATCCGCGAGCTCAAGAACCTCATCTCCGACCCCGCAGAGTTTTCGGCGCTCCTCGCGCCGTCGGACGAGCCCGTCTCGATGGCTAATGTGCTCTTTGCCGCAAACCAGATCTTTACGACCAAGGCGGCGAACTTCCAGTCGAGGCGGCTGTTTGTGGTTACGGATAACGATGACCCGCATGCCAAGGACAAGGCGCTGCGGAATAGCGCCATCACCCGCGCGCGGGATCTATATGATCTCGGTGTGAGGATCGAGCCGTTTTTCATTGCACAGCCGGGAAAGCCGGGTGGTTTCGATGCGGCACGGTTTTGGGACGATGTGGTGTACAGAGCACCAGGAGAGGATGAGGATGCGGAGATGGTGGTGTCTGCGACGGCGGATGGAACGGTGAGACTGAAGGAGATGGTCTCTTCTATACTCTCAAAGTCCACGGCAAAGCGTGCGCTCTTCAACACGAAGATGGAGATTGGGCCGGGGTTGCTCATAGGCGTAAAAGGGTACATGCTCTATAAACGGCAGGAGAAGGCACGGTCTCACTATGTCTTTACCTCTGCAGAACGAGCCCAGCTTGTCACGGGTGTCACTACGAAAGTTGCGGCAGAGACCGCTAGAGTTGTGGAGAAAACCGAGATACGGAAAGCCTACAAGTTTGGGGGTGAACAGGTGGTATTTACACAAGAGGAGATGAAAGCCATGCGTTACTTTGGGGAACCGGTCATCCGCATCCTGGGCTTCAAACCGGCAGCCTCACTGCAGTTTGAGCACAACGTCAAGCCCGCAAAATTCATATACCCAGACGAATCCACACACGTAGGCTCCACACGGACATTTGCAGCGCTGCACAAAAAGCTTGCCGACTCCAACAAGATGGGAATTGCATGGTGCATCACTCGGCGCGGCGGCCCACCCCAAGTGTGCGCCCTCTACCCATCCATCGAAGTCGTGATCGACGGCGTGCAGACACACCCACCGGGCTTCTTCCTCATCCCCATCCCCTTTGCCGACGACATGCGCCAGAACCCAGACGTGCCCATTGTCAAAGCGCCCGCCCGGCTCATTGACCGCATGCGGGCGGTGGTGAAGCAGCTGCACATGCCAAAGGGCTACATACCCGAGAAGTACTCCAACCCCGCGCTGCAGTGGCACTACCGCATCCTGCAGGCGATCGCGCTGGACGAGGACCTCCCAGAGAAGGCCGCGGACCCGACGCTGCCAAAGTATAAGCTCATTGAAAAGTACACAGGGGCGCAGTGCAAGGAGTGGTTCGACGAGCTGCTGGAGGCCACGGCGGGCATGGCGGTGACCAGTGAGAAGACGGGCACGAAGAGGAGCGTGGTGAATGTGAGGGAGGGCGGGGGGCCAGCGAAGAGGGTGAAGAGTGAGAAGGCGGGTGCGGGTGGCGGCGACGAGGTGGAGAGTGCGTATAAGACGAATACGCTGAATAAGGTTTGTGCTTGAATTCCCCGTCCCCTTGCAGCGGAGATGGGTGTGCTAATGAACGGCGGTGCGTATGTGTGTAGCTCACGGTGGCGAAACTGAAGGGATGGCTGGACTCGCAGGGGCTGATTGCGGTGGGGAAGAAGGCGGATCTGATTGATGCGGTGGAGAACCATTTTGAGAGCAAGAAGTGAGGAGGAGGAGGAGGAGGAGGAGGAGGAGGGGCCTCGTCGGAATCATGTTATTATCATTCTTATATTGTTATCTATCATTAGCGGGTGGTGTTTGAGAATATGTGGACTCTGAATGACTATTGATGGTATGCTATGTGAGTGTGAGTGTGGAGAGAGGGGGGGGGGGGGGAGAGAGAGAGAGAGAGAGAGAGAGTGTGTGTGTGTGTGTGTGTGTGTTTGTGTTAAGCTCAGTGTTGAATAAGCTTAAGTTCCCTGGGCCCATGCAGATTAGAGCACGTAACAGTCGGGCATGGCAGCAGCAGAGTTCAGGTTGCTAGCGCTGCTCGGGGCTGGGGGTCAGCTTGGCAGAATGAGAAGGTTGCGGGCTGCACTCACACTCAACGAGTCCACACTCAACGCTTCCACTGCTGAGACAGTTCCTCTCCCCCAAATAAATACACCCCGGCCCCCCTCTTCTTCTCCCCAACAACCCACAGCAGCCAGACACAGAGCAATTGAGTGCCCTCATCATCACTCACCCCTCATCTCTCTCATCTCTCATCTCTCATCACTCATCACTCATCGCTCATCCATCAACTATCACCACCACAGACACCAATTCATCCCAAATGTCGAGCCCTCAGATGTATGTTGCGAGCACCACTGCTCCCGTCAACATTGCCGTCATCAAGTATGTCTCATCCCCAGCACTCCCTGCTTCACCGCTTCTCACCTACCCCGCCATCTGCCCCCTATTCTGTATCCCCCCCCCCCCCCCCCAATTGCATCGCACCCCATCACACGCATACTAACCTCCCCCCGCTCCCCACAGATACTGGGGCAAGTGCGACACAAAGCTCAACCTCCCCACAAACTCCTCCCTCTCCGTAACCCTCTCCCAATCCGACCTCCGCACCCACACCACCGCCGCCTGCTCCCCCACCTTCACCGAAAACCGCCTCTACCTCAACAACGAGCCGCAGGACGTCTCCGGCGCACGCCAGCAGGCCTGCTTCCGCGAACTCAAGGCCCTCCGCAAGAAGCTCGAGGACGCAGACCCCGCCCTGCCAAAGCTCAGCGAGTACAACGTGCACATCGTCTCGGAGAACAACTTCCCCACCGCCGCGGGGCTCGCATCCTCCGCGGCCGGCTTTGCCGCCCTCGTCCGTGCCATTGCGGATCTGTATGAGCTGCCCGACTCGCCCACGGACCTGTCGCGCATTGCGCGCCAGGGCTCGGGTTCCGCGTGCCGCTCCCTCTTTGGCGGGTATGTAGCCTGGGAGATGGGCGCCGCCGCGGACGGCTCGGACTCCCTCGCCGTGCAGGTCGCCGAGGCGTCGCACTGGCCCACCATGCGCGCCGCCATCCTTGTCGTGTCGGCGGCCAAAAAGGGCGTCTCCTCCACCAGCGGGATGCAGGCCACCGTCGCCACCTCCGAGCTGTTTGAGCACCGCGCAAAGCACGTCGTGCCGAAGCGCATGGCGGCCATGAAGAAGGCCGTGCTCGAGCGCGACTTTGAGAGCTTCGCGGCACTGACGATGGCCGACTCGAACCAGTTCCATGCGGTGTGTTTGGACACCATGCCGCCCATCTTCTACCTCAACGATGTCTCGCGCGCGAGCATCCGCGTTGTTGAGGAGATCAATCGCGTTGCGGGCAGGGCCGTCGCGGCGTACACGTTTGATGCGGGCCCGAACTGCGTCGTGTATTATGAGGAGGCGAATCAGGCGCTTGTGCTCGGCGCGCTGAGGCGCTATACGGCGGGCGTGGCCGGGTGGGAGGCGCAGGAGGTGGCGGCGAGTGTGCCTGAGGGTTTCGATGTGCATGTGGGCGAGAGTCTGCGCGAGGGGGTGGGGAGGGTGATTTTGACGAGTGTGGGCGGCGGGCCGGTGAAGACGGGGGAGAGCTTGATTGATGCGCAGGGGCTGCCGAGGGCGTTGAGCAAGTAGACTTGGGGTGTTGTAATAATTATTTTTCTTTTGTGTTTTTGGCAGAGATTACTACTGCTAGTTGATGCTACTGCTACTGCATGGCTTATACCTTTACCCTGCGCGATATATTTAGCAATAAATAAACTACTTTGCTGGGCCCGGGCTGGGCGTGATATCGAGTATTAGGTGTGGTATGTGAGGTGCGATGATGTGGTGTGATCGAATACGCTATCATAAAACAACATAGCTTGAAAAGGTTTCCTACATTCTAACCCTCATGTCACGCCCTGGGTGGAGTCAAGCTCATAGAGAGGGAGGAAGGGGATTGACATCTATGCAACGATCATGTAATTAAGATGGGTCGAAGTGCAATCATGGGGGCTATGTAGAGAGATTGATACCACATTTATCCCATGAGGAGGGAGGGTTTGGGAGGATGGAATACTTAGGCTCTAGAAGGTAACAATAAATCTTTCAAAGAATCCCAGGTGGTAGTGCGGCCACATGTATCTACAAGTGCAGCTACGATACAGAAGAAAATGGCACCAAGAATCAACTAAGAGAGCCGGTAAGCCCAGGAGGACATAGGCCCTAGAAGATACGTTGAAACACGTTCCAGAGAGAGTTCTCAAGTGGTAATCCCCCCCCCAATACTCCCCTAGTGTGGGATTAGAGACACAAAAAGTACTGCAGGGCTCCCACATATCAGAAATAGGGCGGTAGGACTAGTTTGGGGTTTGCTCTGAGGTTGTCCTGGCCATACATAGTTTATTGTAATTGGCCATGGTGTCTACATGTAGATGGAACTGAATTGTGCATAGCAATTGCTTAATAACAGTAACGACTAACAGGTATATCAAGGCCAATAGGAGCCAACCGGGGGGGGGGGGGGGGACAAAGACATACTTCTACACATATCGATGCCCGATGAGTATTGCCGCCGATGGGGTTATGAACCGCATTGCGATATATATTGGGCTCAAGTCTCCCCCCCGGGAGAAGCGGCGCCGGGGGTGCGCCTCTGGTCAACAAAGTTGTGGAGGGGGGGTTGATACATATTGTGAGATAAGGAAAGTAGCTATGTTCATCTAGTCTATGAACTTGAGTCTTGAGCTTGATGATGAGAGGGCTTTCGTTGGCGGTTTGTGAGATCAATAAAATAAGAAGCTTTCAAGGGCACATGAGCGTTGGTTTGCTGGGATTTGTGATATATTAGTATGGGTAAGGTCGTAGCTAGATATATTGGTTGAGTCGACTGTGGAGGATTAAATTTCCAACTATTATTCTGGGCCATTGCCTACCTTGAATATTAAATCCAGACTCGTCTATAATGGCTATTCCATAGTTCGTATTTGTTACTGTTAGCAGACTTATGCTAATTCTACTCGAGGGGTAAGACACTAGAGCCGAGTGATAGCCCATGATGCACCGCTAAGGCTATTCCATACAGGGTTAGGGTTCCACCGGATCAGCGCAAACCAAAATTCCATGATCGGCGGGAGATCCCAGAACTCGCACGCACCCCGCCACATCAACTCTCACTCGCCGCCCACCCCACTACTCCCGGCGCACAATCACAAAAAAAAAGCGAGAAAAAGCGATGAGCGAGCCCAAACCCACTGGCACCACCGAGGTCCCCGAGGCGCCCGTCTGCCCCGTGGACCACAGCACGCGCTCCGCATGGCTCAATGCTACTACGAAGCCCTCTGCCTCCTGCGACTCGTCGACCATGGACCAGACGCTGCCGCCCAACCACCCGCCGCTACCAAACACGATGGCGGGACTCGGCACGGAGCGCGAGGTCTCCTCGATCCCGCGCGCGGGGACCGAGGGGAGCAACTCGGAGCACAACCCGCACACGACGAAGGGCGCGAATGGGCGCTGGATATATCCCAGCGAGGAGATGTTCTTCAATGCCATGAAGCGCAAGGACTGGGATCCGAAGGCGGAGGATATGAGGACGATTGTGCCGATACATAATGCGGTCAATGAGAGGGCGTGGAAGGAGATTAAGGAGTGGGAGAAGGGGAGGGGGAGCGAGAAGTGAGTTTCTGCCCTTTCTGGTTTGCTCTGGGGGGTGAATTGGCTTTGACAATTGGTGTTGCAGGTGTGGCGGGCCGAAGCTGGTCTCCTTCTCGGGCGACTCGCAGAAGCTGACGCCGAAGGCACGGATGAGGGTGCTGTTTGGATACCATGCGCCGTTTGACAGACACGACTGGACAGTCGACCGCTGTGGGAAGAAGATTGATTATGTCATTGACTTCTACAGCGGGAAGCACGACCCCAAGCAGCCAGAGGCCGTGAGCTTCTACCTGGATGTCAGGCCAAAGCTCAGCGTGGAGGGCGTCATGATGAGGGCGCAGAAGTGGTTTGGGTCGTTCTTCTAGGGGGGGGGGGGGGGCAGAGCTAGCGCTGCGTGTATTTTTAATTCTGGATGTATATACGGTGAATTGGGGGGGTGTATATACATACTCAAGCTGGGGCAATTCCACTCTTTGCTGTAGATATCATTACCAAGTAGAGTAGATATTTAGATGTGCATTCTATCATTACCACGAAGAGCCCTTGCTTGTGCCCTTGTGCTAGCGTTACGAGCACCCTTGCGTGTCACGTGCGGAAACACGTTAAAGTGCTCTCAGACCCCAGACGCGTCTTCCTGAACGTCCGTTGTCGGAGCACAGACCGCACATAGACACCAACCACCGCCAACATGTCTTCCGACGACGACGACCTGGATCGAGATGTCTCTTACCCTTACTCGTTTCCCAAAGAGCTGAAGAAAGCTCAAAACAATGGTAAGGGTCTGCACCTTTATGTTTCTCACTTTGGCTAATGTCGTCCTAATAAATGAAATGCAGGTACAGCCAATTCAGTCCCCATATCCAGCGACGACGACGATGAAGACGATGACGACCTGGGCTATGTGCCAGTGTTGCATAGGAAGTCTGCGTCCGCACCTGCACCGTCTCGACCTGTAGCTGCACCTCAGAAAGAGTCTCCAGACCCACCCTCAGAAGAAGAAGAAGAGGAAGAGAAAGTGCCAGCAACTCCCCCCATCAAAGAAGAGGTGAGGACCGTCAAGCACAAGCACGGCAAAGGCAACCGCGTCGTATGGTCCGAGGGCGAAGAAGAGAACGGCTACGAGGAGTGGAACCGCAAGAGGAAGGAAACAGCTGGGGGCAGGAAGCGGAAGGCATCTGCGGTCTCCACGGGTGAGAAGAAAGTCAGGGCAGATCGCAAAGATGCTTCGGGATGGAAGGGTTCTGGTTCGGGTACTGATATTAGGAAGACATTTGGGACTAATGGAGGAGGTATGATACACATTTTCTGGTTTCTTATTCCTATTTCCTGCTGTCTATGTAGCTATCTTTTGTACATATATAAATACGAATCCTATATGCTTCCCAAAGGCCCATGCTGATACCACTTCCTATAGCCACCTCTCACAAAAGGTCCCGCCTCACCACAGCAAACGCCGACACCCCCGACCCTTCCCTCTCAGAAGTCAGGCTCCCGCAACACCTCCTCGCCCGCCGCCGCGCTCTTGACCGCGCCGCCGCCTCCCTCGACTCCACCACCCCACACCCGGCCCTCCGCCTCCCCCCGGACTCCAGCGACCTCTTCAACGACACCGAAAACACCGCACTCGCCACCAAACCCGCTTTTAAGACCACCCCCAGCGCCCCCTACGCCGACATCCCCCTCCCCACCTCCCTTGGCGTCATCCCCGCGCCCATCGCCCAATACCTGCGCAGCTACCAGGTGACCGGCGCCGCCTTCCTGCACCGCAACTTTGTCTTCCAGACCGGCTGCATTCTCGGCGACGACATGGGGCTCGGCAAGACCGTCCAGATCATTGCCTTCCTGACGGCCGCCTTCGGCAAGACCGCCGACGAGCGCGACAGGAAGCGAATGCGCAAGATGCGGCGCGCGGAGAGATGGTATCCGATAGTGCTGGTGATTTGCCCTGGGACACTGATTGCGAATTGGTGTAGCGAGCTGGAGACGTGGGGGTGGTGGGCGGTCGAGGTGTTTCATGGGGGTAGGGAGCAGAGGACGGCGGCGGTGGAGACGGCGAGGAGTGGCATGTGCGAGATTATGATTACGACGAGTACGACGTATAAGAATCATAGGGACGAGGTGAACAGGGTAGAGTGGGATTGTGTCATTGTGGATGAGTGCCATGTTATCAAAGGTATATACATTCGCAATATACATATTTACAGGTTTTAGTTTTAATGACAATATACAGAACGCAAATCACTCGTCACACAGGATCTAAACCAGATCAACGCTCTCTGCCGGATCGGCCTTACCGGCACTGCCATCCAGAATAAATACGGTATGCCCCTTCCTTAGGTCAATGATCACTTTTACCCAGTGTCAATGATCGCACCACCCACTTTTCTCCACTAACAATACCCCAGAGGAACTCTGGACCCTCCTCAACTGGTGCCGCCCCGGCGCCGTCTCCACCATGTCCGAATGGAAATCGACCATCTGCGCGCCCCTCAAGATCGGCCAATCGCACGACGCCACCCTGCGGCAGATTGGCATCGCGCGCGAGGTCGCCCGCCTGCTGGTCAACAACCTGCTGCCCAAGATGTTCCTGCGGCGGATGAAGAGCCTGATTGCGGACCAGCTGCCCAAGAAGAGCGACAAGGTTGTGTTTTGCCCGCTGACGGCGCGGCAGAAGGTTGCGTACGAGAACTTTCTCGAGAGCGACGTGGTGGAGGGGATTCGGAGGAGCGGGGAGGTGTGTGGGTGTGGGAGTGGGGCAAAGAGGGGTGCGTGCTGCTTTGCGAGGGTGACGGATGGGAGGAGGTGGAAGGATGCGGTGTTTCCGTGAGTGATGTTGGGTGGATGGATGGGGGAAGGGGAGTGCTGACAGGGTGTAGGTGCATACAGCGGATACAGCAGTTGAGCAATCATTTGGCGAATTGGGTTCCAAGTGCGTTATATCCTTTTTAATTCCTTGTAGTATCTTCGATGCATAGGATTATGGAAACCTTATGAGAGGGGCTGTTGTGGTTTTCTGTATTGATAATTGATACTATGGCACTGGCTAACACGGACCTCTAGCAAACGACGAACCTACCGACAAACGCAAGGCAAAGCTCGAGCTCTTAAAACTCTGCCTACCCAACGAGTGGGAGATAATAAGTCGTCGAGAGCAACTACCGAACTACATGGACCCTGAGATGTGCGGGAAATGGATCGTATGTGCTTGTCCAAGGCCCGAGTGATATCTGATGTAGCTGCTCATATGTAGATGTGTGTAGGTCTTGCGAAAGCTACTCAAGTTCTGGCACGATAATGAAGACAAAGTCTTGATCTTCTCGTATAGTATTTCGCTGCTCAAGATACTGTTTACGCTGTTCCAGACGACGGAGTACAACGTTAGCTATCTGGACGGCTCCATGGCGCTGGAGGATCGTAGGTTTTCCACAGCATAACATGATTGTTTCCGCTGACAGGACTGGTTGTATGGGTAGGTGCAAAGGCTGTCTATAAGTTCAACAACGACCCTGAGCAGTTTGTGTTCCTCATCTCCACCAGAGCTGGTGGTGTAGGGTTGAACATCGCCGCCGCCAACAAAGTAGTAATCTTCGACCCCAACTGGAATCCCAGGTAAGGGCGCAAACGTATTATCATCAATCACAGGCATACTGATCACCCCCTAGTTACGATCTCCAAGCGCAAGACCGCGCCTACCGCATCGGCCAAACGCGCGACGTCGAAGTCTTCCGCCTCATCTCCGCCGGCACAATCGAAGAGATCGTCTACGCCCGCCAGATCTACAAGCAGCAGCAAGCCAACATCGGCTACGGGGCCTCCGAGGAGCGGCGGTACTTCTCGGGTGTGCAGGGCGACAAGGCGAACAAGGGCGAGCTGTTTGGGCTGCAGAACCTGTTCTCGTTCCAGGAGAATACCATCCTGAAGGAGATTGTCAATAAGACGAACGTGGCCGAGTCGAAGGCCGGTGTTGCCGTGGCGGGGCTGGAGCTGGAGGATTGGGAGGATGAGGAGTTTGAGGAGGATGTGAATGGCGAGAATGCGCTGAATCAGTTGGCGGCGATTGTGGCGGGGGAGAAGTCGGCGTTGGAGAATAGTAAGTTTTGGGGGGTCCTCTTTTTCTTGGTGCTGTGCTTTCGGCTTTGCTCTAACAACCTATAGAGAAGAAGGCGCAGAATCCTGTCTCGGCAATCCTTGCGGAAGCTGGCATCTCATATACTCATGAGAATTCAGAGGTCATTGGCACATCTAAAGTCGAAGCCCAAATCAGCAAGCGGGCAGCGCGAGCATCGAAAGATGCAGATATGGGAGACAGAGTAGTTTTTGACAGCACAGAGACTAGGGGTAACGGGCTCCTCAAGGGATACAGGTTTCACCCTCCAGCAGATGTCATGAGAAGGCAGTTCTGCACCATGGCCAAAATGTTTGGAATTGAGGATGTAGGTGAGTTTGCACTTCTTGTAGAAAGCTGGACACAGCAGCAGAGGAGAGATGCGCTGGATAAGTTTTACAAAATGAGAAGGGATACCCTGGCAAAGGGGGAAGAGGTCAAACTAGAAGATGTGCAGCCGGAGGAAGTCCTGCTTGGGGAGACGGCGCAAGATAAGGCTTATATCGAGATCGAGGATGATGACGATGATGATGAGCTGTAGATGGCAAGTCTCCATGCAGTGCACTTTCCACCACCCTCTTTTCCCCTCTATTGGGATAATGTACAAAGAATTTAATAATATTGGATGAGGGTATTTCGGCCCACTCCATTACAAATCCAGGGTGATTGAAAATATATAAATTGAAATTTACACCACCGCCTCCTCCCCAGCCGGAACAGCCTGAACGCCCACCAATAGCTCTGGGCGGTTCTGTGCCATAACTCTTCCAATCTTCTCCAACATAGCATCGGACAAGACTGGCTTGCCCAAAGCTTTCCTCTCCTCCCTGAGCTTCCTGTTGAGCTCCTGGACCGGTGTTAAAACCCTTGCCTGGGCCAGTTCCAGTCTTGCATCTTCCTCCGCAGTCTTCTTGGCGATATAGCTCTGATCGTGCCTTGTCCTGAACTTGGAGTACTTGTTTCGGAGCTCATCAATCACGCCCGCTGGCATCGGTGGGATCAACAAGGTCGGCTTGAAGGTGGTATTATCGACGTCGTAGATCTTGGTATCGACGGCTGTGTCGGCACGCTTGGGGGCCTCCTTCTCAGGCCATGGGATCGTAACACCCTCCATACCAGGGACTAACCTCTCCCAAGTTCTTGCCTTTGTCTTCTTGTTGGTAAAAATCTTTGACATTTTGATATTGGCAATGATCGTATCTTTAGGAATTCCGGTCTCGGGATCGGGCAGAGGGTATACGAGGCGGACATCTTCGTATTTGACGGGTGCTTCCATGTAGAATACTGGACTGCTCCCCTCAGTCGCATCAGGATTTAATATAGGAACCTTTTTACAAAAAGATTGGGTAAGCATTTATTTCCTAATTTTGAGACCAAGGCATGTATGTGCTCTGGAATAATTACCATATTCACTCCCTTAACGGTGAGCACATTGTTCTTCTTGTCCAAACTCTTAACAACTCCAATCTTATGCCTATCATGTCCCTTCAAGAGCACAACCCTATCCCCCGGGGCAATGTTCCAATATCTGATCCGCTGTTCCGCAGGAACAAATTGTGGCTGGAGTTTTTCTATGGGAACTGTTCCATACTCCTGAGCGTCCGCCTGCGTAATTGCCCTACGGGGAGCTATAGGTCCTAGCAAACGGTCCTCCTTCTCCGCCATGCGAGAGGCCTTAATTTGTTTTGCGATAACCTGATTCCTGTGGTTTTCTTGTCGTATACCATCCTTCATGGCCGCCTTTTCCTTCGTTTCATTCCAGCGCGTGAGGACCCTTGAGGCCTGGTTTTTGGCCCGTAGGCTGCGGTTTATAACCTTCAGCATGGTGACGGGGGGGCAATTGTCGTATATCGATGGAATTCCGTGACCTTAGTGGGGGGGATTCCGAGAATCTCAAGGTTCAATTGAAGCGCCAAGATTTACAGACAATGTTACCCTACGGCTACTCGTACATGCAGCTAACACTGGACCCTTTTTTCTTCTGTCCATACAAAAAAAGTACTGCATGCAAATGTATTTGATGAGGCGGATATTGTCGTAATTGTACATCAGGATGTATGTCATGGCCCCCGCTCCGAATCTTTCTCTCTAATTCGCTTCTCCACCTCAATTGCGAGTTCTCGGGAGCGTTGGCCTCCGGAGTCTGCTGCCGCCGTCAATGACACTTAGGGCTAGGGTGCTTTATATGTTGCACGCACAAAACCGCGGGGTGGGCTTAGGGATAGAAACTGAGCCTCTTGTCTAATCCTGGTCCGAAAATTTACCTAACTCGCGTGCCCCCCATTTCTATTCTATTCTCCTCCACACACAACGAACACTCTCCACCATACATCATATCCAACTACTAATACTGTCCTTTCCTCCAAAACTACTAGGATTCATTTTTTAAACAACAGGGTACGCCTATGGTCTCGATGCCGGAAACAAAGCGCCGCGAGGCTCTTTCAGATAATGATAATAATGGACTTGCCGGCATCCACGTAAAGGGAGAAAAACGATCGTTTTCAGACCAAGAAAATGCAAGCCCACTGAAGGGCCACACCGACAAGAAGACTAGAACTACCAAATCCAGTACCCCAGAAGTACATTCAGCAAGCACTATCTTTCGAAAATTCGTCACCAATGCTTTGAATGAACATGCCATGGTTAGCCCCTCTGCGTCCTTCAATTTCTGCGAGATTCATCGCTGATAATGGATGGCAGGGGAACTCGGCAAACTACCAAGTGCTTCGATTAAAGTTTTCTGCGGATCCATCCGAAGAAGATGCGCCATCATCTCAAGAATTACAAATGACTATCACGGCCCTCTCACAAAAAGTTTCACAATTGAATGGTTCCTGTTCAACCCTTGTTCAGGATATCGTGGAATGCCAGTGGGTGGCAAGGAGTAGTGTTTTTGTAAGCGCCTATGTGCGGTTCTTGGGGAACCTGGTCAGTGCTCATTCTAGCTATATGGGAATGGTAACACGAATGTTGGTGGGTTTTTTTGGCTATCGTATGTTGCCAGTCATTTCGTGCGGTGGACGGATAGGGGTTAGCTAACCTTTGGCTAGTACCAAGCTCTTTGGGTAAACTCCCAAATCATGACCAAGTATCAAGAGCAATGATTCGTGCTCGTGTTCACTACGCCTTACAATTTATTCTCGACTTGGTACCAACAGCAATATTTTCGACTCTGTTCCCATCCCTGGTGGCTGAGTTTCCACACAAGAGTGACAAGAAGCAAGCCCACATAAATTACCTCCAGAATGTGCTGAAGGTCATTGAATATGCCCCTGCTCTACAGAATAGACTTTTGGCAATGATTACAGATCGGGTCATCAAGGTCGATGTTGAGATCCAGGTTAATGTTGAAGATTTAGAAGACGAGGAGGGCGAGGAGCTAGAAGCCGAGCTCACTGGAAATATACCGCAGCTTAAGGATACTTCAACTATCATAGAAGAGGATGATGATGAGTCAGATGGAGATGTGGAATATGATGATGATGAGGATATCGATGCAATCACGAATATCAGGGAGACAGTTGATAAGCTTGACTCTATGCTTTATATACTTTTCGAATATTATTCCAAGACCCTTCCCACAAAGTATAGTCATGAGCCTAAACCGAACGCCATGGATACGTTCGAACTAATGCTTCGAACGTTTGATAACACCATTCTGCCCACCCACCGTTCGCGGTTCACACAATTCCTCCTCTTCTGGGCTGCTCAGAAATCGCCAGAATTCACCAATCATTTCTGCGTCTCCATTATCGAAAAAGCCCTCGACAACACTCGCCCTCAAAAAGCTCGCCAAGCAGCGGCCGCATACATCGCATCTTTCGTTGCAAGAGCAAAGACTATGTCGAAGACGGATGTCCGAGTCGTTGTTAGGCTGCTTTGTCGATATCTTGGGTTATTTGTGGACGAGAGGTCCCATGAATGTCACGGCCCAGACGTCTCAAGATGGGGGGGCTTCTACAGCATCGTTCAAGCGGTGATGTATATCTTCTGCTTTAGGTGGAGAGATTTAAAGGAAGATGAGGAAGACGAATTTGGAATCGTGGAGGAAAAGTGGACATCAGGCTTGGACAATCTATGCAAGGCAGTCCTTTCAAAGTTCAACCCACTGAAGGTACATATCTTCTTGATGATTCTGCACTAATTAAGAGGATTACTAATGAGTCCATCGGCACATAGGTATGCGCACCAACAGTGGTCGAAACATTTGCGAAGATTGCGGCCCATCTCCAGTTCATGTTTTGCTTCTCCGTTATCGAACAGAACAAACGGGCAGGATTCGCCAACGATGGCGAGCTCGAGAGCTACTTCCCGTTCGACCCTTACACTCTGAAGAAAAGCAAAGTATGGATCGAAGATTACTACATCGAATGGCAGCCTGTTGAAGGTTTAGAGGACGATGACGAGGATAGTAGTGATGTTGATAATGATGCGGATGAGGCGGATGAACTAGACGAGGACGAAAGTGATGTTAGCAGGTAGATTTGACTTTTAGATTTTTGGTATTCATTCATATGTATTATAATTCGATCCCTTTAAAAGGTGGCGTCTGTTTTCTATTCTTTCGTTTTTTCTTGTTTTTAACTGCACGGATTTCTTTTGGCAAATGGTTGGGTAAGCGATTTTTCGTTTCGAAGTGGGCATGTTTGATTGGGTTCTAAGATTGGATGGTTGCACGGGGAACAAAAGTTAGCGTTCTTTTATATTACAGGATCAGTTATGGAATATGGACAGCCTTTCTTTTTTACTCTCTTTTCTGTACTTCATATGCCTTGAATCCGAAGCAATCGTTCGGATTTTGTGTAGATATATCATGCCATCCACGTGCGAGAACATCCGCTCTGAACATACACTCAATTTTCCTGTTGATTGTTGGCAGTACACTTCGCAGGGCGTTGTTAGAACTGAGGTTTATAAAGTTTAAACCAGTTTTCCCATTTTGTGGTTCGGTTAGTAGGTAAAAGGTATAGAAATGGGGGAAACATGTTTGTAATATAAATGCCAATGACCAAACCATCATGATCGGATATACCGAGTGACAAACTGTGACTAAACTGGTCAAACCGCGTCATGCAGCACTCTACGAAAGTGTTTGTTGGAGCAATGACTTTGGTGTTATAGAAGCGATATACGGTGGTTGCTCCTGATCGTATTGCGAGGAATGTTTGTACTGGTATTGTCTGTTCATGCGGGATGTGGTTATTCTTCTATAGGGAAACATTTTCAAACACCATATAACCCCAAGTATGGCACCATAGGCATACATATGGTGAGTGGCTCTGGCTGGTAATGTTTTTTTCTTTCCGCTTTTCCTAGGCGGTGTTAGTGGCCACAAAAGCCATGAGGAATATTGCGTTGAAAACGAGTTAGTAGTTGTTCTTTTCTCCGCGATCAAAGATTTACGTATGTACTAGATAACGCTGGCCGTCTATCAAGGACCAGAGAGTAGACTTTCTGGGGCTTTATGTTATAGTAGTTAAAACGTCTAATCCGCAAGAAACAGTATCTAAGAGCCCCCCCCCCCCCCCCACTCATATTTGAACGAATAACCACGGTAACCCAAGACAAATTTGGTCATGGCTCATGAAACCCATAGATAAGTGGCATCTCTGGCCACCATCATGAATACACCTTCATGCACTATCACTCGGTGGTCTTAACACAGGATAAGGCATTACCCGTGGTGGTCCGCCCACGAATATCAAGTGGTTTGCCTCCACACGGTCCTCTATGTCAGCTTTTTGGCGCACCGGGATTTTTCTCATCTCACAAGTGACCAAGCGCCCCGTTTCCTTCCTACGGGGTATTGTAGCGCTAATACCAATATACCAAAACAGCTGAGACCAAAATAGTCCCCTTGGTGATAGCCTTGATCAGAATCCGACCCTTGCACTGTGGCTGTTGCCTGGGTAGGCACCTAGCCCTGTTACCTGGGTCTAAGACAGAGCACATGCTCACCTGCCGTAAGTGGCCCAGCCAAGACAAACCTTATTTACTCGACAACGTCGATGACATCACCGTAGTCAACAACAATTCTCTTATTCATCTTCAAAAATAAAACATATCGTACATCAACATAGACACACAACAGGCCTAAATGATAGAAAACAATAAGGCCTTTGAAGTAATAACTAGAATCTGTCATCAAGCACCCTCCTCCTAAAAAAGTCAGACCAAAGAAAAACACATGGTCTACAAATACCCAGAGCCAAACAAAATCGTAGAGCATAAAAAATTGATACGGCACCAAAAGAAACAAAGAACCAAAAAGAAAAAGAAAACCTTCGTTCGTAATCTCCCCTTTTTTTTTGACCTTGATCTCACTGAAAAGTTAAAGATCCACCTCTGCTCCAAATAAGAGAATTAAGTACTCTACATCTCATCACTAAATCATATCCCCCCCAAAACCTGCCTTAACCGTTATCTTTGGTAACATCCCCTCGAAGGTAAACAAAGGTCCTAACACTTTCCTCCTCATATCAACGTCTTTCCAAATTTCTCCGTACCCAAGCAATCCTGTTATCGAACAGCACTCTCCCAAACTACTCCAGAGCTCCACCAGAACCATCGCGCGCGCAAAAAAATAATAGCAAGAGATAGGAAAGAGAAGAAAACTATAACTCCGTTACACACGCACACACAACACACACAATAAAAAGGGGATGAAGGGTTATTTACAAGGAGTTAACATGCTGAATCAGGAAAGTAGAAGAAATGTTAGGTGAATGAAGAAGGATGTAGTGAGTATGCAGGGTATATGGAAATTTGATATTTCCGCCCAACACACGTGAACCACAAAGGAGAATGTGAAGCGAAAGAAACCCGATACCTTCCGTTCTATCCAAAGAAGCACCCAAGCTTTTGACCGGAAAAGGGCAAAGGAAAAAAATATTGAAACGAGAATAAGGATTAAAATGTCAAGAGATATGAGCATTAGCTCATGCGTTATAGTCGGCGTTATACCTAGCGAAGGACACACGAATAAAAAGGACAGAAATAAGGTAATGTTGTTACAGGTGAACAGATATCAAATCTGTTGCCGCGAATCCACGTCCACAATTGGGGCATTTTCTTGACCTCGATGCGATCCTTTCGTCGGCACATTGCTTGCAGAAAACATGCCCGCATGATCTGATCGCAGTATTCTTGAAGCGATTTCTGCATACAGAGCAGAGAGCGATTTGCTTTTTGAGGGTTAGCATTATTACACCAAAAATCTCCGCGAAATTATTACATACTCTTAGTGCCTCAAGTTGTGAGTTCTCGCTGCCTTTCGGTTTGTTGCTTTCAAGCGCTCTATGTGCATCTTCAAGCTTGACGTGTAGTTTTTCAACCTCAATTTCGGCATCCCGCCTAGCCGATGCCTCCTTCGAAACGGCGAGGTCACGATTTTTCAGAAAAGTACTGAGCTCCGTGACTTGTGACTTTAACGATTCAATCGTGTTGTTTTGTTCCGTGACTCGAGATTGAAACTCGCGATTTTTAGTAATAAGGGTTTGCTGAGTCGTCCTCATTTCGGCGATCTGTTTCTCTAGGTTGCCCTATTTACTATTAGCTCCAAATCCTACTCCGAAACTAACATTTTTGACATACCATCAAATCTCGAACTTTCCTCTCTGCTTCCTTAAGCTGAGTAATTATCTCTGTACTCTTTGAGTTCTGGTTTTTCAGGGCTCGGTTCTCCGCTGAAAGAGTCTCTTTAGCTTTCATTGCTGAAAAGTACTTCTGGTCCGCTTTGTTCTTCTGCAAAGGAAATCAGCACCCCATCGTTGAAACATTACTTGAAGGACCCGCACCTCTGCCTGTAGCCTTTTCATTCGGTCCTCATTTTCTTGAATGCTTGTCACTTTCCTAGTGTTGTGTTCGAGGGCCTTCTTGAATGCTTGTTCCAAGCTCGGGAGTTCTTGAGCTAGGACTTTATAGGCTTTGTCCAATTGCTCGTGCTTCTGACGAAGCTCCTCGAGTCCCATATTGGCAAATGTGGGATCTGACGGGGGAGTTTCCTTATCCAACTGCAGTCTTAATCTTTCAACCTCCATCTCCAAGGAAGCTATCCTAGAACCCCTAGTTTCCGCCAATTCGCTGAGCTCTTTTGTCGCCACTAGCTTCTGATCTTCCCTGGACTTGCGCTGTGTCTGGTCCTGGATCAGCTCGTCTCTACCCGCCCGTACACGAGCCAAATCCTGCTCAGTTTTTGTGAGTTGTAGCTGCATATCCGAGATCACCACTTGCTGCTCCGCGAGAATGGTATCTTTATAGGCAGTACGTTCGGCCTCTAGCTTTTCCGACCTTTCACTAAGCTCTTTATTGAGAGCTTCAATATGGTTATATCGAGTTGCTAAGTCCTCAAGTTTAACTTTCAGATTTTTGTATGCATCGCACGATGCAATATCTTCCTCGGATAGACGGCCGAACTAGAACCTCTAATAAGCCATATGCCCCATAAGTGCGCGCCCGATGACCCGGGAAGAAAATACCTTGATTGTAAATGTCGTAACCTTCTCCGATAACCTCGTGTTATCTGTTTGTAATTGCTGCAATTCCTCCTTCTGCTTACAAGCAATAGCTTGCGCCTCCTTCCGAGCCTGCTCAGCATCCGCGACATTTCCCTCAGCAACCTTGGCATTGATTTCATGATCTTTTGCCGACTGCTCATCACTTGTACCTCCTTCTTTCTTAGAATCTGGACCGGTATTCGAATGAAACATTGCCTGGCGCTCAATCTTGGCCAATGTTTGACTCTTTAGCCGATCCACCTTTTTCTCGGCGGTCATGTATTTTATAGTCGCCTCTGTGAGCCGCGCGTTCGCATCTTCCTTCTCCTTCATCAGTCGAGTGATTTCAACCTTGTGCGCTTTTTCGCTAGCCAAGAGGCTGCTTAGCCGTGCTTGCAGCGCGTCAACTTTGTCACTCTTTCCATGATCAGACGAAGTGGACTTTAGTGATTTAAAGAGAGCATTTAACGAAGAAGTAATATGAACTTGTTTTTCCTTCAAATGTCCAGAAAACGTTGCGACATCGTCGAAAAGCAGTGAAGATGGGAATTCTGAAGAGGCTGATTGCATAACACGACCCGTCAATTTTTTTGTCGATCTTTCACGGGTCAGCAGCACCAGTAAAACTCACCTCCATTAGTATAACCCCCACCAGCATGATCAGGTTGATCGGTAAGTAATCGGACTTCGTCGAGCAGCTATGCGTCAAAAACTCAGCCATAAACTCGAGAGGGGAAGAGTTCAAAGCTCGGCCTTACCTGATCCCACCAAGCATCTATGACCCTTAAATGGTCATCGTGATAGGTTGACTTCTTTTCTAGCTCCTCTACTCTAGTTTCGAGCATATTCCTCTCTCTCTTATACTCCATCATCTGCCGCCATATTGCTTCTTTTTGAAAATGCTTTGTTGTTAAGTCAAGGGTTAGTATTGAAAGGAGGAAACGGTGGAGAGTTGTTGTGAAGCGAGCTCTACCGAGGGGGGTTTAGAGGGGAGGCAACTTACGACTACATCTTCCTGACTTTGGGGAAGCTGGTGTGAGTTTTGCTGGTTTGAAGAGGAGGAAGATTGAAGTGCTTGACGTTTAAGAGGGGGGGTAGCATCATCAGATGGTTCATGGGGAACGGATCTTTTCCGGTCTTCCATGGTAAGCACTGCGGTTCTCATGAGCCAGAAGGATCGGAAGGCCGATCCAGTTTGGAGGGTGTCTTGCTGATAGTTGATTTATGTAAAGAAAGAGTAAGATGAATGAGAGGAAAGATGAAGCACAACAAAGAGAAAGAGAAGGGGAGAGGAGAGGGGTGGGAGGGGGGTGGAGTAAGGGAAGAGGAAGATTCTCCTTTTCTCGCGGTGTCTTGACTGCTCGCAAAACGCGGAGGAGTGAGTGTTGCTTTGGATTCTGCGGCTGCTCAGCCTAACCCGCGGTCTGTGCCAAGCCATATGATGAGTCAGCAGCCGCTGCACAATCAGCAGCGAAACCGATGCACCATCCTGTGGGGTGAATTGACGGGTAGGTGAATGGATTGGTGGATGGATACGGCTGGATGATGGATGCGAGTGAAGAAGGAAGGTACACTACATGGCTGGGATCCTGTTTATCTGCCACTCATGACAATTGCTTTTGGGGTCATTTGTCCTTTAAGCCGGGGATCGAACGCCAGATCGGTCCAGCAGGATCCAGTTGATAATCGTTCTAGAATTGGGCACTTGTCAACACGAGTCATGGATTTGAGGAATGGGTCTACCGGAGATGCCTAGCCAAATTTCCCCTTTATCATTCTACGAATACAATCAATCTCCTTTATACAATTCATACAAATCGCCCTTAAGCACTGACACTGGTCTTTATATGGTTTGAACAGGACAAAACTAGGCTATCTGTCGCCCTCAAAAAGAAGTGAGCAAAGCAAGGCATGCACATCCTTGTCATAAGTGAAATTTCGAGGGAAATTGAATATAAGAAAGTAAAAAAAAAAAATAGTATAATTCTACTGCCGCAGGAAACAAAAACAAAAAAAACACAACACTCTGAAACCGAATCACCCCACGTCACCAGAAAACCATTTTTATTATTTATTCCGAAGGAAACACCCAATGTTTCCTCCCTCTTTAACCCAATAACGGGACGTATTTATAAAGAAAATAAATTCTAAGCTGTGGCCTCCGCAGCAGGCGCAGGAGCAGCCTCGGTAGTTGTAGCAGCGGGAACGGGAGCGGGGGCATCAGAGGTGGCAGTGGCGGCAGCAGGAGGGTCCAGGTATTGCTTGTCCTGCCATGGACCATCGTCACTGAGTTCACAGCCGCCTTGGCAAGCACATTCACCACCGAATGCTACAGGAAGGTTCTCGGCGGGAATCTGCTTGAGAAGCTCGGATTTGTACCCTCCACCCAAAATGTTGATTTTGTCAACCTAGAAAAAAATGTTAGCTCTAAGAGACACTTGAGAATAATAACTATGGTGGGGCCATTTACAGTAACAGGATCCAAGAACTTCTTCACAACGCTGAAAACACCAGAGAAACCCCAGGGGGCATTGATGATGTACAGCTTTCCTAGCCTTTCAGGGTAGTAGTTTTGCGAGATCTTCGAAACTTCGCTGACGAAGCCGTATACAGAAGAAACACTGGTGAGACCAACACCCTTCAAATCCATGATGGTACAGCAGGTCTCAAGGAGCTTGCCAGACTTTCGCGAGCAAGCTGGAAGACGAGGGTTGGCGAGCTTCTCGTATTCGATAACGAGATTCTTGAGCATTCGGTCCATAGATGTGATCTTGTACATGGCAGTCAGGTCGATCTTTCCGAGCTGTTCGATGTAGACAGGGCGGCCGTCCTAGATTGGAGAGGCACTATGAGTTTCTGCAAATCTTCCTCGGGAGAGAGTAAGGCCGTGCATGAGACCCATACCTTATCAGTCTTGTGATAGTACTGGGGGTAGTACTCGAAGACTTTTGGCTTTTCGACATATTCGAAATCCTTCATGATCTCGTCTACCTTGAATTCCTTCCTCCAGGCCTCACAGTCTGTGAACATCTTTTTGGCCAAAGGAACATCGAATTTCCTGGCTCTTAAGAATCGGAGCTGAATAGATATTAGTGGTGATTAGCTATGACGACTCGCCAAGCATTGGAGAATTGGGGGGGGGGGGTAGGTAGGTTAACGAACCAAGGTGATAGTGTCGAGTCTCTCTGTGTAACCCTCCTTCTCAAGCTCCTCCCTGAACTTGACGACCAAAGCATCTTGCTCGGGTGTGGTATGTCCTGGATGCCCAGGGCCGGTTGCGGGGTTTGTTGTTGGAAAGGTGTAATGATCGTACTTAGGATCAAGCTTCAGGTCGACGGTGCTAACTTCTCCCATTTTTAATTAGGTGATTGGTATGTGTGGTCTAAAGCTGTAAAGTATGTATCTAAGAAGGATGTGTCTTGAAGTCAGTATTAGTCCACACAGCTCAACAATAGAGAGATATTCACAAAAAAAGAACAGATCTTAGCGGGGGTGGGTTTGTAGAAGAAGGAGGGGTTGACGAACACAAATGTGGAAATCAATGGATGGATTTGGGGGGGCGGGAAGTGGCTATGAAATAACGACAAAATGCTTATGAACGAAAATAGAAAGGGAGAGGAAATATATGGTTACTGACAGACACGCAGTGATATGTAGATGTAGATGGAAAGAAGAAAGGAGAAGGGGAGAGGAGATGAAGCCACGAGCCCTTGTATATGTATATAGCAGAAGCGAGTGATGATGATAGGAGGAGGAGAAAGTCAGCGCGAGAGAACCCAGCAGCAGCTTGAATGGTTGGAGCGGAGTAGTGCAGAGGGTTAAGACCCAAACTTATTACTACATGATGTGCCTAGCAACCAGCAATCTAACAATGGCAATCCCAAGCCCCAAGCCGTAAGGGGTGAGGAGTGACACCGAGCGGCAATCCCAAACCAAAAATGAACGAGTGTGGTGGGCTGGGAAAGAAAAGAAGAAAATCCTGCCGGACGCTGTGGCCTCAAAAAGCTACCTGTAGAGTGTATACCTACATGTAACTCTACATTACCTTGTAGCCCTTTACTCTATTCTCTAGAGTACCCAACCTCTACGTACGCCTCAACCCCCGTGCGCACGCCTCCAGTTTCCCTGAAATTGTAACTGATATGCGGCTTGCCGCATGCCCGAACTGAACGTCGTACTTCGGCTTACGCGGCGTTCGTTTGATGGCTTACCGGGGCTAATTTCGGCATTTTATCATGTTTCACCGGGATCTCGGCCGTACAGACCGGATTATCGGGCACAGCAGCTACCTCTCTATAAGAATACATCAGCTCCTGAGGCGTGACATCTCAAACAAATCGGAAATAGTAGATACACGTCTTACTACATCTAGTTGCATTACCAATACCAGTTCCTCGGTAGCTTTGCCTTCGTGTGTATCCAAAGTTGAATCTGCACACAAATGCCCGCTGACCTGGCCGTTATGCATGGGGATATATTACCACCTGCATGGAAATTACTGCATGTTCTATATAATAGCTACTAATTTCGGCTGATACCAGCGATATTACAATACGCTTTAGTTCACGATCCTGTCCTGAGGGATCGAGCAGAGAGGCGTGATTACTGACCAAGTATGCGCCATATCAACGCTGCTAGCCAGATATCAAGAAATGGACAGAAACAATAAGGGCTTGTCCAGTAACACGGAAGCTTTTATATTCAACCTTAAGCCCTGCATATGGGTAATATCGGGGAGGGGGGATAAAACTCGGGACCTTCCTCCCACGTTTTTGAATAGAGATCCTCCTAAAGCATGGGTACGATGTCTCGCTAGGTTCCTGGGTCATGGACAAACAACCAGAGCAGCTTTCAAGGCACCCCCCAACCAACGGATCACCGCCCCACGATCTTTCTTAGCGCAGGGATGGATCGTGCCGAACGGTCATAAACTGCAGTCACACCCCATCACTCGTCATTCCACAAATCGGGTAATGATCTCTAGTCAAGTTGCATAATGTATCACCACGTTTTACAAAAGAGTAGCGAAATAAGGATAGACAAGAGGATGTATACAAGCGTGTAAACACCCACCACGCCGCGAAAAGAGACCAACCCACCCGCATCCATATTTCATAATCATTAACCGAACCGAGTGCAAAAGTGAGGAATAGGAAGAAGGAAAAGGCGTAAAAACAGTTAACCGGAATCGAATGTAGTAGTTATGGCAAGCTTAAAAAGAAATGTCCCGTCAATGGAGTATAAGAAATATACATTATACGGTTAGGCCAAGTCATCCTCGTTGATAATAGCTACGAAAAAAACCCTGGTCAGTATTTGAGGTATAATCCACAGGTGCCTCCCAGATTTGGTAGTGGTTTTAACTTACTCTCCTTGACCCTCAAAAGCATTGTGGTCTTCCACTTATCGAGTTTACTCAACTGGTCAAACTGGAACACCGTATCTGAAAACGCCTCATCATCTCCTTGATCAACAGCTTCGATGATACTCTGTAGCAACTGGTATTCGCGGGTACTTGGGAACGTCATGTCCATCTCCGTGTAGCTTTCAAGAGCTCGCTTTGCAGCGATTTTGTCCTGTAAACAATCCTTGTTAGCCAGGACGCCCCTCATCTACCGAGACTGGAGAACTTGCCCCAGCAGCCATATGGCAGATGCCGGCCTTCAAAAAGTAATCTTTTAAGCTCCATTTCATCAAGTTGTTCCCCGCTGAGCTCTTTGCAACGCCTTCATAGCGCTCAATAGCCTTCGGGTAGATCTGCTCCAGAGCCGCCAGGTCTGCAACCTTTAGGTACACCTTATTCGCCAGAGCCTCTGCATTATCGCCTTGAAACCAATCACCAGCTAGTTCATAGGCATCGATCGCGCGCTTAATGTCGCCCAATTCAAGCTCAAACAACTCTGCAAGATTCTGCTGGTGTGTTGCGGCGCGGCGGAAGTTGCCCTTTAGAGTGTAGTGACTGATTGCTTTTTCGAGAACGCGCGCGGCCGCCGAAGGATCATCTTTCTTGTAGGCTTTGTAAGCTTCCACGTGGGTGTTCGCAGCGTCGTCTGGTTCGTTGATCTTATTAAGTTGAATATCTGCTGCCTTTTCAAAAGCTTGACCAGCTTCTCTGCCTGTGGGTGGGAAAGAGGTAAGCTTAGAAGGAGGGGGACTGGGCTGAATGGTAGAAACCTAGTTTATTCATTCGGAAGGCGTTGGCGGCCTGCGTGTAAAGGTCTGCGGCAGATTCGAGCTTGTCCTGGCGACCAGTGTTAAAGAAGCTGAAGCCACCATGCGCGGAGGCAGCTGCCTTGTCGGCCTAATAGGTATGGGAGGTTAGTTGGTATGCTTGGGAAGTGGGGAGGGGGGGTAGTTAAGACCTTTGCGAGGAGTGCTCTGGGATCTTGAGCCATGGTTGATATAGAGCTGTGGGTTTATGGAGATATATGCACTGTGTGAAATTAAAGTGAATGTGGATAGCTCTGTCGTCCTTGTGATGCTTGGTCTAAGTTAGAGTTAAGACTCGCTGTCTAGATACTATGTCACCTGGCGGGGGATAGCTGAGGCTTGGCAGGCGGTGTTCCTTATCTAATCCAACAAGCCAATTGTTCAAGCGGCGGACAATTGAGTTCAACAATTTTCTAGTCAACTGAGACATGCATTTGACTCTAGCCAATTGTGATCCACTTCAAAGATAGCAGGCCAATACATACATGTATTCTAGAAAAGGTTTACTCAGGCCAGGATACGGCTACAACTTTATGATGCTGCAAATCACCTGTGTACATCAAGGAGTATTCAGTCAAGAATCGCAATGTTAAAATTTAAAAAAAAGCCTTCCTGATATTTACTGTGATCAGAAGCAGTTGAGTACCTGATATTAGCCGTCTCTTCTCAACACATAGATAGCAAACCAGTATATTCTCTACTAAACAACCGTGGTCTTTTTTTCTTCTAGGTCGCAACAAAGCTGAGGAGTAAGATACTCTAAGATAGGGCCCTATATAAACTTATATCGAGCATCTGTAGCGGGCATTACCTCGCTGTGTACTAATGCTATCGTAAGATTTATACTATAGCGTATATCTCAGACCCAACACATGGTAAAATACTTTTTTTTTCTCCCCCAAAAGGAAAGTCCTCCCACACCGCGTGATTTTCAGACATTCGGATCTGGTCCAGTAAGCAGCGAACACCAACAGTTATTTACTCCCGGAGCCCCTTCTCCCTTCCTTCCCTTATTCTTCACCAACCTACCTACAGCATCCCCTCTTCAAAACTCTCCACAATGGCATCAAGTTCCTCAATCGCGCCGTCCAAGAAGTCGAACCAAGCCCTTCTCAGCACACCGCTCCATGGGCTCTACATTCCAATTGGCCTTCTAGTTGTCGGAGTTGCCATCATTGACTACAACTACGTGCCACATGCCGTCGCCGCGGCCGCTGTACTTGGTGGTCTCAAGGTCTTCCGCGGTCGTGAGTTTATGCCCCTTTTCTGATAGCGCCTAAGTGGGACGTGCAATGATTTTACGGCGCTGACATTTCCCTTTGCGCTTACTAGAATCACGAACAATTCTCAAGCCCGACGTGTTCCAAGAATTTGAACTGGCCGAGGCCATTGCCGTTTCTCACAATGTCGGAATGTACGGAACCCGGTTCCCAGCGCTTTCCCCGTCTATTTACTAATTTAATTATAGCTACCGCTTCAACCTCCCCCGAGCAAATGATATCCTTGGTCTCCCTATCGGCCAGCACGTCTCCATTGCCGCCACCATTGACGGAAAGGAGATAGTCCGCTCATACACCCCCATCTCTTCTGATGTTGACAAGGGCCAATTCTCCCTTCTTATCAAGTCCTACCCTACTGGCAACATCTCCAAGTATATCGCCGGTCTCAAGGTTGGGCAGACTATCCGGGTCAAGGGCCCCAAGGGGCACTTCCATTACCGCCCCAACCTTGTCCGCGCTTTCGGCATGATCGCCGGTGGAACTGGTATCACTCCGATGCTGCAAATCATTAAGGCGATCTTGAGGAACCCAGAAGATAAGACACAGATCGACCTGCTCTTTGCAAACGTTAATGAGGACGATATTTTGTTGAAGGAGGACCTGGATGAGCTCTCGTCCACCCACTCCAACTTCCGTGTTCACTACGTTTTGAACAATCCCCCAGAAGGCTGGACTGGTGGTGTTGGCTTTGTTACCGCCGATATGATCAAGGTTCGCCCCACTTGCCCTTTTAAAATTCAAATAAAATTCTGACAAAAGGATTAGGAACGATGCCCTCCCCCTGCCGGAGACGTCAAAATCTTGGTGTGCGGTCCCCCACCTATGGTCTCAGCTATGAAGAAGGCCACCAGCGCCCTCGGCTACGAGCCCGCGAAGCCCGTGTCCAAGCTCGATCACCAAGTTTTCTGCTTCTAGACCATATATTTGGACCATTATGTAATTTTTTTTGCTACGAAGGCGCTGGGATTGGGAGGGGTAAAAAGAATACTATAGATGATCATGATGAAGGGCGTATCTCTCATAATACCAATATTAATTCTTTTTGACTTTTTAAAACCCTGAAGGTTTTGGTTTTAAGTGGTAGGGTGAGGACAGATCTCGGGAGTGATTCATGAAACATCACTCGTTCGGTCTCGTGACCCAACCCCGGCTCAACATCCGCCCATGTTGTCCAGTAAACAAACATACATTAGCCACAAATATTGGCAGCCACGAACTAAGCACAGGCGGTCCTTTTGGCTACAGGAAGCCTGCCAATAACAGATCGCAAATACCAGACCGTTTTCTCATGAGCATGACACTTTTTATTACAGCGGAGTTAATGGGATGTGGTGAACATGTAAGATAAGCCAGGCTACACCTTGCTCAAAGCTAGATTATGTGGCCTTATTGAAATGTCATCCGAGTATTTCCTCTTAACTTGAAGACGAACAAACATCATAGGCTGTTATGTCCTGCTCGCTCTTTCCTAAACAACGGTTTCCACAGTAAGTACCTGCCCCACCTAGCACATAAAACGCCCACGCCAACTAACTGCAGGGCCATATTGCTAAATATCGTTCAGTCAGGATGCATTATCGAATTCGTCCCTCCCTCACAAATATCTCGACCCAAGAGCTTGTCGTGGTTGGGTCAAAGAATGAGGAGCAAGCAGCAGACCCCAAGATTCGAAGATTATGGGAAGACCAACAAACACAGAAATCAGACCCAGAGCCGTTGTACTTTATGAGACGCCCAAAATCAGCCTTTCTTACAGACTTTGTTGTCGAATTTGTCGAGTTTGGCTGCCAGTACGTGTTCATTGCCTCGAATGGCCTAGGCCAATGGTACTATGACCCGATCATAGTTGCAGAAGAAGAGCTGGGTCTTTCTTTGCCGGCCGCCGTGAAGACCATCTCACACCCCTTCTACAGCGAGGACCTTGTCCGGGTCACGGTGGGACTACATAAATCACTAATGATTCTGCTACTAGCCGGTGGCAAGTTTGGGGATTGGACCTTTTGCCATCAGCCCAAAAGCCATTATCACCAGGTCCTCAAAGTGTTCTGGAATCTTGAACTCTACACCGAAGATCTCGGTAAAGTATGGGGTACTCAAGACCGCCCAGAAATAGGTTATACGACACATGTTGTCTGCGGAAGTGCCAGGCTTGTTGATATTTTTGATGCCTTGTGTGGAGAAAAGGTGAAAGATAAGGATGAGTTATTTTTGACTGATGTGCCAACTTATTACGACCTGGTTCGTTACAACTACATGAGAGCAGCGGGAACTGATAGACCGATGCTCAAAATGGTGATCGGAAAATCGTACTCATACTACCAGGGAAGGGTTGAACAGCTTTGGTTGTGTGACTTGGGCTGGAAGGTCCACGTGGTTGATAGTGCGGCGTGGGTAGTTCCATCAAGGCGGACCTGGCTTGAACAAAGCACAAAACCCTATAATCCAAACAATAAAGATGTTGTGGTTAATAATGGCGCCAAAAAAGGATGAGGAGAGTCTGACTGAGGCCATTCAAGGGGCGTTGGACGGGGATGGCGCGTTGGCGGGGAGTCAATTATTGCTAGCTGGAAATTAATTATGAAAATTAATTGTTCAAACTGATCCTGTACTGCTGTATTATGGGGTATGTTTTTGTACTGTATCAAATCCTTTTTACCCTGGGGTAAAATAAAAACTTTGTTATTAGAACACCTGGAATGAATGAGATATAAAGCAACATGCCATTCATCGTATTTTTTGTGGGCGTATGGGCATATCTTATGTGAATATGTTATTAGGAGAATTAACAACTGCACGTAGTCTAAAAGTTGTCTGATCTGCTTCAGATCTCTGAACAATCAACAACAATTTTTAACGTAAGCTTATCATCTTCCTGGAGAATTTGACACCTAAAATTGCAGATGCTGGTTCCGTGGAGCTATTTTTCCTGCTCCTTGATCTTGATCTTCGTCGATTCCTGATCTCGACAGAGGTGTTTCCTGTTATATCAATCATTGACTACTGGTCCACACTATCAACAATACCGGTATGATGAGGTATTGCAGGTTTAAAGCAGTCCCATCGTGGATCTAGGCCAGTATTTGATAGAGTTGATATAAGCACTTGCCAACCAATATTCGCATCCTCAAATTTATTAACACCTTGGAAACGGCCTTGATTGTTGCTTCAATATCCCTCTGCTGATGGGTCTCGGACCCCGATCATCCTTGATTTGATATATGTGCTGGCGATATTTATCCACAGCTAGTACGTTAGAATGAGCTCCGGGGTATCTGGTTAAGCCCTGCTAAAGCTTGGGCGCCTGTTGACCCAAACACTTCTGAGCGAACGTCTGATAAGTATATATATACCGACTAGTACGTAATATGCACTTTCAAGTATATGGTCCGGCATGTCTGTGAACTCTCTGCACAATGGTATATGTAGTTCCATTATATCATGGGAGCCGTATCTAGAATTAAATAGTAGTGTATGCGATTCAAAACCACTAGTAGTGGACATGAGCTGTGCTGTACACGAAACTTGCTGAGAGGTTTCTTCTTTGACTTGGTAGAATGTATAATCAGAGAATATGTAACGATATAGTTGTATTCCGCAATTCGGAGACCTGTGACTGCTCCATGGCATGGTATGCCTAAGACAGGTAGAAGCCTGTGTGTTAAGGGTCGTTTCTGTGGTTGGATGAAGACTGGTGGCACGTACACCATTACCGCACTTCCGCCGGAGAAGTCAGGAAGAAATGCGGAGGGTGGAAAGGAGGAAGAGGAGAAAAATATACAAGTCCTGTGAAATAAGCCTGCCCAAGAAATAAAAGTCAAAAAGATAAAATTCAATCCCTAAATCCAGAAATTAATAGAACATCTGTCTCCTCTAAGTAATTGGCAGATCGTCGTTGATGTGCATAAAACGGGGCAACCGCTAGCGACATTATAGCGGCGTTGCTGGTAGTGATGATGATGATGATGAAGGCGTGGTTGTTTATCAAAGAATAAAAATGGGTTGAATGATGAGAGAGGTGGTTCAGTACATGTAGCTGTGGGTGCCAAGGGCTGTCATACTGAAGTTTAGGGTTTCATTTGCACGGTTTTGGCCGATTAGCGGGTTGGGCCCTTCACAAGACCGAGAGCAGCTCTCCCCTCTCCCGATTTAGAGCTACACACCAGAACTCCTTTGCCAATCCCCACAGCCTCATCCCGCCCTTCTTATCACTGTATCTATTGCCCAATCCCCGCCTTGCATCTTAATCATGAGCTATCACTCGACGGTATATTCCCCCCCAGCAAGAGTCTTTCTGGGCATTGTGGGGGATATCTTGGATATGTTTTCCCGCACAGTAATACTGTCTGAGCAATCTTACTACATGAATGCGTGATATTCTGTGATCATACGTGAAAAGTAGGAATCTCAAGAGTGGTTGACTACAGCTACATACCAGCTATCCCATCACTTTTGGCTGGCGGTGCCTAGACGATTACAGTTCAGAGTTGGCAAGTCAAGTATTTACTCAATATGGACCGGACCTTCTATGGGATGTTTCTTTCCTGTACAAGTACTCTCAACGCATGATACATGGGGGATACGGGCCCCCTTCCTAACAGTCCCTTTTGATTAAGACCTAAGTAACCTGTGATGAAGAAGTCCTCCACTCCAAGTTCTTTTCCTTGCCAATATGATACCACCGGCCTACATGCATGTAATCAGACAAAAAAAAAACCCAACGCCATACCGCCCTACAACGTAGAGAAAAGAGCAAAAAAACCAGCCACCAGAAAAGAAGAAAAGAAAAGTTAATATTAACACCACCCCCAGTCTTTTTCTACCCCCCTCACTACCCCCCTCACTACCCCCCTCACAACTCCTCCGCCTCCGCCGCCTCCCTCGCCCTCATCGCCTCATACTCCTCCCTACTCATGAGCACCTCCTCCTCCCCCGCGCCTGCACGCGCACCCTTCTTCTTCCTCCCCTTCTTCTGCGCCTCTCCCACACCCACGCCAATCCCGCTGTCGCCCGCAATCATGGCCGCGTTGGCAGCCTCCTGCCGCTCCCGCTCCGCCTCGACAATGTGCGATGCCGCCGCGGTCTCGCTGGCCTCGTGCTCGTCGCGCAGCTTTTGCAGCTCGTCTTCGAGCTCCTGCGGGTCCTGGAACTCTTGCGAGGTGAGGGTGCTGTATTGGCCGATATCTGCCAGAGCTCTGCGTTAGCATCTAAACCCAGCTAGTAGTAGTAGTAGTAGTACTAGGGGAAAGGTCCAGAGGAGGAGGACATACCAATCGCAATCCTCGTCCTCAGCGCATTCGTAATCCGATGCGGATTCTTCCTCTCCTCGCACAGATACTTATTCCTCATCTGCCTTCTACTCCTCCCCGGGAACATTTTCGAGATGATCTCAAAGTCCGTGCCAAACATGGACAGCGCCTCGTAGAAGCGGCCCGTCTGCTCGGCGTCCCACTTGGACACCTTTTCGCGCTTGGAGAAGGTCTGCGAGGTGATGCGCCGCGTGTGCTGGTTCTCCTCGACAATCTCGAGCGCGTCCTCGTCGAGGGCGTCGCGCTCGCGACGGTCGATTTGCAGCGATTCGTCGTCGATCACGATTTCGCCGTTGACGATGCGGACTTGGGCGGCGTTGAGGCTGTGGTTTGTGGTTGGTTCTAGTTAGCAACCGAATTCCAAAAAGTAGATATAGATATAGATGGAAAACACAAACCCCTTCTGGTTCCTCTCCACCGCCAACCTCTCAATCCTCATCTCCGTCGTCTCCAGCCCCCTCTCCTCCTCGGCGGCCCTGCGCGCCTCATCCGCCTCCTCCCGCTCCTGCTGCGTCAGCGCCGCGCGCGCCGCCTCCTCCGCCTGGATCTCCATGAACCGCGCGCTCTTGCGCCCGATGCGCATGTCCTTGCACAGGTCCTTCATCTTGACAACATTCACCGCAATCTCCTGCGCCTCCCCGTCCTCCGGCGACTCGGCGCGCCGCCTCCCCCGCTTCTTGGGCGCCGCCGCCCCTACCCCTCCCGCCCCTCCCGCCGCTTCTGCGCTGCCGTCAGCGGCGGGGGTGCGCTTCTTGCGCGGCTGCGCGGGCTTGCGCTTTGCTGCTGGTTCGCCGTTGGCGGTGGTGCGCGCTTTACGCTTTGCTGCGGGCCTGCGCTGTGGTGCTTCGCCTGCGGCGGCGTCTTGATCCTCATCGTCGTCGGCGGCGGCGTCTTCATCTTCCTCCACAGCCCTCGCTCGCGGCTTCCTCCCCCTTCTTGGCGCCGCCTCCTCGACCACCATCTCCTCCGCCTCGTCGTCGTCCTGCATGTCCGCCTCTTCAAGCACCGTCGGTGTCGTCGCTGTCGGCGTCGTGATGGGCGTCGGCATTGCGGACTGGGTCCCGGGGATGCCGTTCGCGGACGTTGAGTGCAGCATTGGGATCGCTGATGCGGAGGAGGACGCGGACGAGGCGGATCGGATCATTGGGATTCCCGCATTGGCTCTTGGTGGGGCGGGGGCGGGGGTGAGGGCTGGCGCTCTACCGGTGTTGGTGTTGGTGCTGGGGCGGGGGTCGTGACTGGGATTGGGGCTGAGGCATCGTCGCTGCTGGAAGAGGTCTCTTCTGGTGTGGTGGTGGGGGTGGGGTCTTCGAGTATTGTTGGTTTTGAGACGGCGGCGGTAGTGACTGTGGTGGTGCTTGGGTGGGCGGGACCTGAGGGGGTGGGACCGGCGACGCGGGGGCGGGCGCGCGCTTTGGGGACGAATTTGTTTTTTGACTTGTCTGTGGGGGTGGGAGTGGGAGTGGGAGTGGGAGTCAGAGTCAGAGTCAGAGTCAGAGTCAGAGTGCGGGAGTGAGGACGGGCAAGGGTAAGATGGGTACTTACTGACAACTGAACTCATGGCCAATGTCGTGAGAGTGAGAGATAGATAGAGAGAGAGAGAGTAAAGAGACTGGCTGAATGACTGACTTCTGGTGGTGAGAGCTGTGAGAGTGCAGTGGTGGTGGTGGTGGTGGTGGGGTTGATGAGATGAGATAATATTTCCTCTTCGTCGCAGCGCGGGATGAGCGCTGCCAGGGATTCGGGTAGTTGTCAGCACGTGCATTTGCAGCGACAGGAACAGACCCGAGTGCGAGCAAGTCAATACACCAACTCTCACAACTCTCACAACTCTGCAAACACACGCAGAAAACACAACAATCCCTAGAAATCAAATCACAATCATGGCGACAAACATCGTATTAGACACCACTATGGTACAACAATCCTCTCCCAATCTCTCACGCGCGCGCAGTCTCACAGCACAGCACAGCTAACACTCCCCCAGGGCAGCATCTCCGTCGAGCTCTACGTCGACCACGCCCCCAAGGTGCGCCCACGAAGCCCCCCAGTCCCACTATCTCCCATTAACAAACATTCATATATCTAACATCCCACCCAAACAGACCTGCCGCAACTTCGAAGGCCTCGTCAAGCGCGGCTACTACAACAACTGCCCCGTCCGTACCACCACTCCACATCCACCTTCCTACCTCCCTCATCCGGCGCGCGCACAATGCTGACTGACCTGCCCACCAGTTCCACCGCATCATCCCCGACTTCATGATCCAAGGCGGCGACCCCACCGGCACAGGCCGCGGTGGCTCCTCAATCTACGGCGGAAAGTTTGACGAGTACGACTCACCTCACCTCTCCCCCTTCCTCCTCCTTCATCCTTCTCCTCCGCCTGCGTGTAACTGGCTGACTGACTGACTGTGTACTGGCACTAGCGAGATACACCCGAATCTCAAGCACACGGGCGCCGGGATCCTGTCCATGGCCAACTCGGGGCCCAACACCAATGGGTCGCAATTGTGCGTATTCCCTCCTCTTCTTCTTCCCGTTCATAGCCTTTCCAGAAACTAACCCTCGGGTAGCTTCATTACGCTTGCGCCAACGCCGTGGTTGGACGGCAAGCACACCATTTTCGGAAGGGTCACCTCGGGCATGCGCATCGTGCAGCGGATGGGGCTCGTCAAGACGGACGCGAACGATAAGCCGATCGACGACATTTCAATCATCAAGGCGCGTGTCGTGGTCGAGGGCGAGGAGTAAGGCCGGGGGAGTGGTGGAAAAATACCTGTCAAGTTATAGAAGCAGTAGATACATCATATACTTAATGAATGCAATGCCAATGATCAAGTGAAGCATATATACATCCCAAGAACACACATACACACATGCTCATACTCGCCTTCAATTGAGCAGAATTGCAATGTGTCACGGGCAGGGCTAGGGTTGCATGCTAGTTGCACCCGGGCCTTGCATCACTCACCCTGCATGTCAATGACTCCCCCGCCACCTTTCCCCCACCAACCCCACCACGGTCCACCAACACCACCGCACAGCACCTCACATCCCCTTCCTATACCCGCACACCCGCACCGCACCACCGACATCGCAGCAATGGCGGCCCCCAAACAATCCATTCTCCCGCTCCTCAAAGCGCTCTCCACCGCGCGCCCCGACGTCACACCCGACCACATCACCTCCGCCATCGCACTCAGCTTCCGCGACGAGCTCTCCCCCGCGCAGACCGCAGCGCTCCTCACCGCCCTACACTTCACGGGCCTCGACCAGCAGCCCGCCATCATCGCCGCCGCCGCAACCGCCATGCGTGACGCCGGCCTCCGGCTCCCACCCCTCCCCACCGCCGTCCACGGAACACACTCGGCGCCGGGCAGCTACGGCGGCGGCCTCGTGAGCACTTCCCCACCCCATCCATCCTATGCTATATCATATCATATCATATCACATACAGTACAGCCCCACTGACAGCACGAGGAACAACCAGGTCGACATCGTCGGCACCGGCGGCGACGGCCACAACACCTTCAACGTCTCGACCACATCCGCCATCCTCGCCTCCGGCTGCGGCCTGCGCATCTGCAAGCACGGCAACAAAGCCTCGACCTCCACCTCTGGCTCTGCCGACATCCTCACCTCCCTCGGCGCACACCTGTCCGCCGTGACGCCCCCCGTCGTCGCCGACATCTTCGAAGGCGAGGACGCAAACTTCTGCTTCCTATTCGCGCCCGTGTACCACCCCGGGATGCGGCACGTCGCGGGGATCCGGCGCGAGCTGGGGTTCCGGACAATCTTCAACCTGCTGGGCCCGCTTGTGAACCCCGTTGACTACTCGGTCCCGGGCGGGCTTGAGGCGCGCATCATCGGTGTGGGGCGGCGGGAGCTGGGCGCCGTGTTTGCAGAGACGCTGAAGCTGCTGGGGTGCCGGAAGGGGATGGTGGTGTGTGGTGAGGAGGGGCTGGACGAGGTGTCGTGTGAGAGGCGGACCGAGTGCTGGAGGCTTGTTGAGGAGGGGGCCCAAAGGGGAAGGTTGCGGTGGACCACTTTTGGGTGCACCCAAAGGAGACGTTTGGGCTGGAGGTGCACCCGCTTAGGGATGTGGCGGGTGGGAAGAGCGCGAAGGAGAATGCGGTTATTTTGAGTAGGCTTCTGACAGGGAGGGGCGTGGAGAGCGATAGGCCGGTGAAGGAGTTTATATTGATGAATACGGCGGCGCTGCTGGTTGTGGCTGGGGCGGTCGGGGAGGTGGAGAGAGTGCCGGAGGGGGCGGTTGCGAGGGGCGGGGTGTGGAAGAGGGCGGTGGAGATAGCGGAGGAGGCCATGATCGATGGGAGTGCGTGGGAGGAGTGGTGTAGCTTTGTGGAGGTTAGTAGTGAGGGCTGAGATATTGCTCCTCAAGTAGGTGATTTCTATAATTGGTATCTTTCTGTCAACACTTTTAGACTGGAAGTTTTCATGTTTCAACCTGGAGACGAATGACTTATGACAGCCCCTTTTCTCTCGGGTATTGTGCCTATGACTTTGAATGCCATCTGTAAGGCCCTAGAATAAATTGACATCCACTTGAAGTTCGTGCATTTACACCTATCAAGTGCTATTAATCTGACCTTAGCAGTCTTAATCCCTTCGCGGGGCTGACGAGAAAGAACATGAATGTGCGCAAAAACGACCATTCTTCCAAGATGAAGATACAGCCCACACTTGACAGCCAGTGATACCACTGGGCAGTGTGCCTTTACCCTGCATGAACAAGCCCAGAAGCCCGTATATATATAGCTAGCATGTGGGGTAACTAACCTGCTACACGCCCGCAGATGTCTTCAAGTAGTAGGCAAACATGTAGCGCACTTGGTCTCGCTGTGGTGTCATTCTAAGACAAATACATATCCAGGTAGAATATTAGCGAGTGATTTCTGGTGATCGATGATTACACAGATAGACAGGTAGATAACTCACTAATTGTATATCAACGACCACTCTGTAATGGTCATGGCGACACGTCCAGTAACAACCCCAGAGGATTCAGGGCGAAGGGTATATAATGCTTCCACAGGGTCCTTTGCGAGTAGAATGTCCTGGTGTGTATGTATGCCCATCACCTGATGGCTTCCTCATCCCCTGCAGTAACCTTCAAGCTGGTACATACATCCTTCCTAGATCACAAACGATGCCGATGGGGGGGGGGGGGGGGGTTAAGGCCTAAATTGAGAACGCAGTCAATGTAGAGACAATCGACCCCTCCCGCTGGCCGGCCACCAACTCGATGTCGTTGTCGTAGCTTGGCACTATCTGATAGGACACCTTGCGGGAATTTCGGGCATCGATACGGGACATTACCAAGCTAGCTCAGTTCGGGGCTGAATACGGCACCGTAGTCTCATCCCCAGATGATGTGCACGAGACTAAAGATTTAATTAAGTTACTGAAACCAGTACCCTGTCATGATCAATATATACTAGGACGTCGTAGATGCAGAGACTCACCGCTGTGTTCATGATCATACAGAGAGCGACCAGACAACTACTCCTTCTTTTCTTCCTGGAACTACCAGTTTGTTGGTTTTATGTTTCCTTCCCTTACTGGGTGAGTGTATGCACTTGGGTTTTATGAGGCTCCTCTCTCTCGCTCTCTTTCTGACTCCCTTCCCCCCCCCACCCCCCCTCCGTTTTGCGGAGCGGTCAAATACGTGCGCATCATGCATCACCGCTTTATAGATAAACCAGCCAGGCATATAGCCAGAATAGGTTTCAAGAGGCTTTTAGAGTTAGTATGGGGTGTAAATACCAAGTCACAGACTCACAGTTTTCCGGTGCCTGTTGGTTCCGTCTCCTGGAACAGCTTTACTGGTCAGGTTACTTTGGATACCGTGTTTGATCCCAGCTCCAGCATTGATTAAGAGTCCAAATCGGGGGTTGTGGGAGGAACTAGTCCTCTGAGTGAACGAGCTATGATGCCTGTAAGGACAGTAGTTTTCGTTGTTCACTTGAGAGGTGGAGCGGGTTCTGATCGGGCATCAAGGAACGGCTGGAAAGACCTACGGGGGTTAGGTGAGGAAATGATTGAAATGCACAAAAATCTGGTGCCAAGGACTGAATACAGTTTGAGGGACGAGAAACGTAAAGTCGGCCAACACACATCTTCTAAACCAGGATTTTGGACTAGAATTTTATATTAGACTAGATGCACCACCGTACTACGTAAGTCTTTATTACGAAGAGCTACATGTAGTCTTTTCTCGAAGAATATCCTAAATCGTATGAGAGAAAGAGCTGCTCTAAACGCCATCTCCAGATACAGACATCCTCTGCAGGGATACACAACCCGAGTGATATCCCATGCCCAGACTAGCACCAGAACAGCCCCAAAAGCAAGAGCAAACCCCCGGCACCGAAACAAGGCCCTCCCCTGGCCACTACGTCGACCTGCAGACCCGGCCACCCAGCCCACTACTCCACATCGCGTTACCCCAACCCCAACCCCACCCCCAGTCCGGAAAAACCATTAATCCGGCGCACTCCAATTTGCAACCTCCATTTTCACCCCATCCACATCCACAACCGAAACTTCACACACAACAGAAAGAAAAAAATGGGCAAAAAGAAGAACCACAGACCCCCACAGCCCAAGGGCGCAAAGGCCACCCACAAAAAGTCCTCGCACACGCCCGGAAACCTCCGCAAGCCGCCGCCACAACAGCAGAAGAAGCCAAAATCGAACTCCACTAGCACGAACAGCAGCAACAAACAGAAATCGCAGGAGCCACTGATCCCGTATACGCCGAGTTCGCGAATCCTCCTGGTCGGCGAAGGCGATTTCTCGTTTTCGGTGGCGCTGCTAAACACGTACCTACTACCCAGCGGCAGTGGCAGTAGTAAGCGTGAGAGCGCAGACGCAGACGCAGACGCAGACGAAGATGTGGATGTGGGCTACGACGAGGACTACGACGAGGACTACGACGAGGACGCCGAGTATGCGTACAATGTGAGGCCTAGACCAGTGAGTCTCACGGCAACCAGCTACGACACCGAGGCAGCGCTGCTGGAGAAGTACCCGCAGTCAGCGAGCAACCTGAAGTCACTACAGGAGAAAGGCGCCACGGTGTTGCACGGGGTCGACGTGACAAAGTTTGCGAAGCTGCCAAAGAGCCTAAGGAGGCGGCAGGGGGCGTTTGATGTTGTGGGCTTCATGTTTCCGCATGTGGGCGGGCTGTCGACGGATGTGGGGAGGCAGGTGAAGAGTAATCAAGGTTAGTGGATATCTAGATATCTAGATAGTGGTGGTGGTACCGTGGGTCAAGAGGGCTGACGAGTTGGGGGGTGCTATTACAGAGCTTCTACTAGGCTTTTTCAAGACGGCTGCGGAGCTGCTTGCGAGCGATGGTACGGCGGTGGTCACGCTGTTTGATGGCGCGCCGTATGATCAATGGGATATCAAGTCACTGGCAAAGGCCGCGGGTTTCAGGACGAGGCGGTCCTTCAAGTTTGAGAGTGAGTCGTATCCGGGCTACAAGCATGCTAGGACTCTGGGTAATGTCGAGGGCAGTGGCACAGCCTGGAAGGGAGAGGAGCGGAAGGCACGGACATATGTTTTCGAGTTGATTGAGGACAAAGGTTACACCGGTGAGAAGACAGGCGCAAATGCTATAGAGGTAAAGAGGATAAAGAAGACTACAAAGAGGGAGAGAAGATTCCAGGACGAAAGTTCCGATGAGGAGGACAGTAAGAAATAATACCAACGAGTGTGGAGTATAGTAGCAGTGTTTCCAAACTAGGAATAAGAAAAACAGGAAAGAAGGGGAGAACAATTGAGGGTAAAAAAAAAACACTCAGGCACAGGGCCAAATACGCCGACTGCTCGGTGTCATACCGAGGAGAAAAGATAAACAAGAAATACACGCCAGTTCGTACAATCTTAAAATTTACAGTAAATCATTGTTACTAAGAAAGTTACTCCCTTCACATAATGAATACTTTTCTTAATGTGGTGTTATCCCATTCGTCACCTGTAGTTGGATCCCTTATCCTCCCAGCCGGCAATCCCAGTTTTACCGCAAACTCTTCCAATTTCTCACGCCCATGTATCCTATTGTTAGGCAAAACCACAGGATCCGGGTCAACAGAAGACCGGACATGGTGAGCATACGGGACATTCCTTGCCAGGTCGTTGAGCTCTGTCGAACAAATTGGACAAAGAGATGTCGTGGTGCTGGCATTGCTTGAGGTTGCTATAGATGAGTGGCACGAGGGGGTCTTGAGAGCAGATAGACCTGCCGAGAGAGCAATATGAAGAAGAGGGCGGGACGGAAGACCGTACAGAGTGTGATGGGTGTTTACAAATGTTGTTGCGAGGAACTCCCAGCGTTTAGATGAGTACATATCCTATATATTTATCAGTTATGGTTGCTACAATGTCAAATATCGCGAGTATCTATCTACCTTATATGGTTGGCACTTTGTAGTGGGCATGAAAGCAAGAAGGGCGGCCGCTTTCATTATATCATCTAGATGTTTATCTCCCTGAGGCGCAAGGAACTTCTTCGAATATGCTGTAGCCTCTCTGTGACGGTGGTCTCGAACCAGCTCGATAAATTGTTGCATCCGGAGCTCGAATTCAAGGGTGCTCTGTCCGTGTCAGTTAAACCTTGCGGAAAGGGCGTGCGGTATTGACTCCATACATTTATCTTCTTGAGAGACGACTTGTTCTCTCCACACCAAGCCAGACACTCCGAAACGTTACGATTACGAAGGCTCGCCTCGATTCTCGAGCATTGTATAAATACATCGACATCTACCAAATCCTAGTCGCTCATTACATCTCCCGTCAGCCCATCCTTACTCGACAAAAAAAAAAGGTAAGGCAATATTGGTATTGACAAACCTGGATACCCTTCTCCTCCGCTAACTGCCTCGCGCTGTTCCCATACCCGCTCCGCAACAAGAAATCCACAAGCAGCCGGTCTAGTCTCGTCCTACTCCACTTGTCATAGCTCTCATCCACCAAGCTCGGGATACTATACAGGTCCTGCAGATGCGCGATTCTCTTCCTCGAGTGTTCGTGCAGGGTCTTCTCCTCGTCATGGAGGCCCTCCAGCTTCCGCTTGAAGCCCTGCATGCGGTTGATCATGCTGTCTAGCGAAGCTAGCGAGTCCTCCGGGGATGCTCCGGCGAGTGCATCTTTTGCGACGTTGTGGATTCCGTCTTTAAGCTCCTTCTGCTCCCTCTCAAAGTAGCGCTGGGCTGTTTTGAAGTTCTTTCGGAGGAGTTCGTGGGGGAGGCGGAGAAGAGGTTGATCCTGAGGTTGTCAGTTACATAGAGATATGCAGTTGGGAGTGCACGTGGGAAAGTCGTAGAGAGAGACGAGGACTCACAAGGAGAAGATGGTTCTCCGCGTTCAGCTTGGTGGTTGACATTGACATGATGAGCAGGCTTTGGTAGACGAGAGCTTCAAATGTCCCTGCTCTCCTGCACTAATAGCTGTCTGTGGTGTATGTAATGTGCGTGTGGGAGGTTTAGGTTACGGACGGAGAAGGGAATAGAAGAGAAATGTGGTATGATATGTATTGTGCGTGCTATATAAATATAATTTCCTAAACAAACGATCGAATGTGACAAAGTACTTGAGTGGTTGCCCCTCCTCTTTCTGCCACCACCTTCTCCTCTCCTGTTAAGATAAGTCTGCCGTTATCCTCTATCCCCCGGTCATGCACGCAGCACCAAGCAGCACCACCCACAGCTGCATCATGGCACCCGATGGACTGCCCACCCTCGTCCAACCAACCATGAAACCTCCGTGCCTGCCGGCAACGTGCAGCATGGGGAAACAAAGCCCGAAAACCAACCACAACACATACAAGGAACATATGGAAAAGAAAAGAAAAATACCTATTCCAAACCATTGAACCAAGATAGATATATAGGTGTTAAGTAGTTACATAAGTGTATCCAAGACTTATAGTACACATCTCTCGTAAAGTACAAAACTCTCTTCGACTATCAATACAATGTATAAATTACCACACGGAACTGTATGGTGTTTTTTTTTTTTTTTGTCGATGAATTCCACCTTTATCGCAAAACTCACGCCTTATTTCGCCGTTGCAAAAATGACCCCGCAATCCCAAGAAAATCTGCCCGCAAAAGGAAACTAAACTAGTTACAATAAGAGACACGCACAAAGAGGAGTACTATGCAGGTAACAAAAAAACTAACAGTATAAAGGTCCAGGTAAACCGAGGCGGACAGATATTTAGATGAAATAAGGAACAGGGAAAAAGGAAAGAAAACAGATATCAAACGAGCCCCCCCCCCCCCCCCCCCCCCCTCCCCCCCCACGATGCCCCACAAAACCACAACCACCGCCGATCTTCGTATTCCAATTGCCTTAACTACCAATGGCCCCCTGCCGAGCTGGGAAAATAAGATGATCCCTCAGTCACCGCCATCTCTTTCTTCAGTTCTCCTAATTCCTCAATGTTTTTATCAAACATTCCATTAACCGCGGTCATCATTCTCTCCAAGTCCATTAAATCGTTCCTCAGTCCATCGAAAGGACTGTCACCCTTCGGGGATACGGGTCTCCTCTCAATTTTATCCCCAGGAGTAGTGATTGGAGTAGTGGTCACCAAGTATTCCTCCGCCACAGAGTTCTCGACACCGCTTCCCAAGGTACCACCACCAGGCATCGGAAATTTTTCCCAGTCCAAGTGCAATCCTCGTGCTTTGATTGAAAAGTAGTTGGTCTGCATTCCAGCGTTTCGGATCATGCGTTGCCTCTTGCCCCTGCCGTCGGGGGCCACAACTTCTGTTGAAGCAGGCTTTATAGGTTTAGGCAAACCTACTGAGAGTTGCTGTTGCCTTGCACGCTTCCTTTTGGCAGAGTTCTCTGTCTCAGGTGAGGGTTTTCGTGACATCATTTCGGCGACTTTTGGATTAACCGTTTCAAGGACCAGCTGGGAGAATTGCTTCATTACTGGCGTAAAGTTGCAATCATCCAGGTTTTCGACCAGGTGAATATCCCTACCGATAACCCTTTCATCAAAAGCATCCAAATTTAAGGCTTTTCGAATCTAGCGGTTGTTTAGGTGTTAATGTCTGTAAATAAAATCCTAGATTAATCAAATCCCATTCTGGCAACTTACGGCGGCAATGCGTGCACGACGCCCTGGACCTGATGTCCTTCCCAAGTCCCTTCCATATGGATCCGCGTCCTCAGTATCCAATGGGCTTCTATAACATACTACCATGACCGCCAGTTTTGCGAACTCAGTGGTACCAGAAAGCCAATTAACCGCTTCGTGCAAGTTCGTCCTGTCCCTCTTAAACCTCTCCTTATTTGAGATACTATAATCTGCGGAACAGCCAAAGACAAATCCACCAATTTCTCTCGCCTCTGTCTCTGGATCGGACAAGTCGAATTGAACCTCGAAAGTTCCCTTTTTAGACATAGCGATGCGAGGCTCGCCATTACCAATGAATTTCTCTATCCACCAGTAATTTTTCACGTCCATAGAAGTATTACTGCTTTTACACAGTAGGCGCCATCGTCGGTCCCCTTCACTAGTCGGCCATAATGCCTGTTGAACCTTAGGGAGAAAAATCTCCTTGAGTGGTACCGATTGATAGGTGAGAGAGGTCATTCGTTGGACCTAGTGTGGCGAGTTAGTAAGCATATTCAAGGATATATTATCACTACATGTGTTACCAACCTCTTTGGTTGACCTATCGAATGCTTCATCCGGTATTTGGACAGGCCGCCACTGTACTTGAGGGGCTGCTGGGGGGTTTCTCCGTCTCTCTTCACCTCTGCGTTTCAGCATCAATTTCCGCGCCCTCGCTTTCCATGCATAAAATATTCTTGCACCGGAACGACTCGTGTAAAACTGCTCTGCGGAGATATCCAATGCAATTTTTCTAGCCACAAGCTTCTGGGCTTTTTCATATTCTTCTGCAGCCAACTCACGAATAATGTTGGCTTTGTCCTCTTCGACGGCGGATTGAACTGTTTTTTTCACCTCCTGTGTAACAATCTGGTCGAAAAGTGAGTTGGCAATTTCCCAAGCGGCGGAACGGGGTACTAGTGATTTTGTAGTCGGAACTGGAGGTGGTTGTTTGATAGGCTGCATCGAAAAGGTGGTAGGTTTTGGAACCAAATTAGACGCCGTAAAGGAAAATGGTTTAGCTGAAGATGAGCCCACGGAAGAAGCTGGAGGCCCAAAAGAAGGCAATGCTCCAGACGTGCCTGTTAGTTGATTCACAGTATCTTGTTGAGATGGTGGGTTTCCAACGCGATCAAACAGACCACCACCCGGCGTGGTGTTGACGGGTGTAGGGACACTGTATGCACTGTCGTCTTCGTAGTCATCATAGTCGGTAGGAGCTATTGGGACGCTGAAAAAGTTCGAAGGAAAGCTCTTCTGTTCAGGGTGCGAATCAAAAACAGATCCACCACTCGTTGAAGTAACCGCAGTCTCTTGTTGGGCGTTTGGTGGTTGGAAAAGGGAGAATGAGGGTGTGTTAGATGAGGAATTAGGTAACGAAGAGGTGTTTGATGGCTGGAAGATTCCATTAGGTGTCGGTTTAAGGGGATCCTGCTGAAATATAGATTGAGATGTGGATGGTGTTTGGTTTGATTGAAATCCGGATTGTGGGATGGTGGGTTGGAAAAACCCGCCAGATGTCGTCGCCTTTGAAGACGCTTGGAAAGACTGCGAGTTTGAGGGGATAAAGTTCGGAGATTGTTGGGGGATGCTACCGAAAGGCTCTTGCTTGAAAAATGAGGACTGCTTTTGGTTGGCTAGATTATTAAGGGGGGCAGAGAAAATTCCTGAAGGCAATTTCTTTGCAGTGGTATCCTGTGTAGTTGATAAGCCACCCCCCAGTGTAAAACCGGGATTGGGGGCAGTAGGAGGGAATGCCGATGTGGCAGCTCCTGGTGCGAAAACTCCGTTCTGATTAGATGCCTGAGATAGACGAGAGTCTTGGGACTGTTGTGATGCTCCCCAAGCGGGTGTTCCAGACTGGAATACTGAGTTCTGTGCTACTGGTACGGCTGCTTTCTGGAATACATTAGAAGCCTGAGCTGAGATATTGCTAGCTTTCTGAAAGACGTTAGGTGCTTGCTGAGATGCAGCCTTCGCAAAGATACCCGCAATAGGCTTCGATATTGGTGGGAAACCAACGCCAAATGCTGAGGTGGCTCCAGATTTTGGTAAGCCAAACGCTGGTGTATGGCTCGAAGGAGGGGCCATAGACGCATTTTGCTGGCCAAAACCCGAAGAAGGGAATGTGTTTGGTCCCAAGGGCACAGAAGATGGGTTTGCAAATTTTGCCTGTCCTGGTAGAAAGGGTGCCACGGCCGGGTTTAAGCCTTTGCTACTACCACTTGCCTTTCTACCATAAATAACATCAGGAATGGACCTATTGCCAATCTTTGATTCAACTAGCTTGGTATGAAATGTTTGTCTCAAAGCGGATAATCCATCTGTACAACTCTAGTTAACAACCGCACAATCCGAATCGTCGAATTGCATATCTTACCAATCCAGTTTGCGCCGCCCTTTTTGATGACCACATGCCAAACCATTTGGCCGTCAACTTCAACTTCTCCAAGACCAATTCCATAATATTCACAATCTCTAAAAGCCATCTCCTCGTTTTCGTAAGCCAACATCTCCACGATATCCCTTAATAGGAGTTGCTTAGTATCAGGCCGATAAGTGTTTTTTATAGCCTTCAAGGCCGTTTTTCGGATCTCATTGAAATGAGTTTCGAGTAAACAGGCCATCAGATAAGATGTGCTTTTGGCCTTAACGAGTCTAAAGACAGTTCCGAAGAAATTCGAGCATGACTCTGCATTTCCGACTCTCATATGAACAGCTTCATCATTATTTCTTTGGGTAAGGGTTAGAAATTTCAAGGCTTGTTGAACCGGCCTCGAATTAAAAACGTGATCCGGCCACCGTTGAGCTTGTCGCTCTTGATCCGGATCGCGGAGGTGAGCTATTATCTGATATGCCCGAAACTCTGGCTCATTCGGATAGACGATGTTTACTAGTCTTGCATCCTCATATAATTCGGACAAGGTTGTGAGCACCTTTTGAAGCTGCTCCATTTCCTGATGCGGAACAAAGTTTTTGGTCTCTTCACAGAGCTTATGGATTGCGAGGATATGGAAACGTGCAATAAGCTCATGGCAAGCTACCGTCTCCGAGCCACGGTAGTTTTGAAGAGTAAAGTCTTGTCGAATCCCGCGGGTGCGGTCGCGCAAGAATGGATGAGTGAGTTCAAGAGGTTCGCTCCCACCAGCAATCTCATTAATCAGATAGTCAAGCGTAGAAATAAGAATTCGAGGTGGGCGCACGTCCGAGGGGAGCTGTGCATCATTCCCAGCAGCCGGGCGGTGGAACTGCTTGACGGCAAGGGCCTTGTCGATTTTCCCAGTTGATGGGTTCTATTCGGGCCGTGGGTCAGTATATCGGGCTGACCAGTGGAGGTTGGGCTGTTGCCTACAATTTCCCATCTATCGACCGCATTCTGAACCGCTCTCTGTTGACGTTCGAACAACGGGCACATGTCCATGCAGGTCCCAACGAAGTCGATAGCGTGCTCCAAGGTTTTCCGCTTCTCGGGGTCATCGATGGTACCGTTGGCGATCGCATCTCTGCGCTCTCTGTCGCGTGCTAATTTCAACTGAAATCTTTATTAGTACTGGCCATATTGTACCATAAATTTCAGTTGGGACAAACCTCCTCGTAGGACGCTTGTTCTAGGGTGTTGCTTGAAAATTTGGCCACACGTGATGCTGGCGTAGCAGTTAAGTCGCGAACGTTGTCTTCGAACTCTTCGTCTGCTTCATTACCAGCCGGTGGTGTAGCTGCAGGACTGTTCCAACCATCATTTCGCGCTCGTCCATCTTCGTTCCGTCCCTGATAACCTCCACCCCGTCCGCCACGGTCGCCATTGCCTCGACCTCGACCCCCTGCAGCACCACCTCTTCCACCTCTTCCACCCCCTCTCCCTCTGTTTGGGGTAGATGAGCGAGTAGGATTACTCTCCATCCCGTGACTGTTTAGTTTTGTGTGACTGTAATGAGCATTCTGGTGCTGAGACGAGCTTTGGAAGTTGCACTGGCTACTTCCGCTGTTGCGATTATTGTGGTTTTGGTTGTAATTCTTCCCGGCGTAACCCGCGGATAGGGGAGAGTTAGTTCGCTCGTTGGGGGCAGAAGCAAGAACGGGTCTATTCAAGAAAACGCTGACAGGCTGCTTCTGCTGTTGTTGTTTCTCTTGATTCTGATAACCGTTGTGTTGGTTCTGCCACTGGCGGTTGAAGGAGTTGAATTGACCCTTGCCTGGAGCATCATGCGCGTTGAAACCACCACGCTTAGACATATCCGATTACGCTTGGCTTCACGCGTATATGTCTGACCCGCGTAGATCCAGGAACGGGAGTGGGTACTCCAGTTAACACCCACGTCGTTAAGAGACGTATAGAAGAGGAATAGTAGAGATACAACTTGTAAGGACAAAATATAAGCTACTGCGTAAGTTGGGTACGGGTAAGAAAGCAACTCTTTCAAAGAAATGCTATTTATTAGGTGGTATGCGGTAGTGACCCGAACCCTTTTTGCGGCAGCATAACATTCTATTTCTTTGTAATTCTACAAGTTGGCATACATACATATACATGTAGGTACGTGTATTCGACCTACTTGCCGTTTCAGTACGTCCGTCATCATAGGCACTAGACAAGGTAAAAAAAAAAAAAGCGACAGTTACACGATAGGTATCTACGCACTTGTCCTATTTAGGACCAAAAGTACATGTAAATTATCAACCGCCCAAGAGCTAAAGAACTCCAAAATCTTTCTCCAGGATAGATTTAGAACCAGTTTATCTCTTATACAGATACAATCGTCAGGCCTAAGCCAAATAATTTCATAGAGAATCACAGTATGTCACTCGCCCTCTGATGAATAATGCCATCGATTCTGGCCTTGAAAATATCGAGCTCCTTTGAAGCAGCTATTTGATCTTCCAAGATAGCTATCCAAGAACGAAAGAGCATATGAAGGTTGGGCATATTATAACCATATCGGGAATTGCACTCATACTACATGTACATATGTATGTAGTTAAATCATGCAATGTAAGTGGAAATATTTAAAAAAAAAAAAAAAAACTCCTGGGAAATTGGAACGTGAATAGAGAAAAGGGATGTCAAAAGCGGACAAATATGCGTATGTGAGTCGACTAAATATCTTAAATCGCCGCCGTTTCTCTCTCTAGCCATTTAAGTGCTATGCTATCCTTTTCAAAGAATCCTTTTGTTTTTTCATAAACCTCCGCGTGATAATCGTTTAGCCATGTTTTCTCGGCGGGGGTAAGAAGACAGGGGTCAGTAAGTTTTTTACACATTGGAACCTATATTATGACAGCGAATTAGTCACCAGATGTTTTGATGGCTCGGTGTATGACTTACCATAGTAACATGCTCAAATCCGTAGTACGGCCGTTCGCCAAAATTGTGGTTTGTCTGAACTTCTTTTACCATAATAATATCTAGAATTTGTCAACAGGTGCCCGGATACGTGTTTGCAGATTAACCTACTTTCAATGCGAATACCAAAGGAACCATCTTCATAGTAGCCGGGTTCTTCACACAAAATCAGTTAAAGATTCTCAATTCTCGCCCAGGACTAATAGCTGACCGTCAGAGATGACCATCCCCGGGCCTAAAGGAACCTCTGAGTACTGTATCCTTGTGCCAATGCCGATAGGGCCTTCATGGACATTCTAATCATATGTTCAGTTTCATGACTCCCTCGAACGTTATTTGGAATTAAGGTTTACCAAAAAGGATCCGACTCCATGTCCGGTTCCATGACGGTAATCTAGGCCCTCGGCCCACAAGAATTGACGTGCTAGTACATCTAGAGCAAATCCTGTAGTCCCCTTGGGGAATACCGCTCTATCCAAAGCGACCATCCCTTTCAGCACCAAAGTGTATGCCTTTCTTTCCATATCTGTTGGCTCTCCAAAGTGGAGTGTGCGAGTGGTATCAGTGGTTCCGTCGAGGTACTGCGCACCAGAATCACACAAGTAGACAGCTTTAGGATCAATAACTGCACATGCACCTGGTGTTGGTTTGTAGTGAATGACAGCGGCATTGGCACCAGTTGAAGAAATTGTATCGAAAGAAAGACCCATGAAGTCCTTGTTCTTTGATCTAATTTCCTCCAACTTGTCCGCAGCTTGTACTTCATCCAACTTCTCTCCTTTCCCCAATTCATTTTCCAACCAAGCAAAGTATTCAATCAATGCAGCTCCATCACGGACATGGCAATTCCTCATTCCTTCTCTTTCTGTATCATTCTTGACGGCCTTTGCCTCCTCAATAGGAGACCGAATGACCTCAATATTCTCCTCGCCACCAAGTGCCTTTGACAGAGCCCATGAAGTCTTATTAGAAACGAGCCATTTCTGGGCCTCTTTCGTAGAGGTCTCGTTCTCCGTGGCTGCCGCTTCTTCTTTGAGTTTCTGTGAAGTGGCGGCAAGTTCGTCGAAGATGGCATGGTAAGGGCGGATTTTTACCTCGTCACCTAAGTGATCAAGGACCTTCTCATCCAGCTTAGAAGAATCGATGTAAAGAGTTGCATCGGTGGGGGTTATAAAAGCGTATGAGAAGAAAACCGGATTATAAGGAATGCTTCACAGAAAAATGTTGTTAATAAAGAACGAGTGATTCTGCATGATCTTTCCAGAGTGGATGATAAGCCATGAATATGTAGCCAGGGATAGAGGAAACATACTCGCTTCCTCTTAAGTTATATAACCATGCAATCTCGTCCAACATGCTCACAACGAACCCAGGACTTTTTTTCTTCTCCATCTCTTTTCGAAGAGCCTCGAGCTTCTCCTGGAAGGGCTTCCCGGCGTATTTTTGTTCCAAGACGATCAGTTTGTTGTTCGGCCTTGCTGGTCTTTCTGTGCCCCAGACCTCATCTATAAGATTCTTGGGCATTCCGAGAAGACCTGTACCACCCTTCTTCTTTATGCGTGTCTCCAGACCCTTCGCTTGCTCTATTTCATAAAGTTAGAATATGACCAGAACACGTAGACCGATTGAGGCATTACGGGCTGTAATTAGAGTAGCATCGACGCCGACGGTTTTACCCCCTTCAGCCTGCTGAACAACCCTACATAATCCATCAACCTAATGGACAGATACCAGAAGTATGTGTAGTTGAATTACCATTCCTGCCAGGTAGGAACATCAGGGAGTCCCTGTTTCAAGAGCTCCCAATTACTATCCAGTTGATGCTGTGCCTGGTTGAAATAACGCCCATCCGTCGAGAGGGCAGCCTTTTCCTGGGTGATTATGGCACAACCAGCGGATCCCGTGAAACCGCAAATAAAAGCTAGGAAATGTCAGAGACGGGAAACGCCGCAAGAACGAAAAACAGGCGGACCTCTCCGGGCATCAGCAGCACAAATATATTCGCTGCTATGGGCATCCTCGCTAGGCACAACTATGATTATACGTCAGCTGTGGCATATGACATTGAACACTAAATCCAAAAAGCTATGCACCATAAACATCAACCTTCTCCCTCTTCATAAGCTCTCGCAGCTTCGCGAGGCTACCGGAAGTGTTTACAGGTTCCATGTCTGTATAGAGTGCAGAGAACAGGCGGAAACGCGACCTGGTGGGTTTGAATACGAAGTTTGAGTGAAAGCGGAGGATGTTTGAGGGTAGGAGTCGGCGTAGATTGCGCGTGATATGGAGGGAAGGAGGGGCTGCCATTTGATGCGGGGCTCTGTAGAACTTTGTGAGGAACTCTTCGAGTGCCACAGCGAACGCCGCAAGTGGCAGGGATCGTCCTCATATCGACCAACAAAACCCTTTGTTTTTTCTTTTTTGGTTACTGTGGCGTCTGCACTCTAAACTAGTGACCCAATGAGTGCTCAATAGAAGCTTCTTTTCAACTTGCAATGCTCAGGAGTTTTGAGATTACGTATACATGTATTTATCGTTGCAATGTGCGAATTTTAACTCACAATAGCGCCAATACTGTATGTATATCATTGAATCCTAGGTGGGTGCTACCGACCGCAAAGATTAAACTAAGTTCGTTTTAACCTGGTACGGTACTGTGAAACTGGGAAATCGGCCATCGGCATATAGATTTAGCTGTGAATAGATTTGATTGTGATTAGGCCTGGTCCGACAGTACTATCTGGTAATAATGAGGGGATTTATCCTTCATTTATAGTTGTCCCTGCTGAAAGTTGACTGCCATTTCTTGTAGAGATTGTACTGCCGGGAGTTCATTTGTTGGACTCGCAGTTAATTAATCTAGTATCTTTAAGCCTTCCTCCCTTAATCTTTTGTAAAGGTTTACTATATCCATTAATTATTTCACTAGCTACTAGCCGCATCCCTTCAGCGAGCTCGACTGGGGCGTAAGGAAGGATAGATGTATTTGCATTTTTCCTTTCTTCCTTCCCTTCTTTCTTGCAGTAGATTTTTGGCCAATTCAGAACATTTGAGAAACGATTTTTCGTGCTGACCTTTATATGATAGGAGATGTTGATTTGTTTCTATAGCTCTGATGAAAATGTTTATTCGGACCCGCAAATTGTTTAGGCGCTCTTCTCTTGTCTGGGTAATATGCTATGTATATGCGTTACATGTATGCTCGTGTAGAGGTATAATATACATTATACTTGATGTACATATGTTTACATATAGGTAAGAAAGACGGCACATGTATATATTCAGATGCCAGCACAAATTTTAGTAAAAGAACTGGACAACCTTGTAACCATAAATATTAATCATGAATGATCACTCGTATCAATTTATAGTGATCCATTGTTCGCATGTAGTAAAATTATGTTCCGTGGGGGTGGCGCACAGATCACCGCACAGGTGGGCTAACCCAATCGAGACTTAGCCGTGCAGTGTCACCTTTGATCAATGCCCCTCCAACAACAACAGCGCGGATGTGGCTCTTGATCCGCCATACTTTTGACGATAATGAACTTCCACTCTTTTCTCCGCTCTTAAATTTCCCATGAGTATTTTACAGTCAAACCTGACGTCAAGATCTCATTCGGCTTTTCTAACATGGATCCCTTCCCATTCCCAACCACGCTGGAGGAGGTTGTGGGTGTGAGGCTCTCCATGATTTCCCTCGTTTGTACTGCGAGTTTCTTGATATCTCGATCGCTAATATCCATTGGTATAGCTCGTCAAACGCCTCTACCAACCTGGCTCTCCACAAGAGCTCTCTCAAATCCAAGCAACCCTACAAGTGGTCCAACGCTCTTCAGAGGGATGGAAACTAGCAGACTCTCTCCTTGGCATCAATGACGAACTTCTTCAGTTCTTCGGGGCCCTTACTTTTACAGTGAAGCTCAATTCTGATAGGTACGCACTGTTCCCCTTTAGGTATGAGGGAATTACTCGCTGATTCCTGTGGCCGGATGGGTAGCGAATCGGTCACGGAAGAGGATGTTCCAATCCTAAGGGACCGTCTCATCGGCTGGCTAATCAATGTCGCTTCCACCAACTCCTCCCAAATGGTCATTAAAAAGCTTTGTTCAACCTCAGTCGTGTTCTTCCTACGCTTTCCAGAAAGCTGGCAGAATCTCATTAGACACGTGGTCTGTTCACTCTGCTTGGGCCGCGTCGTACCGGTTGAAGAACTAGAAAGACTTCCTACCTCAGATCTATTATTACGTAAAGCAGACAGCAGAAGTAAAATTACGGCCTTGTGGTTTACAGCTATTCTTGTGGAAGAGGTGGGAAAGGTTGATGGAAAGAATGTCAAAAAGTGAGCTCGCAGGTCTGCTTGGTGCACACAGAAAGCTCGTCTTAGTTGGATGGAAGCTAATTGAGAATTCAAAGCCTCCGCTTTCATGACAGAATACGTTCAAATGTGGACGAGGCTGTTTTATTAATATGGGACTCTATTGCTGGGAGTTATATCGATGGTAAAACTATATTCTGTGAGAAGGAGCTTCAGTTTACTAATCTCATTACAGAGGCCGGAAACAGATCGTCTGAATGTGATACTCGACTTGTGAGGGAAGGTATAAAAACCTTTCAGGTAAACTCCCATTTCTATTTCGTTATAGCTTTTTGAAACTAAGCGTGATGCAGTCATGGGTCTTCTACTCCCTACGTGCTATCTTAGATTCAACCCACACATTCCCAGAATTGAAACGTCTAACCACGCCCGTTCTCAACTGGATGGCTCATCCCGACATGTTTGACGTGGCATGCGAGGTAATCACAGATATCCTTACGCATTATTTTACTTTCCTCACGCCCGAGGACGAGTCCTGCCTAGCAGGTATCATCGTATCTCCATGGGCCCTTGAGCGCTACGAATTACTCACATCCGGGGATGGAGACTCAGAAGAGTCACTCCAATTTGGCCGCCTCATTGTAGCGTATTCAGAGGCAACTGTGCTAAAGATTGCACGCAACTGGGATAAGCAACAAAGTCGGACCTTAATGAAGATGCTTCATGGAATGTTAAAAGTCCCCGGATGGGCCATGGCTGAGGAAGAAATTTCTGGAACGACATTTGAATTCTGGAGCAGCTTTGCCGAATTTTTGTTAGACCCCGAGGGGATCGACGAAGACCAACTTGGAATAGTGTTGATGGCAGGTAAAAAAGAAATTTTACAGGCCGTTGAAGAGTTTTGGAGGAAAATACGGATACCGGGCGGTCACCAATCTCAGTCGTGGTTATCATGGACTAAGGACCAGAGGGACGGCTTTATGACCTTCAGGAAGGATGTAGCTGATTTAGTGGAAGTAGTGTACGGCGTCTTGGGGGCCGAGCTATTCAGACGACTTGTTAATCAAGTTTTGGGAGCTTTATTCCAAGCAGATGAAGGCAGTGATGTTGTTTGGGAGGATGTGGAGGCGAGTTTATTTTGCCTCAACTCTCTAAGCGATTCTTTGAGCGAGGAACCAGAAGAGGACGAATCCCTGGAGATATTGTTCGGGGGTAAATTGTTTGTTATACTGGCGGATTTCGGAAATCACATACCTATCAAAGCAAGACAAACCGCCGTCAGTTTGATTGGTACGTTTCTATTATCTGTGATTCACTGAGGAATAACACTAACAGTTACTTCAAGGATCATATTCGGCCTTTTTCGAAAGACACTCGGATTTCTTACCGACAGTATTGAATTTCCTATTTATTTCCATTTCAACACCAACCTTGGCTAGGAGTGCATCAAAGTCTATATGCTCTCTATGTGCTTCGTGCCGCGGTACTCTAACAGGCGAGCTTTCAACCTTTCTTTATCAATACGAAATCTTTTCTGCTACAAGCACAGCAGATGATATTGCAAAAGAACGAGTTCTTTGTGCCATTTCTTATGTCGTTCAAGCCTTGCCATCGGATGAAGAAAAACTGGGGCCTGTCAAGAGACTCCTAGGTTTTGTTGAGCAGGATGTTCAGGAATGCTTGTCACTGGTAGCTCAACAGAACGAAGAGGCAAAAGAAGTGGCTTTATTGGCCCTGCGGTGTTTGATTTCCATTGGGAGAGGCTTACAAGTCCCAGAAGATGTTCCAATTCTTCTACCCGGCGAAGGACCACCGCAGCCCCGATCATTCTGGGAGCGTGGTGATGGATTAGTTGTCCAAAGACGACTTCTAGATATTGTTCGGACTCTCGTTATAAGCTTGCACGAAGATGGCGAAGTAGTTGATGCTGCTTGTGCGGTCTTCCGAACAGGCTTTGCAGAAACCACCCCGGGTCCATTTGTCTTTGCACCACAGGTGATCACAGGGTTTTTGCTTGAAAGAGCAAATAATGGTGTTCGAATCGAGTCAGTATTATCGACAGGCTGTACCATGGTCAGCTCACATTCAACGGATGGTAGCCCTGACATTTCGACGGAAGTAATGCAATTCATGGAATTTATTATGACCCTTGTGGAAAGAATGCAGGACCCACAGACAGACCCAGAGGCATCTCAAAGTGTGGTGGAGTTCTTAAATAGAATGTTGTCTAGATATGTCAATATTCTCGTGCAATACCAACCCACAGAGAGGATGCAGATGTTGTTTGGATTTGTGTTGAACGCCTTGGCGGTTAGAGAACCGTTAGTAAAGAAAGCGGCTGCTACTTTCTGGGCGACATTTGTCTCTTTAGCAGATCAGCCACCACCTGTCCAGGCTGCGATAGATGGTGTTGTAGCCATGTGCGGCACAGCTTTGGCCGAGAAACTTGTCTGGGTAGGTTGCCTTCGTTAAATGTTCTTGGATGCAAATGACTGATCAAGGTATGGAATTTAGGGTGTCGGAGGTGGGGCTGCGAGGAGCGAAGTTGACAGTCTTGCAGAGCCTCTTAAAAGATTGGTGGCTAGGCAAGTCAAGGCCAAAACCTGGCTTTCTACTGCTCTATCAAGAGATGGTTTCCCGAGTCCGAATTTGACGGACAAGAGTAAAACACGATTTCTAAATAGTGTCATCAGGTAAGTCTAGCACTTTCTCAAATATCAGCCGAGAAGCTAACCCAGGCTGGGAAAATCAGTTTAAGAGGAAAGAGGGGCACAAACCAAATAGTCAAAGAGTTTTGGTTAAGTGCAAGGGGTAGTGAGTTTGATTGTAAAGAATTGCCCCCTCCTCTCGTTTCTTTAACCTATAGGCCTTTACTTACTTTTCTCGCTTGACACGTTTTAGACGCTTCATAGATACAATTTCATCTCTGTTAACCACCATGGGTTTATTATGTTTGGGATGCAAAGCATTATCGTCGAATTTTTAAGGGTTCTTTTTCTTTTCTTTCTTTCTGGCTAGGAATAGTATGTCTTGCCATATTCTCCAATTTTATAGTATTCTTGCTTCTTCAACCCAATTATTCCTTATCCCTTGAACCTCTCCCATTTGGGACAGGTAATTTTCATGTACAGTACATCGAAAGATGGCAGTTTAAAGAGTTTAAAATGGAGCAAATATTGGGGCAGTTTATGAACATACGTATCTGTGGTACGACGAGACTAGCAGACTTTAAATCTAGGGAATATTATCTGCAAGATTGTTCAGATAATCATCCATCTACTTGTCCAGGATAAATCTGTCGGAGTTGCTTCGAAAAGATGATGGTGCGTGAATCAGTACTCAAAATGTGTGATAGCGGTAGTACTCCTCTGGATACAATAAAGCCGCTGTATCCAATAAGATATTGGTGTAGGAAAGGGCTATCACGCCGCTATATTTATTATACCGATAGTAACTCCTTAAACTGCCCAGGAGGTTCCTGTTTTTACGTGCATAAAGCAGCTCGTGTGTATATAATAATCGATATACATATATCGACCAGGCCGTCGGTTTTCATAAGCTGTGTATGGGCTTCAATCCATCGAGATCCACATAAGGATAGCAATTCTAAATGAGGGGGCTAGCGGTTGGCAGTGAAGTCAGAAGCCGGTGTATATAAGATTTATGCAACGGCAACATTTACTACACTTTTGCCACGAGACACGCACACCCAGCAGAGATGAACCTCTTTACTTACCTCTGGCAGTAATTAAAGAGGAATTCATTCAAAGCCGTAAACCTTTAATCCCAGCCTTCCTCCATTTTTTTCACTCATTGCATGCAATTAATGAATTAAACAAAAAAAAATCCACTCATCACCTCTCACTCGACAATGCTGCTGGGTAAAATCAGCTTTTTTTTTTGTTTAATTCATTAATTGCATGCGACCCTACAGTTATGGCAATGGGTAATATGAGCTAGTCTAAACCATTTATCTACATACAGGTTTTATTCTTCTATATATATATGTTTGAATGTTTATAGATGAGATTTCCACGAATTACTACCACGAATTTGAACCTTGTGAGTAATATTCGTCGCGCATGTACGAGAAATCATGCTCCATAATTTCTCCTACTCTAGGGATAGGTGCCGAAGAGCTATTAGATGACTCTAAACCACCATCGAACTGCTCCTGTTCGAGCTTGAGACGCAGCCTTTCCTCTTTTAGGATGTTGTTAGCTTCCCGCTCTTGACGTCTTATCTCCTCTTCCCTTTGAGAAATAATTGCCCTCTCTGCAACAAGGTCCTCGTTTTGAATACACCAGATTACCAGTTCACGAGACGCAAGTGCATCCTCCACGCAATCATGTCCCGATTTCGAATCTTGAACTTTTTGCCCCAAAAGTTCCTTCATGAGGGTCTTCAAACCATTTCCTGAAGCGTTGATTTTGGGCACACATAGAAGAGAATCAACGATCAAAGGGTGGGCGAGACGTAGTTCGCGCAAGTCGCAATGAAGAGAATGTCCAATAAGGATTGTTGTGCTGTCAATCCATTTCCAAAGTTCATTCCTGGCACCTTCAACCCCATTCAAGTACTCCCCGGTTGCTATAGCTTGCGCCATCATTTCACGGGTAACTCCACTGTACCGGGTATTGAAGCTTCGCAACTGAACTTTCGGACGGACGAGCATGTCGATCAATGATTCACCAGTGAAATAGTCAACTACGCTAAGTTGGATGAGCTCGCTGCTGTTTGTGTAGGAAGTCCCCATTTCACAGTCTAGAGCCACTGCCCTCCGCTTCTGTATACCGGGGAGGGGTGCGGGCGTCTTCACGAATGTCAATTTTTCGGCGAACGTATCGAAATCCTCGTAGATGTGCTGGTCGTTGACAACACATTTTTCGCAATCAGGGCCTTCGAGTTGGCCACAGCAAGGAAACAATATTTCTCTGTCTCCCGTGCTTCTATTAAACTGCGTTTGTTAGTATTGCATGACTTTCTTTTGAGGTTAAGGGCCGCACCTACCTTCTTCGTTGGCTTCTTTGGGTGAAACCTACAAGTAGTGTTTAATCTGGCCCTCGATTTGAAGCGTTTTTCTGAGAAGCGAATTTGTCAGATTTTATCTCTGAGAGTTGAAGATGATGATAACACTAACCATGACAATTGACGCATTTTCTCTGATCACTGATGCTTTCCTCAGTAAGTGGCTCCAACTTATAGCCAGATTTTTCCAGCAATTCTTTGCTATGAATCATTGTTCGCAACTTTTCGATAGCTTCCGGCGTCTCTTGTATAATCGACCACTTGTTCTTAGTACGGCGAGCGATATTCATCTCATTTTTTTCTTCGACGGCCCTAGAATGTATATCCAAAGCTTCTAGCGTCTCAAATTTGCGGCCGCAGGGTGGGTAACAGAAAGCACATGGGAATTTATGCTCAATCTGAGTTGATTCATGCTGTGTGAGACTTTCTGAGCCAGAGAAGCCTCCCTTACGGGTGTTACAGGAATGTTGTTCTAGATCGCGCTTGCTTTTGAAGTTACTATCGCAGTGTCCACAGATATATTTTGGTACCTCAGGCTGGACCGAGTGCGGTGCTGAATCGTATGAGGGCCTTGGTCGTGCTTGCGTCCTTCTGGCATAGCCATCAGTACTGTTGTAATCCTTGGGGATACCCTCGTTGGCAGGTTTTTGGCTACGTATTTGACGTGCGGGTTTATTCTTGTGATTTAAGCTGTACATCTGGTGTTGATTCAGCGCGACTTCATCTTGAAAGTCTCGCTCGCAAGGGACGCAGCGGGGCATGGTGTTTGTGTGTTGAATGTGTATGTGTCTGTATGTGTGTAAGAGGTTTCTGAGCTTGGGTGGTTGTTCGAAAAGCGGGGACAGGAGGCTAGAAGATCAGATAGGCATACGAGTGCGAAGGATCATAAAACGTGAGCGGAAGGTTATCGCGTGCATACAGTGCGGTGCAATCCTAGTAACACCAAATAGATCTCGTGGCTTGAAAATCTACCAGCTTACTACATTTGTCCAACTTGCCTATAGCTGTGGTGTGCTCAGGAATGACCCAAAGAAGAAGATTGTTAAAAGTATTCATTTTACCCACATGCTACTACAGCAAAGTAAGAGAAGGTCTAACCAAAGTCACTTCACAATAGACTGGTTTTTCTAGACGCACCTTAAACCTTTAACATCTTTTCCAATCATCACACATGTACTTTCCTAATAAAGGGTAGTGTCTACAAAAAACGATTAGCTTACATTTGGATATCTCCGTTCAGCCTATAATTCTGTACCCTTACAATCAGAGACAATTCGTACCAAAATTTGAGAATTGCAATTCATACCCCAGCCTATAACCCGTGCCTTGCCAATCTTAGACATGGCAGGTCCAAACCTATGATTACAATAAACAACAACAGAACCATCATCTACTCATAATGCTAATATGGTGGGGGTAAGATGAGGGAAGCTTTTTGTAGAAATGGCCCGAATATACTACTACTTCTTCAATCTAAGTTATATATAGTTAATTATTTCCACCCCAAAACTACCATATAAATTCTCAATCACTTCAACTTCTCTTTTATCTTGTTTGAAAATATAATTCTATCTAAGATTTTAAACGAATTCTTGCATTAAATGTTGTTTCAGACCTCTCTTGGTTATCATCATGTTTAAGTCTCAAGAACATTACTTCAAAATCCATCACTTGGCTGCCAAGACACTACTTTCCACAGCTCTTTGAAATCTGTGGGTGATTCCGACTTTATCTCGATAACCTAGTTCTATCAAACATGAGCAATATAACATTTTTGCAGCCAAAGAGATTTTCCTCAATTTTCCAGTTGTGCAAATTTGCCCAATGAGACATGATTGCCAATGATGACTAAGGGTATCTGATTACGGACCAGTTGAGCTGTTAGCAGCGGGGGGCAGGAGATGGGACAACACTCACTCCCTCTTTGAGGTGCAGGTCTTACTTGCCAGTGTGTACTTTACTTGGCCTCGGAGTGCATTCCATTCAAGACTGGCCGGTCGTCTCTTCTCGTAGAAGACCCACCCAACGAACGGGTTGGTGGCGATTTGAGCTGCAGCAGCGGCCCGACCCGCATTAAAACGTGGTCTCCAAACCACCCACCTTCCTTAACCCCCGCTCTGAAGGTTTACTCTTTGTGGGGCACCACTGAACTGTACAATAATGCGACAAACACGTATTTCGCCGGTTGCATAATGACGCTTTCTAGATATCTAAAATCTGTGTACATAGCTTCAGTTCATTAAATAAAATCCATCTTAAAAGTTCTACCCCCGGTTTAATCTATTATTCGCCATGGAACGAAATTTATGGCTCCATGGGCGAGGCTTATTTAATCGTTCAGGCGAACGTGTGCTTTGATACCATCACCTCGTCCTAATCGCTAATCCAATAAGATTGATGGTCTCTTATGGGTATGGGGCGAGGCAGCGTACTAGGAAGGAGAACGAATCAAGGAGATCTTCAAACGAACCCCGCCCGGCCCTCCAACAAGACGGGCTTTCCTATCCCTGAGGCAACTACGGCTACTCTTTGAATTCTAAAGCTAGAACCTTTTATTTGTGTGGTTATGTGTATGCATACATCAATTCACGTATCTATGATTTCTCTATGGGGGTATTTGGTTGTTTGGGAGCTAGGAGTAATTACGCTCGTATGATTTATTTGATAATATCACAAGTTGCGTGGTTAATGTAGTACTGAGGTTAAAGTTTGCCTTGGAACATCTAGTCTGGGTTTGACTATCCTATATTGAACAGTTTAAGGGCCCCTGGGCCCATGTCCAGGAGTTGAAGTCTTGATGAGTGTCAGCCATATATTTTTTTCGAATGAAGTCTTTCATCACACCAGGAACGCTGTTGTCAATCAACATTAAAAACCGATCAAAGCACGCAGACGGAAAACAGTAGATGCAACAAAATATAGGTAGTAGTGATGGTGTTGATCTATTCAGGCATTGCATCCGGCCCATCATTTGTGAAAGACGTTGACTTGAGCGAGTGATATTCCATGAGTGAATAACAAGCCAATCACAAACTTACCTAGGGCCAAAGAAAACCATCATCCGTCTTGGTCCTATTTCGTATTTACGCCTTGAGATATCAGGGTATCCATAATTAAAACCAAGCAGCCTATTGTTGGACTCGTCTCGAATAGGTTCCTGAACACCATAGATCCAGGAGTTCCTAATTCCAAGATCCACTAAAGCACGCACCCCTGATAACTGATACAAACCCTGCTAATACCAAGACAACGTGGTGGAGTGGTTAACACGTTCGCCTGCTATTACTGGCACACCGGTACAGTTGAGCGGATGCCTTCGGGCGCGCAAGTTCGAATCTTGTCGTTGTCGTATTGTCGTATCTTGGGTGAGTGATGTGAAGACATCGATCACCATCACCATTATGGTTTTTTTTTTTTTTTTTTTTTTTTTTTTGTATACACTACGATAAAAAACACTAGCAAAGCCAACATATTACACTGAGTAGCCAACTCAATAATCTTGGATAAATGTGGTACTGTATGTAAAACTAAAGTAGTACCTATATTTGGTTGCCCGTTCGGTTTTCCCAACTGTAGGTACATGAATTTTCACTTAGTACGCGATTGCAACTAGTTTTTTATGCCAGCTTTATTTGACTAATGGATTACTAACTAGCCCAATGGAGAACAGGAAAAGAAATTTTACAAAAAAAAAGAGAATCATTTCTGTGGTGAAATATTATATTGTTAGTTTCCAATTCATGGGGGCTTGGGGGGGGGGGGGGGGGGGGCACCATCATCTTCTGTCTTTTAATAAAATGTCTCCACCATAGTATCTCTCAGTGATCCTTGGACATTTCCAGGCCCCATGCCCTCTCCGAGCTTGAAGACACTCTCCACAACTGACAGTTCTGTCGCAGTGGTGTCAAGTCCAGTAACAGCCATCCAGTCGTTGACAACCATTCCTGCGCCGACGACGGGGGAACCACGGTTAACACTACCGGCGACTAGGGGGACTTGAAGAAGTGATGAAAGCTCGTCTTGATCCTCTATTGAGGTCTTGGGGTGGACGATACCGCCCTGGTTGGAGAGGGAGCAGTAGGAACCGACAAGGACGTTCTCTACGGTTCAGTGTGAGCAACTGCACCAATGGGGGGGCGCGGAATAATTCAGTGAGTTATGCGTGCATAAGTTAGGCATACCGGAGATAGTCTGTCTGAAGACCTCAACTCCCAAGATATCCGCAATGATCTCCTCTGTCTCGCGCTCAATGTCGGGATGGACCAAGGCGACGTGGTCGTTACAGCAGATAACGTTTCCAAGCGCTGATAACCGTTCCTCGATACGCTGAATCTTCACTGACTCTGGAATTGAGTTCCTGAGATGCTGCAGCTCCTGATCAGTTGTTGAAGTGGGAACTAGGAGTCCTTTTCGGTTTCTGGGAGTTTTGCATTAGCACATCTCCTGAAACTCCGCCATTCCTTCTTATATTGCCTAGAAGAAACTTTGGGATAGTATTGGTTTTTTCTTCCGTTCGGAGCTGCATACCCAGCGGTCAATCTTCCAACAATTCTGGTTCCGGCGATGGTGGTGTGGCATATGGGAATGATATCCGCCAATTCAGCCTCGAAAACACTAAATGAGCCCCAAATCAGCTCCAGACCTCTCTATCTACCTTCTATCTACTAGCCATATTCATCCGGTATATGAAATAAGTGCGAACCTGTAGAAGTTCATCGATCCCCCTGTAGCGACGAGCGCGTACGAATTTGTAAGCGTCGCAAAAACACCGACTCTGTAATTATCCGTAAGTAAAAACTGCCCACTCCAAGGTCACGCATATGGTGCCGGCGAGAGAGCAAGTACTCATTTGAATTCTCGAACTAAATCAAAATCATCAACTTCGAATCAGCGATGTTCACTCATTAAAACCAAGCCAAGCAGGAAAATGTTGTAGTGGCATTTCAATGGGAATTTTCTAACCTGAGCTCTGAGGGCCATTGCTGCGATTTTCTTCTGGGTGAATTGTTTAAAAAGCGAAACTAGCAATAAAAGGTGTTGTTCTTGCGAAAGGAAGAAACCGACGTTGTGTTCGGGGATGATGTAGATTTGATGTTGGACAGAAGGAATGGGAGGAATGATGTTACCGCTTCTGTGCGGGGCGGCGACTGGTGGGGCGACAGAAAAAATAGGAACTTGCTTGTACTTTAGAGATGCGCGAGGGACGCCAAGACAGCCCACTTATTACTCACTTTTGTGTACCCTTCTGATTCTTTTGTATGTTCCCTGCAAAGAACTGATCTCAACTGTTATTCCGCTCATATCTCACATCAGGACCCGATTTCGAGTCATCTCTTGACTCTACAAGATATGACTCGGACGTGCAGGTCTCAGATCCTATTCCAAAACTGACCGGGCATTAATAGCACCAGTTAGTAGCAAACAAGCCTACAGAAAGAAAATTTCTTTCAGATTGATACGGATAGTAATAGATAATGTGTAACATTTAGCTCTGAAGTTGAACTTCTTGATCTGAGATGTTGGTTAGTACGGCACATAAAAGTAGGTGGAATGACTACTGTACTCGAAAGAACGCCGTCAGACTGCGGTATTACTACTGCATTTCTGTAAATAATGCATAACTTCGTATTGCCACAATATCCATTGCGTTAATACTGTAAGTACAATATACTCCAACACCCAGCTGCATGGCCGTTCAATCATGACTCCTCGGCTAAATAAGCCCTCCAGAGTATCATTTCTTGTCCCGCCTCATTCCCTAATCTAGGGGCAATACTTATTGCGAGAACTCTGGAGATTGCAACCTAATCAATACTACCATATCCTTTTCTTAAACCATCAACTCAATTGCTATATATACATGTAGTTAGTAGTAAGGCTGACGCATCTACTCTAGCCATGAGATATTCAGGAGTATCAACCAGAAAAGTAGTGTAGATCAATCTCATGTCCTAAACCATTACGATCACAGTAGAGTAAGTACATACATGTAGTTATCAAGATTTAGAGTTTCAGACACAAATCGTCGGGAAATTATTTCAATCCTAAATAGATAAGTCTAGCCCTGATATCAGCCAATAAGCAGACAGTGGCAGTATCCACCCATGTATATGCGATGGGTCCTCACGCGGGCTAAACCGCACATATCATTAAGGACAATATGTTTTTTTTTTTCGTTTTTCAAGGTATCCCCGCATGGTATTGAAATATATGTAGCTGTCAATTACCAATTAGGTAAGAACAAGATTCATGAATTCCGCCTCGAATAGGCTCTAACTTAATCACAGAGGCCCACCTCCCCCCCCCAAAACAGGTAGATACATGTAGGTACTTGACCTTGTGCCTATAAGCCAAATTAAGAACACCAAACCGAAAAATTATTCCTATGTATTTCGAGAGGCAACTGGTAGTAAAGAACACAATAGAAGCGTAATAATTATACACAAAAGTTGATTAAACAAAGACACAAAAAACTTCTTATCATACCGTCATACAATCTTTCGAACATAATTTCCCTATCCATGACTAGAGATGTTGTCAACCTTACTCTTCGGCAGTCTCCACAAGTGTACCAGTGCCCATATATGCTTTCTTAGCCATATCCTCCAACAGAGTCAGCTCGCCACTAGATTCGCACATTTCTCTGAAAATACTGTCTGGGTTTTTTAATAAATTGTGCGGATGATCGTACTCGCGGACCTCTCCTTGATCTAGCACGAGAACTTTATCATAGTATATGATAGAGTTAAGTCGATGTGCGATAGTAATGGTTGTGCTTTTAAGTTCACGGATAGTAGCCTGAATTTTGGAGTCTGTAGTGTAATCAATTGAGGCAGTTGCTTCATCCATAAGAAGCACCTTAGGCTCCTTCAAAAGAGCTCTTGCAAGACACAATAATTGCCTAAATCAAAGTCAACATTGCGGGTCCCTCAAGGAGACTAATACAGAAGAATCTTACTTTTGTCCCTGTGAAAGATTGTTACCAGACTCTGCAACTGCACTCTGAAGGTCGAGAAAGATGTTTTTGTTGATCGATGCATCATCTCCAGCAACTGGAGCTGCAGCCTCGGGCTCTTCATTAATCAATTGCACTCTCTTCAACGCTCTAAATATTTCGCCATCTGTGTAAACTCCAAAGGGGTCGAGGTTGCTTCTAATCGTGCCGGTAAAGAGTGTTGGGTCCTGTGGCACCATAGTAATCGACTGACGTAGGTCGCGAAGTCCAATTTTGCTGATATCTATTCCATCAATGATGATTTTTCCTGTTTCGGCCTCCAAGCTTCTGAATAGTGCAAGTGCGAGCGAGCTCTTCCCAGCCCCGGTTCTGCCAACGATGCCAACCTTTTCAAATGGCTTGATCTCGAAGCTGACATGTTTAAGAACTGGGTCAAGGTCGGAACGGTAACGTGTTGAATAATCGTCAAATGTTACAGAGCCGCTTTCTGGCCAATTAGTGTAAGGTCTGTTTTCTGGAATAATCTCAGCAGCCTCCTGCTCAACCTCTAGGTATTCCCTAATCCGTTCAACCCTGTGGAACAGTTAACATCAATACCACTAATGAACTATTTTATTTAGGACTTACGAATTCATATTCTGTTCATTCATAGCGTAGAGTCTAACCACCCATAAAACGTTGTCCGTGAAAGTGATGGCGTAGGTCAATGAAAGACCTGCCAACCCAGCATCAATTTTACCAACGCTAGAAACTACAAACACACCCGCAAAGAACGAAACCAAAGCACCTGCAATATCGACCCTAAACCCGAGCCAACGATTGCAGGCCCAGAGGAAGAAGAACGGTCTATTGTGTGCATCGATCTTGTTGAGATTATCTCTTACAAATCGTCGCTCGTCACCGTATGCTCGAATAGTAGAGACACCTGTCAATGTTTCGCCGAAATGTTGATACAGAGGGCTGCGTTGGATTGATTCAATACGCTTCAAATCTCTTGATGCGCGGAGATAGAACGCCCCGATCAACCAATATAGCATGCTGATGATCACGCCTGCACCGAGGAAACCAGGAGTAATGACCGAGATCAAAATTACAATAGCAACAACAGAGGCCAATGAATGAACCATACCCTAAAATAATCAGTTGAGGGTTCGCAGCTAATAACACCACCAAAAAACTTACCAAAGCAACAGGCGCCACCTCCTGATCAATGGCCTCCACATCCTTGGAAAACCTGTTGATAATCCTCCCTAACGGGGTAGAATCGAAGAATCTAAATTTTGCACGCATAATATGATGTAAAAGCCGCTCATGAATTCGCTTCGACGCCCTCAAGGAACCATAAAACACGACGGCCTCCCTGACGAAGGACAAGGTGGTGTATACAAGACCAATAAGCAGATAACCTATGAGGTAATACCATACATTGACCTTGCCCTGGTTGCTAGCAATTCCAATAGTATTTGGCGAAGTTGTGGTTGGGAAAGCCCATGAGCAACTTCCAGATGCAAAGCAACTTCCAGAATATCCGAATGAGGAAGAAAGTGCACTGTGAGTTACACTAGACATAGTAAAATTGCCACCTTCATTCGCCTCGGTCTCATACTCTAATGCCCATTGACGAATCCAGATAGAGGTAGCTACAGTACCCATTTGTTGCGCCCCGAAAATCGACAAGACGATAGCCCAATACCACCACGGTCCCATCTCGGTCAGGTACAGTTTATAAACCTTCCAATCAACGCTACCTTCGAGCTTTGTTTCTTCTCCTGATTTTTTGTCCTTTTTACCGGCTGGATCTGTGGATCCATTCAGAGGTTTGGGCTTAGATATCTGATCTCCGCCATCGGTCGGAGTCCCGATAAAAGACGGAACTCTTGAGGGCATCCTGGAGGCAGGCCTCGATTTGACCCCCGACTTTAACAGTTCATCGTTTCCGAGCGCCCCAGAAGCAACAACCGATTCGGGATCGCCTTGCGCCAGAACACGTCCGTTCTCCATAACCACGACATGTTTCGCCAGTGGAACACAAAGCGCAACATTATGAGTGACCAAAATACAGGTTCTGGCATGCATCAAGGGCCCCATTATGCAGTAGTCGTAGATCCATTTTGCAGTGTGAGAGTCAACGGCGCTCAAGCAATCATCGAGTAAAAGATGTTTAGACTTTGAATATAGGGCTCTTGCGAGTGAAATCCTTTGCTTTTGTCCTCCAGAGAGAGTGATGCCTTTTTCTCCAACTTCCGTTTCGTCGCCATTATCCAAGATCTGAAAGTCACGTTCCAATGAGCATGCAATAAGAACTGCGTGATACCTTTCCTCATCATACGGACTTGCAAAAAGGATATTATTTTTGATTGTATCATTTACCAACCATCTATTCGTTATGTCAGCTTATAATGAACTGGAATTGAGAATCTATCAACTCACGCTTGTTGGGCGCAATAAGCCACAGAATCGGTCAACCCTGTTTCTGGATCTGGTGTCAAGTCCTCCCGGCTATGCGCACCAGGTAAACGTACAATCCCTTTAATGTGCGTCATCTCTCCCAACAAAGCCATTAGCAATGAAGTCTTTCCAGATCCGGTAGGTCCCGCAATAATATTAAGCTCCTCCGGTATAAATGTAATGTTGAGGTCCTGTAGCTGGAAAGCCGATATCCCGGCCTTGTTTTTGATCTGATTTTTGCTTCCCCAAGTAAATGCGGCATCCTTAAAGCCGATAAGCGGAGCGTCTGGATCTTCGTCCTCTGTAGGCTTGAGTTGAATGTACTTCTCGGTATCCTCCTCATTCAAAAACTCTTCCACACGATCGATGGAGACTTTGGTTTGTAAAACGTTTGTGACCATGTCTGCGAGTTGATCTAGCGGGACACGTAAAACATTGAACAGAGATAATGCCGTGAAAGCGACAGGTGCGTTGAGATCCTTCCCTTCGATAACCGTATAGCAAAAGAAGCTGAGAAAGGTAATTATAATTGGAGATCCGTACCACGAAGTTGCAGCCACTGCCCACAGTATATAACGTCTTCTCAAGTTCTTCAGCTCTGCGGTTCGAGACTCATCCACGACTTGCCCAAAGCGCTCCTCCCAGGCAAAGAATTTTATGATTCTAATATTCTGCAGAACTTCGTTCGTGGTATGAATTCGCTTATCCGTAGTTGACATAATTGTTTGCTGAATTTTGCTAAACTGACTAGAGATATAGTAGTTTATAGGGAGCAAAAGAATCATGACGCCAATGCCGGCAATAGAACTCCACCCAAGAATCTGGTAAAGTAGAGTCACAGCGATAACTACTTGAACAGGAACAGCAGCAACCTACTATTGTCAGTTTAATTCTCCTACAACTCATAATATCAACAACATACCAAGAAATGCAAATAGGCGCAAACTTCCGCAACCTTGAAAGAATCAACAGCCATTAAATTGATGATAGCGCCAACATTAGCTTGATCGCCATCACTTTTATCCTCCTTCTCATCTTTATCGTCAGTATCCGTGAGTTTCTTTCCGTCCTTCTTCTTCTTTTTCTTCTTCTCGTCCTTTTTCCCCAATTCTTTATCGGCTCCTGCGGCAGCCTTTCTCCGGAGTGCTTTTGCATAGACCTCTCCAATTATTACGGCCCTAAGTCGGATACAGATCCTACGACCAATGAACAATGCTTGACCATTCCCAATGGCAGAGATAGTTGCAGCGACAAAAAGCAAAACAACGAAAAGCCATGCAACGTTCTTTGGTGTATCTTCCGGAGACTGAACATACTGCAAAATCACTCGCAGAAGAAGGGTAGGTGCAAAGGTGAAGGCTGAAGCAAATACAGCCCATGCAGACTGAATAGCAAGATCCCGTTTGAAATGTTTCAGCAGAGTAATGGCGAGAGTAGATGCTTTCCTAGATTTTTGTCAGTATACGACTATCGTGAATGTTATGTGCCACAGGTCAAATACTTGGTTTGCCTAAAAGCACTTAAAACTGAGTATGCAATATCATCTTCCCTCAGATTCCAAAGTTCTTCAAGCACATAAGGTTTCCAATAACCCTTCCATACGATCCCATCGACCCAGCTAAAACTAGCCAACGAAAACAGCGAGGCAAGAGGCTCTTTAGAGGGCTCGAGTCCGTCAATGACCTTCAACTCGACCGGTTTGTTACCCCTCCTACTAGAAAGAGCGATCATACATAGTAGGGTGATCAATGCGAATTGTGTTATGATAAAGGCTTCGTGAATGCCAATCTCTGGCTGGATCAAAGCAGTTCGAAATGCGACGGTGGCGAAGATGAAATTGAACATGTAAATAAGTGCCGTGTGATCCCAGAGAGATGGCAAATCGCGGCCCCCAGACACCGAAAACCAGAGCCTAAAGGCTGTGAGTAAAGCAACATAACCCTATTTCACATAAGCTTAGTCCTTTCCAAATATGCGTGTCGTTTGAACCCACCCAGCATACAACTCCTGAAACGAATGGCATTCCTGCATAGTTCCAGATGTCACCGTTCCTCTTAAAAATTTCGGCAATAAAAATTCCCAGAATTGCCGAGGCCCCAAGCACCTCGCAAGCGGCTAAAACAATCTCACCAGTCGGGGCCAGGACCTTCGCTTCGGTAAATGTACCATGGCTCATTGTGTGTCTCAAGCTCAGGTGTTCTGCAAATTCGTCATCGTCAACGTCGGTTGAGTCGCCATCATCGACAGCCGCTACTCCTAACGCGTTTTGATGAGTAGGAAGCTTTCGATACCCCTTCGAGCGCCTTTTGGAGATGAAGCGGTGTACAAGAGATACGGTCAGCCATAACGTGGATAGGCCGACGACGAGAGATGGTAGGAGAACCTGGATGAGGCTATTTTTGATGGATTGTCAGTCATTTCATGCCTAGGCAACTGCTCAAACAACCAGCAGGTCTTTACAGGGCCGATCTTACTCCCTACGTATACAAGTTGTGAAGTCGTCCCCTCTCCAGAAGGGACGTTCACAATGTAAGAAATTGGGATGCATGCCGTTCCGGCTGCGCGACCAAAGAGTAAAAACTCTAGGGTCGATCGACTAATTAGAATTCGTTGAAGGGAGGTAATCCAGAGTTCGTCGAGGTTGAAGTGTAAAATGAAGCCTAGAGTTATCTTTGACACTGGGTTCGGGGAGAAAAATGGTCAATTGAGTGGGAGAAGATGGTGAGTGACCCTGATAAAGTAAGAGTAAGAGAGGATTTTGTGATAAGATGGGCGTTGATCAGGATCCGGTGATACAAAATCCCTTTGGGTACACAGTGCAGCACAGCGGTGAATGCAACGGTGTAGCCAATCAATCGATTTAATAAAGCAAGGAGCAGATGCACATAGAGCTGAGTACATGTAAGTACCTATGTGTCCATGCAGAGTGTATGTAGCTCTTGAAGCGAAAGTCTCCTTGCTGTCGCGGGTCGGATGAACAGACAAAGAGAGTTCAAATTCAGGAAAGTCTTTGCCTTTACCTCAACTCCCTCGGTGCTTTTCTCCCAGGTGCCAATCACTGAGACTTCCCGCTCGTGCCTTAGCGGCTGACGATAACAAGCGTTAGCGTGGGCTCCGTTGATCTACCCTTGCATTTATTGGGGTTACCGGCAACAGACGTCACTTTTCGGGTATAAAAGCAGGGCTACCATACGCCACTGAGCCGGAGGAAGAAAAAAGCAAATTCTAGAACATCTTGCATCTAAGGACCTGCATACCACACAAAAAAGCTTTAGGTTAAACTTCAATTTCACAGAGAAGGGACCCTGATATTAATCCTGCAAAAACATTCTTGACGATAATGCAAGGTTCAATGCGCAGAAGATGAATCTCAACCATTCTCATGGAAAATTTGTGTGTGGTCAATGCAGCAATAACACTCTTAATACATGTACCACACCAACCAGCAAAGCTTGATAACTGCAAAATATATGTAGCTCTTTACCCATAAACACAAAACAGACCACATGCAGGAGGCAGCAGGCAAGGGATTTGAGACCGACCCGCAAAACTCAGAGAATACATGCACTCTACAGTTAAAGCTCATAGCATAGTATTATAATGCACCACCACTCGGGACGATCAAGAAATGGTCACTCTCTGATTACGAATCCGGCTCATCATAACAGTTCAAGCATAATATGAAATTCAGGTATTTACCAGCGTCAACAACCTCGCACGCATGTTCTATAGATATTTACCGGCACGAAAATTGAAAAAAGGATTGAAAAGAATTCTCATACATCCCCAGTACCAGCTATTTAAGTCATTTATGACCAAGGTGTTAAACTCTTGGTCTGGCAATTGCATCCCAAGACGAAATTTTCGGTTTGGTCCTATAACTTATCAGAAAAATACTCCAATCTAGAGGGTAAATCTCAACTCACGTAGAGTATGGCTTGTAAGCAGCACGGCTGAATGTCTGGTTCGGAATATGCTCCTTACTTTCCCAGGGCCTAACATCATGCTTCATAATCGGCTCGGAGGTGGGGGGCTTGTCAAACATATATGCGAGCCATCCGTGCCTGTATATCTAAGTGTCAAATTCGGGCCGTAAAGTGGGATATTATGTAACGCGCAATAGTAATTGTCGAGTGATTTTTTATGAATAGTGTTTCTTACCAGCCGGGCTCAACCATGGATCTATATATAATGTTAATATGTTTCGAAGACATGGTTCAGCAGAAGTTCTTACGCATCGTATTCCTTCCATTCTTTGTAGTCAACCCACTTGGTTCTCACTGTCGCCACAAATCTTATTAGTATATTCCGAGTGGCGCTAAACTATCTGTGTATTCTCTAAAAAAACTCACAGGGAAGCTCCTCGTCTTTGTTCTCATAATACTTATTGCCGTATTTATCGGTACCAACAAGAACACCGTACTTGGTGTCACCTAGTATATTGTCAATCTATGTGCGTATCCATTGTAGAGGCGATGACCAACCAATGCGCTATGCCACCAATTAGCAAGAAATTCCACAAGAATTAGCATTCTCTTAAAGGTTGCAGTCCGGGAGTGTACCTGGGAAGACACATACATTCATCTGGTAAGCATACTGCTTAAAACCTATCCGCCTAAGGTACCTCAAAGTCCTAGAAATCGTCGACATATTTATGCAGCTATTCAAGTAAATCCGTAAGCTTGTGTTGAACAAAAGAAAGTAAGAGGCGAAACAACCTAGGGAGTGGAGAGTTTTGCAGGGGTGGAGAGGTGTTCGAGATGTCGCGGGGCGATATGTGTCGCTCTTGTAGATCTAAAGTTACCCTCTCGAAAGAAACGTCCTACATACTAAACCACTAGCTAGATGGGTTTCGAGTGATTTGAAAAACTGCAACAAGGCAGGACTAGGATAGAAGATTCCCTAGGTACATATTTTTCCAAGATTAATTAATAGACCTCTCCCTCGATTCCCGGCCTTAATATCATCTACTCAGGCATAATATCAGTGTGTCCATCAGCGGATATATATTTAGCACATACTATAGGAAGCAGACGTTAATATCATGGGTTCAGACTTTAAGGATTTGTCGACTCGGTTTTGGTTTGCATACGTATACTCTAGTACCATTAACCTTACGAATGCTCGAGTACTACGTACACGCAATAGCAAGTACTCGAATCATTTGCGTGAGTCGTTTAAGTCTCATCTTCGGCATGGCATGCATTGCTGCCATGGTGTAACGTTAGACTACTCCAGTTTTCGGGTATTTTCCCATACTCGTCGCTTAGTCAGCGGAAATTTAAATTTCGACGAGTGCCTGTACTTGGGAGACGGCCTGGAATAAAACGACTCAATTGATTGTCTCAGAATCAACCGCCGAAGATCACTAAACATATAGTAAAGCTTTCCCCATGATAATTACAACCTTCCGGCGCACTCTATTGCGGTCCTCCGCCCCTCCTTCACGTTTGTTCTTCTCGTGCGCAAAGCGGAACTTTGCATCCTCATCCCCCCCACCTTCACACAACGGCACAACAGCTCATACAACCTCAATGTTGGGTACCCTGACCGGGGAATTGGATAAGCTTGCGCCTAGATTTGAGATTCGTGCAAATCAAATTAGGATACTGAGAGCCCCAACTGAGTTTTACGAGACGTTAAAGGTAATTGGTTGTTAGTTTTGGCGCTAGTAAGGGAAACGATCGAGGCTGCGGTTCTGAGAGTATTGGGGTGAATGAATAGGAACGTATATTGAAAGCGGAAAGGAGAATATTTCTTAGTACGCTTTATATAGGAAAAACTGAGAATGAGCTTGTATGTTATATACATCCTTTTGACGATTGAGCCTGCAATTGAACCTAGGGGATTTAGATTGAGACACTTCGACAAGTACTCCGCAACCAACCAAACCTCCAAGTTTCAATACTATCTGATGCCCTCCGTGGCACCAGAGAGGCACCAAATGCCTCATGTGCCTCCCTTCTTGCTCCATTGATTGAGGAATTTGGAGACCGTGTTGAGATTAGAATGTACCATACCCCAAACCTGCGTGGATTGAGGAAACAGGTTGTTCCAAAGCGCCTCAACGAAGGTTGGGGACTTCAGCACATGAAGCTTTACGGTATCGATGATGAGATTATCATTTCTGGGGCGAATCTCTCAGAAGACTACTTCACGAACCGACAAGATAGATACCATGTTTTCTCGTCCAAAGATTTAACAAACTACTTTGCCGGTATTCACCATGCGATATGTTCAATCAGTTACAAGGTTTTACCTGCATCGATAGACGTTGGCGGGTTTACATTGGAGTGGCCGGTCTCCAATCCAGCGCCCCAGCCGACAGAGGATCCAACCGCATTTAAAGTCTCTGCAACTGCTATTCTCGGACCTCTCATACGCCCTGCGGCCCCTGCGGTAGCTCTGCCTCAGGCCTCCACTAGGACAGTTGTATACCCCCTTGCTCAGTTTACTCCGCTCATGCACCCAACAGATATATCGACCGAGCACCCAGGTCTTTTGGCGGTTCTACAGTTGCTCTCAAGACCTGATTGGGCATCTTCAAAATGGATGTTCACAGCGGGCTATTTCAACATTCACTCTGAGCTTAAGAAACTATTGCTAGAATCCAAGTCAGTCCAAGGCACCGTCGTGACTGCAGCTCCAGAAGCGAATGGATTTTATGGGAGTAAGGGCGTTAGTAGCATGTTACCTCCAGCATATACATTGCTAGCAAGAAGATTCTTAGCAGACGTTATTAAAATGGGCAAGAGTGAGCAAATACATGTTCGGGAGTGGATGAAGGGGGGGACCATTGGGAAGGATCCTGAGGCCTGGACCTATCACGCAAAAGGTGACTTCCCCAATTCTAATATTCATTGAGGTTACTAAAATCGTATAGGTATCTGGGTGACCCAACCTCAAGATGAGAACCCAAGTATTACACTCGTGGGGTCTTCAAATTATACAAAGCGTTCGTATTCCCTCGATCTAGAGGTAAACGTATTGATAGTTACGGAAGATGATGGATTGAAGAAGCAACTCGGCGAGGAAGTAGAATGGCTACAGAAAGACTCACGCAAAGTAGATATGCAAGATTTTGAGAGGACGGAAAGAAGAGTGAGCCTAAAAGTTAGGTTGGCACTATGGCTGGTTGGCGCTTTAGGGGGGCAATTGTGAAGCATCTCCTTAGATATATCACATTTTATAACTGCATATAGACCAACTTGCTTAAGGGTGGGTAATAATCTTAAAGGTACATCATGTATGTACATGTATGTTTGGTTCGTCTAACCCCGACCAACATCTTGGTATGGAATGTTGGAGAACATCCACTAGTGTTGCTGTTAATCGGTCTCAAAACGATTCCAGAATGGAAGAAAAATAATACACTCTGTGTGCCTTAGCTAATTTTGAATCTATAGAATTCTTCGCGCCGATCTTTTTGTGTTCATTTACAATAGCTCATTATAATTCAAACCCTATAGCTACAGATTGACGAATATTGCATTCCAGTGCACTTGGATGCATGTGCGTGTGGACAACCACTATCGACTTCATTGTATATATGCTGTTAAGTATATACGGTCATTACCACATTATAGTACGCGCTTGTGATCACACTTGAATTCATAATTCACATGTGGTATCATCATTGACATTATTTCCCCCGACACTCTTCCCATATTACCTAGGGGATGGGTACGAGACTATATTGAATACAGTACCTACACATAGACCAAGGCAGCTCTTGGTTAAATGTTTGCCATACAATTCGAGAATACCTTTATAGTCACCTCCGCAGAGATTCAGAGCCCCGATCACTCAAATACAGTATCAACTGGTCGCCACCTGCTCAGTTAGAAAGGACCGATCCCATATGAAGTTGCGACGTCGAGGGTCATATTGGAATTATGGATAACCCGTTGCAGTTGCTTGAGAAGAACTCAAAATTAATAAGCGACCTAATCCACAGGAATATCTCTGCTCAAGTTATTCAACTCTTTTGGCCACAATATATACGCCGCCCGATTTTCGAGCTTTCGACAATTTTTTGGTTGTTTCCATCATAATCCATCACTCGTGCGTACTTGGTTGTTACATGGGACTGCTTAGGGCTCAACCCTGGCCCGGAATTCCAAATTGGGCCGAGCCACACACACACACACAACTTTAGTAAATCTTTCCCGGTACACCGAACAGACGTCGACGACAACAAAGCAACAGCAGCAGCACCACCACCAAAAACTCTAGTAACCATCGATCACAATGGGAAGGCAAGTTCACGTCACGGTCTACAAATTGGGAATTCGAATTGTTAACGGGGCCGGGATTATAGAGTTATCCGCAATCAGAGAAAGGGTGCCGGTTCCATCTTCACGGCCAACACCAGGCTACGAAAGGTCCGTTTTTGATATCCAGTGGTTTAGTGGTTGGTTTAGAAGAAAGCCCGCTGACTGAGGCTTTCGATGCAATTTCCAGAACCCGGCCAAATTCAGAACCCTCGACTACTCCGAGCGCCATGGATACATTCGTGGTGTCGTAAAGGACATCATCCACGACCCTGGTAGAGGTGCTCCTCTTGCCAAGGTCGTCTTCCGCGACCCTTACCGCTACAAGCTCCGCCACGAAACGTACGACTTCCCATTCGAGATTCTTGGCTTGGAGCTGTTTGAAGCTTTGGTTGTTTGGTGGGGTATTTGGGCTGACGGGTATGGGAATTCACAGTTTCATCGCCAACGAGGGCATGTACACCGGTCAGTTCATCTACGCCGGAAAGAAGGCCGCCATCAACATCGGAAACGTTCTCCCCCTCGGCTCCATGCCCGAAGGTACCGTCGTTACCAACGTTGAGGAGAAGACCGGTGACCGTGGTGCGATTGGTCGTACCTCCGGAAACTATGTCACCATCATCGGACACTCCCCCGATGAGGGCAAGACCCGTGTCAAGCTCCCCTCAGGCGCCAAGAAGGTCGTTCCCAGCGCTGCCCGTGGTATGATCGGTATTGTTGCTGGTGGTGGAAGAACCGACAAGCCTTTGCTTAAGGCTTCGCGCGCCAAGTTGAAGTACAAGGTCAAGAGGAACAGCTGGCCCAGAACTCGTGGTGTGGCCATGAACCCCGTCGACCATCCCCACGGAGGAGGTAACCATCAGCACATCGGAAAGGCTTCTACAATCTCCCGTTACGCTTCCCAGGGTCAAAAGGCTGGTCGTAAGTATCCCAAAACGAGAATTGTTCGGATTTTGAAGCTAGGCCCCTTACTAAGTTTAAATTTCTTTAGTTATTGCCGCCCGTCGTACTGGTCTGCTGCGCGGTACCCAAAAGACCAAGGAATAAACGGTTGGTTAAAAGTTGGGTTGGTTGGTGTTTTTTTACGATTTCTGGTTCTCTTTCTTTTTTTTTTGTGGGACAGGTTGTTTTTTCTTTTTTTTCTTTCCCGGGGGTTTGGGTCTGAAAATAAAAAAAAGGGAGAAAGTTGCATGGCTACCAAATAACAGAAAAGTGCCATGTTTCGAAAGCAACATACCCGAAAGGAACTAGAAATCTAATGGCGTCCTGAACAAACATTTGGTGCTTTAATGGTTTGGTGATCTTTTTTTATAATTTTTTCTTTTGGTGGACTTCGATTCTAGTACGGGGTGGAGTTTTGTTGTTGGATCCAAAACCATACAGCGGCGATTAACCGATGTTAATGATCTCATACGTTGGATCTTCCCGCACCACATGCATTTCCTATGTGCATTAAAATCCAGAAATCAAAGGCTCATAATGATCAACATGGTGACTGATGTAACGTTCGAGTGATATTTTGTGAATGAATCACAATCAAAGAATAATGCACCCAATGGTGTAAGGATCAAATAGCAGGTAATTAAAACAGACGTGTCAAACCCGTTTAGCACCCCTGCTGGTAGGAGGGAAAATTGAACATTAGTATGCTCTATTTTCAATCGCATTTTATGGTTGTCTAGCCAGCACATTTTGGCGACGAATCTTCCTTTCGTGGAAGTCCTTTAATTTGTTACACTTGCTACTCGCCATCAACATCCCTTGGCGGCATTGAGATAATAGATTTAACTAGCAATGATGACTTGCCCCTTGATTATACATTAGATAGTGATGAGCTATATCGGTCGTCAAAATGGAATAGTGGTGTGAATTATGAGGAAGAAAACAAGCTGTGACTCTATAAGTTCTCTCACCTGTCCTTATACTCATCTCTACGGCACGTAGCCACCAATCATATATTCACCCTCCTGTACTTCGTTACGGCTGCCAACACATCAATTACCAATAAGATATCCCATCGTTCATAGCCACCAACCAGTCAACGACTCCCCGGATATCGGCAGCTGATAAGGAGGAAGGTAAGGGGCGTGCCGTTCACGCATACGCGTGATTCTGGGCTGGCATATATGGTATTTCCTTATCAGACAATTCCTGGGTGGGGTAGTACGTTAACCATGAAGGAGAAGAAATTACCATAGCTATAAGGCTACGTGCGATTAATTGATTAAACAGCAACAAAAAAAAAAAAAAAAAAAAAAAATGAGGGAGATGGAAAAGTATATCCCTCGAGTGATATTCTGTGAGTTAACAAAGAAGCAACTCCGATCACTGTGTCCCGAATACCCGCCCTGATTATGAGATATTTCACAATTATGCACTAGTACACCTAATACAGCACCTAATATCACAAGTCAAGGCGAAAACATCCTCGATCATGGTTGGTCTAAAACCGCAAAACTTAAGCCTACAATAACAAACTCACTTCTATGCGAGTGATATCTTGTGATTGAAATTATTGTTTTTTTTTATACATGTCATAGTATTCCAGATATAACACTCGTACTCATTGCTTTTTAACTCCAGCTCTAAAAAGAACTGCACCCCTCATTATCCGGATACTTACAGTAGTTATTTTTTGCACTTTTGTTTAAGAAAGCTCTGTATACATTTACATAAGGTAACCTAGCTTGATAATACTTAAAGGCTTAGCGGAATGGCCAATGTTTATTATCCTTAGGCCATGGCACATATGGCACAGCACTTGACATTGATTTCTGGCAGCGCATAACCATATCCAATATAACTAGATGACACAACCAGAACTAAATACGGCTCTAAGGAGAGCAATCCCTTCTAACTAGATCATGCATGGGTTTTACTAGGAGTGTCTACCGTGACCGGAAAGATTGATCATATTTTATCACTCGCAATCCATCCGCCTGAACTACTTAACAAATATAAAAGGCGGAATAGCCAAGTTATTGGCTTAAGTCTTCGGTATTGTCCCATCATACATTTTTTTAATATCCTCCATAATCTGATTACTTGGGCAACGGCTGTTTAGCTAGGGCTGTCCCACGAAACTATAGGAGACATTAGGAGCACGGGGTCTTCCCCTATCCCAGGTAGCTTCTTTGGACATGGTAGGGTAAATATGAGTCAAGAATGGTTGGAAAGATTTGCTAATTGTAGTCATCATTATGATTTCGATTGTGTCCTTGTTATAAAGGTGTACCAAACAAGATGATGCCCCATGCACAAACATACGTAAAATAAAAAATATAATACAGAGCCATTTCTCTGGAAAATCGTAAAAATGCAGCTAACTCCTTCCTGAATTATTACATCACTAAGTCCTTTTGATGCTGATAAACAAATAAAGATCGAGATAAAGGAAACAGACAGATCATCGCAGATCGGATACCATTATGCGACTAAATCTTCTAAGATGGACTCGAGTTCGTCTTTCTCAAAAGGCGCCCACATAACCTCTGTTCCTTGTGAGTCTTTCTTGGAGACGATCATTTGATGGTCTTGAAACCTGGGGAGATGGTTAGTAAGTTGTGTACGAAATTAGTAGATAGGGGGACACGTACTCCTTCAACAGCGTTTTGAACGCCATATCGTTACTGCAAAGGAACTCTTCCACAGCCTTCTGATAAAACACCCTGTACTCGATCCCCCATTCCTCATTAGCTCCTCCCTGACCCGCCATAGGATCATCCATCATAGCTTCGAGCTGATGACTAATAAGAACTCTAAAAAGACTCCGTGCGTTCATATTCAGCGATGACAAGACGTGCTTAGCACCCTTTGTTCCACCTGCTCTCTTGGAACCGCCAATGAGGGCAAGGGATTCATCAATTGAAGACTCGACAGCATATGGCGCGAATGTGGTCGCGTCGTGCCAGAGGAAGTTATATTGTGAAGCACGGGCAGCATCCCAGAGTAAAGGAGCGCGGAGGTGGTCAATCGTAGCTACAAGAGAGATTTTTCTGTGCGCACAGAGACGAGCGATGAGGACTTGGGAGCGTTCCCCTCGGATCGATTCACCATCAAGGTTATGGATTATCAGCGTGAGCTTTGAGACCTCATCCGAGTCAAGAATGGCGATCACATTATCGAGCATCTCGTTAGGATTGGAGCCGAGCTTGACGTTATGGCCCTGACCGAGAATGGCGTTTGCGATGGAGGATAGGATGTCCTTGACCGTAAGAGTGGGAACGTATCCGTTTATCACAACGAGGGACGAAGGGTTTGTGTATATTTGTTTTGCAAACTCCATCAGCAGTTTACGCTTTGAGCCGTAACCATATAGAAGAATGTTGAAACCTTGAGAGAGTTCGAATTGCCATTGGTCGAAGGATTTCTTGTGGAGCTCCGCGAGGTACAGTCGATCCTCAACATGGTCGGGGACGTGTTCCCTGATCAGCTGGAAGTAACGCCCATGGTCTAGAGGGGGGAGGGACGCGAGAGTGCTATTTGAAGTTATTTGTCGCGCTTTCTTGTTTTGCCCAAAATACGACTCGAAACCCTCAATCGGTGGGGGTGGCTCTGGCTCTTTTGGCTTCCTTTTCCTTCCCCGAGACTTTCCCTTCTTTGCTCCAGCTTCGTCGACCGCTTCTGGGAGGGGTCCGTCCTCGTCGTCTTCGTCTTCAGAATCTGCGTAGATCCGCCGAACAAGCTCGTCTTCCTCGTCCTCGCTAGAGTCCCCAGCTACTACACGGGCAACAATCTGTCGCGCACTCTTTTTCCGAGCTGACCGGTCTGCATTGGTGACAACTGGAGGGGGCGAGATTGCGTTCTCTGCGAAACGAACAGAGTTGGAATTGTTTGGATTATCGCGTCGAGGTGTTCGTGCTGGAGCAGCGCGCTTCAGAGGTGATGAAGACATGACAGTTTCAGATCCTAAGCTGGTTCCTTTTGTGCCGATTCTGGGGCTAGCCCTGTTGGGCGCGCTGGTTAGGGTGTGAGCACGGTGTTTCCCGGTGGTTTCTGGGCGTTGTTGGGGCGGCTGCTGCGTAGGAATGCTCGAAGACGTCGTGGTGGGAGGAGGCTCTGAGGTGGAAGAGGATTTTGCGGCTACACCGGGAGAGGCAGAGTTGGACGACCGTTTCCTTTTCATGACGACCTTGTCTCACAGTAAACTTACCCGCGTAGGTATGGTCGTGGTGCGGACTAACCAGGGTGTCTAGCTTCGAGAGCCCTGGAAACCGTTGTTGTTTAAGCGGAACTGTAGGACCTGAAACCCTATCAAAAGCCCTTGCAGACCCGAGCCCCGCAAACACTTGACAAAGCAATAGAGAACCACCTTATTTATCCTTTACCTTGTAAATATCACTGATAATCGTAACTACAGCTGTACTGTAGGCCTGAAAGCACGGTGAGATATGCCAAGTCCATGTGTCTTGGCAATTGTTCAATCGTTACATTGACCGGTACCTATCCTAGAGTCTTGATCTAATACTAGAGGTGTTTGCGGTCGGCTCGTAGGGCGGTCCGCGGATAGGTGTGAATTGTTTGGAGCTTCGTTTTTAGCGTAATGATTATTCCCAAACAGGTTTAGGCAAGTTCGAGTGATAATTGGTGAGGGAAACATACACCATGAATAGACATGTATAATTCACACAACGGGTCAATCGAATATATGTATTTTTCAGAATTACAAGAAAAGCCTCAAAGAGCTTAGAGAGCTTAAGCTCGATAGTCTTTCACCTTACAATCAAAAATTGTTTCTCATGCCCCCCCCCCACACAACGCCTCCGAAACCCCTAACCCTATGCAATACCCTCCAGCTCTAGATCTTCGGATTAATCCCAAGATCTCGTAATTCCCAACCGTTTACATGAGTAGCATCTCCAAGCGAAATATATAGCCCAGCAACTCGCCTGATATCCCCCTGTAAAGCTAATGCTATCCATTTGCTGTAGTACAAACCCACCACACGAAATTTTCCCTGCAACCCAGATCAAGCGGCTCTGCGTAGATAAAAAAGCTCTCCCCCCCCACTTGTAGATACGACTCACCCGACCCCTCATCGCTTCGCTCCCGCCTCCACACCATAGGACTTATCCTACACCTATCAATTGACCCTCCACGAAGTCACAATGCTTTCTAGACTCTCCTCGAGGTTCCCCACTCGTGGTGTCGCTTTCATGACTACTCGTGGCTACGCAACTGGGCCCGCGCCAAATGCAAAGTGGAAATACGTCCCTCAGAGTGGGAGTTACCCACAGGGGTTCAACGTTGGCGGTATTCATTGTGGAGTAAAGAAGGATGGGAAGAGCCTTGACCTTGCGCTTGTGACTTCCGAGTTGCCGTGCAGCGCCGCTGCGGTTTTCACGAAGAATGTCTTCAAAGCGGCACCTGTGGTCATGGGTAGGGAAATGTTGGACAAGCGAAAGGGTTATGGGATCAGAGGGCTTGTGGCTAACAGCGGATGTGCTAATGCCATCACCGGAAAGGGTGGAATGGAGGATGCATTGGCTATGGGGAGGGGAGTTGACAAGCTGGTGGGAGAAGAGGAGAGCAGTACTCTGGTCATGAGCACTGGTGTTATTGGACAAAGGTACGATATTGTGGATCTGAGCTTTAGTATGTATGATATAGAAGACTAATTTCTAGGATTGATAAAGGCTCCCGATTAAAAAGATTCTCGATGGGATCCCGGAAGCCTATAAAATCCTTGCACAATCTCACGAGGCCTGGCTTAATACCGCGAAGGCCATTTGCACAACAGACACCTTCCCCAAGCTTTGCTCTAAGAGCTTCACTTTCCCTGGATCCTCGACAACCTACAAGATCGCTGGAATGGCTAAGGGAGCTGGTATGATCCATCCCAACATGGCCACCCTCCTTGGATTCATGGCCACGGACGCCCCCGTCTCCCCAGAGGCTCTCCAGAACATCCTCACCCACGCGGTTGAACGCTCGTTCAATGCCATCTCTGTAGACGGTGACATGAGCACCAACGATACTGTCGCTCTCCTTGCCAACGGCGCTGCAGGTGGCAAGACCGTAGAGGCAGGAACTGAAGCCGAAGCCGTCCTTAGAGCGGTCGTAACGGAGTTTGCCGAAGAGCTCAGCAAGCTGGTTGTTCGTGACGGGGAAGGCGCGACAAAGTTCGTGACCGTCAGCGTGAAGGATGCAAATAACTTTGCAGATGCGAAGCAGGTCGCATCAACTATCGCTAGATCTCCTTTAGTGAAGACAGCCCTCTATGGGCGAGATGCTAACTGGGGTAGAATTTTGTGCGCGACTGGATACTCTGGCATCGATGGAATCGTTCCGGAGAAGACCAATGTGTCATTCATCCCGACTGATGGCTCGCCTGAATTGAAGCTCCTTGTTAATGGAGAACCAGAGAATGTGGATGAGGAGAGGGCGAGCGAGATCTTGGCCATGGAAGATCTTGAGATTAGGGTTTCGTTGGGAACGGGCAAGGGTGGTGAGGCGGCATATTACACGTGCGACTTCTCGCATGAGTAAGTTGAACCCTAACCCTGATTTAAGGATATTGTGTCTTTCCTTCGTTGGTTGCTCGGATTGCTGACAGATGCGCATTTGTAGATATGTCACGATTGTAAGTTCTCCCCCAGTGATGTCACTTGTACTCCTTGTAGACGATAGAAAGATATCGTACAATTCAGGTGTCCGGCATGGAAAGCTAACATTCGGGTCAAGAACGGAGATTATCGCACTTAGATTAGGTAGAGAGCTTGGTGAAGGTGAAAGTGGAGGTCACGTGGCGGAGCTATATTTCGACGTTAATGATCACCAAGGGCGATTAATGAAAATTGAATGTGATACCCGTTGTGAACATATAAATAAGCTTATTCTTCTGCTCCTGTGCCTGGGTAGATTTCGAATCGATTCAGGTAGAAACTAAAAGAAAGAAAAAGAGAAACACAGAAAGAAGATGGGGAGGTGCTCTACATGTAGCAAGAAGCGCACCTGTCCAATCAACCAAGGACCTATTCATCCCCCCACCAATTCAGGCCACATCTACCTACTGTGGGGAAAAAATACATCAGAAGATGTGTTGTTGTTCTGGAACTGTTAATGCCGGTCACCGCAAGGAGGGAATCTTATTTCGGTTGTAGGTGAGTGAGGCGGCGGCGTTGTGTGGATGGGATGACAAGGGGCTAGCGGGTTGGACCCAGCCAGAGAGATGTGGCCTCAACTCTCTGCCTCCAACTAAAAAAACCCGAACTCTCCTGAACGTCTTCCCTTCTTCCTTCTCTCAGAACCATCAACCATCTCTCAACCAACATTCCTCCCAACGGCACTCTCTCTTAAAGCGTGCTTGCCTTCCATAGCGAGGAGACTCTCTTTCTCTTCGTTCATTACCATCCTTTCTTTTGAATTTTAATAGGATTCTGTTAATTCCACCGCAATCATGAGCGGCTGTAAGTACCCGAGTTCCCATCTCGCTTCAGAAAACTTTGTGTTTCGCAATTCCTTTGAACTATACTGACTCCATTTCTACAGTGCGATTTCTCGACCTGATTAAGCCGTTCGTGCCCATCCTCCCAGAGGTGGCGTCACCCGAACGCAAAACTCCATTCAGACAAAGGCTAATGTGGACTGGGGTGAGTTTTTCTTCGCGATGCTTGAGCCTCGCTTTGGTAGCAATGTGGCCTTATTTTGCGCATGGATGCTGACGTGCTATGGCGCGAATAGTTGACACTACTTATTTTCTTGGTTATGTCCCAAATGCCGTAAGTTTTATTGTTCCAGATTAATTGCTCTCATTGGACAGCTTTGCTGACCTGCATGAAGATTGTATGGAATTGTATCTTCAGATACCTCGGATCCCCTCTATTGGCTCCGTATGATGTTGGCAAGTAACAGAGGAACATTGATGGAGCTGGGAATATCTCCAATTATCTCGTCTGGAATGGTTTTCCAGCTTCTCGCCGGTACTCACTTGATTGATGTCAACCTCGACCTTAAGTCTGATCGCGAGCTCTACCAAACCGCCCAGAAGTGTAAGCAGCCATTCAATTCCATTTGGCGATCCTTCAATGGCAATGAGCTAACAATATAACCTATAGTGTTTGCCATTATTCTTTCTCTCGGACAAGCTACCGTCTACGTTTTGACTGGTCTCTACGGACAGCCCAGTGATCTTGGTGCTGGTGTTTGCCTTCTCCTTGTTCTCCAGCTCGTTGTTGCAGGTCTCATTGTCATTCTTCTCGATGAGCTCCTCCAGAAGGGTTACGGTCTTGGATCCGGTATCTCTCTTTTCATTGCCACCAACATTTGCGAGAGCATCATCTGGAAGGCTTTCTCTCCCACCACCATCAACACTGGACGTGGACCTGAATTCGAGGGAGCCGTCATTGCTTTGTTCCATCTCCTCCTTACCTGGGGCGACAAGAACCGCGCTCTCCGTGAGGCTTTCTACCGCCAGAATCTCCCCAACATCATGAACCTTTTGGCTACTCTTGTTGTCTTCGCCTCGGTCATCTACCTCCAGGGATTCCGTGTCGAGATCCCCGTCAAGTCTAGCCGTTACCGTGGAACTCGTGGAACCTACCCGGTCCGTCTTTTCTACACCAGCAACATGCCTATCATGCTACAGTCTGCTCTGAGCTCCAACGTTTTCCTCGTCTCACAGATGTTGTACAACCGTCTCCCAGACAACCTTCTCGTTCGTTTCCTCGGTGTCTGGGAGCCCAAGGAAGGATCTGCTCAGCTCTACGCTGTGTCTGGTATCTCTTACTACATGTCTCCTCCCCTCAACTTCACCGACGCTCTTATCGACCCTCTTCACACCGCTATCTACATCTTGTTCATGCTCACCGCCTGCGCCATGTTCTCCAAGACCTGGATTGAGGTTTCTGGCTCTAGTCCCCGTGACGTTGCCAAGCAGTTGAAGGAGCAGGGTTTGGTCATGGCCGGACATCGTGAGCAGAGCATGTACAAGGAGCTTAAGCGTGTTATCCCTGTTGCCGCTGCTTTCGGTGGTGCTTGCATTGGTGCTCTCTCTGTCGCTTCCGACCTTCTCGGTGCTCTTGGTTCTGGAACTGGTATCTTGTTGGCTGTTACGTAAGTTTTTCCTGCTACTGCGAGGTTATTATGTTTGGACATTTGCTAATATAAATTTTTTATAGAATCATCTATGGATATTTCGAAATCGCTGCTAAGGAGGGTGACATGGCTGGCCTCGGCCAGTTCGTCTCATAAGTATGTTGCCAATAGCAAGATGCATTTCTTTTCATGTTGATTGACATTTTTTGTTTCCTTGTAAAGATAGAGATGTGTTCAGTGGCAAGGGAGAGGGAAATCAGTAGCCTGCTTTTTACCCCCTGCGTTTTGACGAAGAATGAAGAAAATCTATTAAAAAAAAAGATGGGCACAAATCTTGATACCTGGGCGTAAAAGCGGACTGGATCTTTCTTTTTGTGGGGTACTAAAAAGGTCAGGGTGTAGGTCTCAAAAAAAAGGGATTGCAGCTTTTACATTATTGTATTAATGTTGCTGCCTGGAGCAAGGGAAAAGAGCATGTGTTATGTATTTAGTATTTGTTTCCGGGTTTCATGTGGGTACTTTTCGGGGCTGGCAGGGCGAAATGTTGAATTGATTTTTTTTCAGGCACTTTGACGGTTCCTTTTGACGATAATCCATCTAATTGCTCCCAGAGGATTGTAGACATGAGATGGTTGAAATAGTAACATTTCTGAGTGTGGTTGAGTAGAATAGTAGTGAGAGACTAGTAGAAAGGTCGAACAATATTGGTTGTGGATTGGGTGATATATGTCTGGTGCTCAGTGAAAGACTCACGTTACCGCTATCCATCACAAAATGTCACTCGGTCACTCGAGTACACCCCTATAAGATAACTTGCCCCACCTAGTGACGGTTACCATGGGTGAGAGAAAGGTTGTCTTTTTTCTAGCTGCATTTCTGGCCGGTCTCGGCCTTAAGGGATCTTCCCTATGGTATCTTAAGTCTGTCTGGTGTTTCTCCAGCTTTTACAAGATTGTTCAGGGTGGGGAAGGTGGGGGGTTGTGCCGATATGTAGCCATTAGATTTTCAGTTTGTTAGCTACATGTACCTGAATCCTCTTGGCTTCGGAGAGGGAATATACAGGAGGAGATTACCTGTGCTAAAGATGCTTCTAATACCTCAGGATGTGATCTTTCGCACAATACCGATGCTGAAACCTAGGGGGGTGCATGGGTTTTATACGCGCTATATCCTCTTGATAGCGAATTACCTTAAAGTATGAGTAGGCCAAGATTTTGGGACCATGACTGCCCATCTTATACTATGTAAGTTCAAAGCCTCAAGTCGTCTTCGAGCGGCGGTCAGAGGACAACGTGAGGAAAGACCAAAAGGCTGAGCTAGAAACCAGAAACCCACAAAAGACCGAGAGGTTAGAGAGAACCAAAAAAAGTCCACACACAAAAATAGAAGCGCAAGGTGGCATCTTTCGATGCCTCCTCGCAGCAGTTAGGAGACGACGAAGATAAATCAACGGAAAAGGTCTAAAATGACAGTTTTCGGTACATGTACGTAGACGTGCTCTAAAATAAAGGATTAAGAGTTCTGCTTCATCTTGGCACACTGCCAAGGTCAATTGTCAATTATCATTTGCAGCACAGCATCTGCTATGGGCGAGTGGTCTACTGGTTTAGACTGCTCGTCGGGTTAGACACCAAGTGTTGACCCAGGATACCAAAGGTCCTGGGTTCGAACCAGGGGTGGGGATAGTAGTGCACCTTAATCAATAAGTCGCTGCAGTATCTTTTGTTCCTTTTATTTATTGTCTGTAGTGAAATAGATTAGGAGGCTGTATTTTTGATTTTAATTTCTCTAGAGGACGAAGAGCTCAAATCAAGGCACGTGCTAGCCCTAAAGCTTAACGTCTTAATGCTCGGTCGTCTCCCCAAGGGAAAGATCTAGAAATAGTATATACTCTCTAGTAAGGACCTCTAAGGCCTCGTGACTATACTTCGCCCAGATAAATTCTGTAGCTGGGAGTTCATGAGAGGTTTTGGCATGGCCACCGACAGGCAAAATTGTTAGATTAAAGCACGGTCAAATCTATGGCTGGCCTGGACGCTGTGGGTGGCGCAGGTAGACTGACTACATAGATATATATATGTAGTTGTGGGTAATACAAGGACAGGTGGTGCTTGTGATGAAGGATAGGTTATAGTTGTTACAGTGTCCTCTCGCTAGTTGGGTTTGACCACCGCCCTCTTGTGCCTCGCTTTCTTTATTATCTCCCCTCATCATCATCAATACAATAATTCCGGTTCTTTTTACTTTAATGAGTTGAGTCCGAGCTTTCTTCCTATGCTTCACGTAGGACCAAAGCCTATTCCATACACGAGTGAATTATTAATCAATCAATCAACCAAAGTCTATTCTGAACTCCTAGTTTACTCCAGTATATGTACTACGGGAACTCTCTACCCCAGAACGCTACTATTCTTTGGCCATGGTTTGCCTAGTAATAACATTACGAAAAACCGAGAAATGTGCTCATTATTTTATAATTTAGGTCAACCGTGGCCGTACTTTTAACAACCAATATAACGCTACCAATATGGCTGCCAAGAGCGAGTGACCTCTTGTGATCATTCCAACACGGACATCCTTGATTTGGCACAAGAGAATCGAGATCAGTGTTTATTTGACATTGAACACTCACAATTTACGGAAATCTCTCAAAGATTGCGCCAGAAGGGGCTCGTTCTTCCCAACATTTTACTCCCAAGAAAAACACAAAGAAAGAAAGCAAGAGAAAAAAAAGGTATTCGCTTCAACTTATTACACTAACTACACTACACTACACTAAAAAAGGCGTTTTTATATCTACAACTCTCACTTCGACACCTCTCCATTCTGTAGCCTCTTCCCCGCCGTCACGGCCCAGTTTATAAAGTCCGTAAACAGGCCTCCCTGTACCCTCCATGTGCGATCCGTCAGCAGCTTTGTCAAGCTCTTCATATAGATGCCAACGGCCCTCTCGACATCCTCTTTCTTCATGCCCCCGCTCGCAACCAGCACTTTCATGATCGCAATGCTAGCTTGCGAGCAGGCGGCCTTATGCTTCTCCCTGCCCGCCCCCCCGTCCTTCGCCGCCTCAACGTGCACCTCCTCTAGCAGGCCCCACAGTGCCTCCCTCTCCTGTTTTTTGCCAACCATAGCATCCGCCTCCTTCCCCCTCAACGAATTCGCAAAGTTCCTCACAACCACCGCCGCATGTTCGGCCACTGGTCTACTCGCCGTCCTCCTCGCGCACCTCAACAACGGCAGCACCATGACTGACGACACACCGACATCAAGCGCCCGCGATGACCGCGCAAAGATGTCGAGTAGGTCCAGAACACGGTTCTTGAAGTTTGTTATGGTCTCTTTGGCCGCCCGTGTTTCGGCCTTCTTGGACTTCTCGGCGCTGCGCTGCTTGAAGATTGTGACGAGGTGCTGGTCGAGCGCGAGCATAGCGTCGTCGTCCATGTCGCTGCCATCGTCGTCGGAATTTGCGGCGGCACCGCTGGCGCTAAGGGCCTCGGCGAGGGCGGACTCGAGCTTGGTGGCTTCGGTCTCGTCGATTTCTTCGTCTTCTTCGTCGTCGTCGGATGCGGAGTCCTCGTCGTCAGAGCTGGCGTCTTCTTCGTCGAGATCCATATCTTCAGCGTCCACGACCTCTACGTCCGAGTCCTCTTCTCCGTCATCACTGCCGTCCATATCAACGTCGCCTTCCTCGTCCTCATCGTTCCCGTCAAACAGCTCTTGCTGCCCACCCAAGCTCTCCTTCGTCTCCAGCACAGCAAACATGGCCTCCAACCCGCCAGCCGTGATCTGGTCCACAAAGCTCGCAAACACTTGCTGTGCCAGCTTGCGCAGAAGAACGCTCGGCTTCGACAGGAAGCTCAGCAGGATCTCGACTAGCACCTGGCTCGCGTCTACGTCTTCGTCGTCGCCTTTCTTGCGCACGACCTTGTCGTAGCAAATCTGAAGCTCGTCGAGAACTCCTAGGGCATCAGTTTCGCCGGAATACACTTGCAGGATGACGAGTGAGTAGAGGAGCTCGAAGGAGGAGAGCTGTGACGATTTGGTGCTGTCTTTGCTGCTGTGCGCGGCACGCTTCTTGCGGATGCGCTCGAGCGTCTTAGTGGCACTCTTGAGCGCCTCGGCGATAACGTCGTCAATCTCGATAGCGAGCTTATAGCCGTCGGTCTTCTTGAGTGCGCCAATGGTCTTGACGGCCCTGTAGGGCCATGTCTCGTCACCGTCCTCAGCATCCTTGAGCGTGATCAGATGCGACAAGCAGCTCATCAAGCGGCTTCTAAACATCCCCTGGCTAGCCGCGCTGACCGGCGGTGTCACGCCCTCCTGCACATCAAAGTGGCCGAAAGCGGTAAACATCTCCACCACCTCCCTGAGCCACGCGCCGGACTTCACGCTCTTACTGCTGCGCACCACGGACAAGACCTGATCGCACGCCCACTGCCTGCGCACCTCCGCTGCCTTCACCTCGTCCACCCCCGGCGCGAGCATGATGCCGCGCAGCACGCGCACTACCGCTACAAGCCCGTCCTCGTTGGCTAGACATAGGATCTTCTCGACGTGCTTGCCTTTGGTCAGAGAGTCGAAGGTCGGGGTGCCGTTGTTTGTGATGAGCTGTGTTATTATGATGGGGACGCTCCATGGCGCCGCTTCTGCCTTGGCTAAGAGGGCACGCGAGCATTTAGCCGCGGCTTTGTGGAGGTAGCGGGAGGCGTCGGACAGCTGGTTGATGAGACTGCGCATGAAATTCTTAGTGAAGAGGGCGGAGAGATGCTGGGAGGTGGAGGGCGTGGTCTGCTCGAGCGCTTTAGCAAAGAGGAGGAAGCCGTGGAATTTGCGTTCTTCGGAGGCGGAAGTTGAGAATAATGATTCTGGAGGGGGGGTAATGATTGGTTAGCGGGTTTTGAGAAGATGCATGTTGATCATTGGCCCTTGCGGGTTTGGGGATGTGGGGCTTCCGGGAATGCTACTGGGCCATTGAGCTGAGGCAATCCTGGGCAACCAGCTCCAGGGAAGATACTACTATAGCGATTCATCCTAGAAAAGGCAGGGTTAAGGGAAGAAGAAGAGAAGAACAAAAGAAACTCACCATCAACAACAGCTCTCCAGAGCTCAGCCCACCCAGCAATCTCAGAGCTCTTCCTCAGCTCACTCCACACCCCCTCCTCCGCCAAATACACTGCTAGAATAAGGTCCCATACAAAGTGTAACTTCTGGCTCCACGTCCCCTTCGCCGCACCCCCGCCGCCTTCTTCCTCCCCTGAATCCTTCAAGATCTTGCCTAGCACCCCTAAATTCCCCGCCCCAAGCGGCAACCCTCCGCTCCACACCTCCCGCGGCGCCGCGACTCCCGGATGATATGCCGCCACGCACAACCACACCGCAATGCCCTCAGTCGTCTTGCTCATCCCGCTCTCCACCAGCGCCGAATACGTCGCTGCCGCTGCCGCTGCGCCAACCCCGCGCTGCACAGACTCACACACGGCCCACGCGCAGCTCTCGCGCAGCCACGGCTTGCGCTTTGCCAGCTCGAACAGCTCATCGAGGACCTCCCTGTGCGCGGCCTCGGCCTCGCTGCCGGGTGCCGCGGTGATGCCGGACTGCAGAATGCTCTGCAGCCCAAAGAGGCGGCCGAGGTGGTAGCCGCGTTCTTCCGGACGGGTGGTGTGTCCGCTTTGTGGGGTGGTGTTGGTCTTGACGGCGGAGAGGATGGTGGCGAGGGATATATCCCATTTGGCGGGGTTTCCTGAGGACTGGAGGGAGGCAAGGAACTATGTGGTCTCCTCGGGGTTGTGTTAGAGGGCAAGTGAATGGAAGTGAGAGAAGAGAGTGAGAGTTGGAGGGAATGGGAGGGGTGTACCTCGGTGAGGACAATTGCAAATCCGGGACGCGAGGAGTTGCTCCCAGAGGAGAGGCCCTTTGTAAGGCGCGAGAGGGCATAGTCGACGTCCTTCTTGCTCTGCGGGGTGCACTCGGTGGTGAGGAGCGTGGTGAGCTCGGTGGTGAGCGTGTGCGCGGTGGAGAGGCGCACGGACTCGTCGTTGGAGCCCAGCGGCTTGTAGAGATGGAGAGACATTTGGTAGTGTCTCTGATATGTGTTTAGCGTCTCCTCCGCTATGCTGTATATCCTATCGTGAGTATGGGGTTTTCTTTCGAAGGAGGAGAGTTTTCTCTTTCTTCGGTCTGGGTTGGTGTTGCCAAGACGAAGAAAGATTTTCTAAGACTGTGCGCCGGCAGGGATGTCGCTGTGCAAAAAGAGCCTCCTACGTCAAACGTCAAAGCAGAGAAGGAGAGAACTGAGACATCCCCGCAACGTCAATCAGGGAGAAGGTATTTATTGTCTACGCTTGAAAGGAAATTATGATGGATAATGCACTCTCAATTGATAACTGATAGCTACTAATCGAATTGAATAAACAAAAACAAAAACGAAAAAAGAAAAAAGAAAAAAGAAAAAAGAAAAGAGAACGCAAGACAAGACAAAACTGCTACCTAGGAAAACTGCGAAAGCAGTGCCTGTTAGTACAAAAGAAACCCGCACTCCCCTCCCCTCCACTCTGCTTCAAGAAGAAACACCCCTCCAACCCCCCAACCCCCCAACCCCATTTTTTTTTTTTGGCCCAACAGACAAGAATCCACTCAGCAGACTCCCTGGACCTCAAAAGAAACAATATCTACAACCCGCCGTCCTCTCCTCCCACGACAGGTCCCTCCACCGATATTGTCACCTATCCGCCTTTACCAGACTCCCTATCGAGAACGCGCTCCTCGACTTCGCCTTCACATCCGCATACTTTGCCGATGCCAACTTATGCGACGAGCTACGACTCGGCTTCTCGGACTTGTGCGGCTTCACCGTGGCCGATGAGCTGCTCGTCATCTCTGTCAGCGTCTTCGTGCGCCGCGGCTTGCTAGCCTTCTCAACGATAATCTCGGCGCCGGGCGGTAGTGTATGCCCGTTCATGAGCGCTGGGTGGCCTGTGTAGCTGGTGTGCCCGGAGTGCCCGGGGTGCTCATAGCTGTGACCGTAGCTGTGACTGTTGTGACCGCTGTGGCCGCTGTGGCCGTAGCTACTTGGTGACGGCGGTGATGGCGGCGGGGATGCCGTAAGGGGGAAGAAGGTCTGCGGGTCTATGTCAGCCATTACGAGCCGGCCTTGGTGCTTGACGACTTTATCCAGTCTCGATTCTACAGCTCACACCGTTAGTATCGATATAATTACTCCCATCTCTCTCCATTCTCTCTCTCCTCAAAGCTCCAAGAAACACCTACCATGTGAATACGACACCAACAGCGAATACCACGGCCACCCCTCCCCCTCCTCAAAGAACAACCCATCCTGCAGATGCTCCCACGCCTTCTTCACATCCCTATCCAGCAGGAACGCCAACAGCTCATACGTCTTATCCGTCCCATTTCCACCCAACTGCGCATACTTCTGCCTAAACACGCTCGTCTCCTTCACCGGCGGTATATACAAGCGCCCCTGATCGTCCAACAGCCTGCATAGCTCCACCTTGATATCGCAGTTGAGCGGGAACAGTCGCTCCGGTGCCGCCTTCGACGAGAGCTTGCTGCTGCTCTTGCTCGAGCTTTGCCGCCGCACTAGGTCGGCTGTTATAGCTTCAGAGAGCGCAGCGTAGAGGCCCCCAATGTCACCGGGGGTGATGGCGCTGAAGTCGACAGACACGTGGTAGTGGCCCGCGTGCCCCCATTCTCTGCGGTAGCGGATAGTGGACCTTGGGGGTGCGGCGGTCTCGATGTCGACTGCGGTAGCGGCGGCGACGGGGTCGACTGTAGACATGGCGGGTGGTGGGGGGTGGGGGTGGTTCGGGTGCGAGAAGAGGCCGGAGATAAGGGCTGACATGGAACGGGGTAGTGGGTGGGTTTTTATTAATGATCTGCCTGTATGTATGTATGTGTGGTGTGTGTGGTTTTTGGTGGTGGTTTTTTTGGTTGGAGGAGAGAGACTCACGTACGATGAGGCGATCGAGATATCAGGCACATTGCAGAGACAGATACACAGGCAGCCAGATAGGCAGGCACGCGGTGTGACAGTTGGCTTACTTGCTTACTGCTGGCTCATCGGGTGGAAAAAGCACTCCGCGGTACCCTAGCTTCTACCTCTCGCTCTTCCACTTCTTTTCCATTCCCCATCCTGCTCCGCGAATAGAAGTTATGCACGTACTCTACTGGGCAGAAGGGACCTCTAAATCCATATACACATCACATACCTACATACACATGCCCTACTCCCTCTACTCTGCTCTACTCTGCCCTCCTTCCCCACTGCAGGACAAAGACGCTCCATCGTGAGTAAAAGACAGGCAGAGAACAAAGCAGCCACACACTCCCGCTAGCAGTCAATGATAGGCATGAGGCTATCGGTGATAGACAAGTAAGAAGCGGTCGGCCCCTTCCCTTCGCAGCTGCACTTCGCTGTCCGACGAGTGAAGCATCCCTGCAAGTACCTGCCAAGCCGAGTCCGCGCAGAACATTCGAAACCACACGCAGGTAAGACAGGGCACATGTATCCAGGGTAAGGGCATTGAGTGAACAACACTCTTGTAGTAGATGCCGATTAGTTAGTACCTACATAGGGAGAAAAGGGGAAGAAGGCCATGTGCGCGGAAGAGATTTGACAGTTTGTCCAGTACGTACCCGATACTCCGGCGGATCGAGATTAGCGATGCTTTGAGAGAGAGTGGGAGTAAGGAAGGGAAGGAAATGATACCCACGACCGGTAACTGCATCTGGAACTCAGCAACGAATATTAATAGGAGGACAGGGCAGACAGAAAGGATTCAGATGGGACAGCTCATGATGACGTAAAACAAACCAGTCGAGAGCTGTGGAATAAGCAGGTACACATATCTAGCTATCTAGCTATTGTTGTTTTATCCAAGGAGAGCGCTTTACAATGCCACTTGGAAAAAGCTTTACGGAGGAGGGTTTCTGGATGGATCATGTAGTTAATGCTCGCTTGCTTGCTTGGGCGGCGTTAACTTGATACACCATAAACTGAACGCCGATTCAGCCATGCTTTTGTTTTTCTTCCTCTCTTGCTTGCTCTTTTTTTCTCGTAGAACCTACACCGCCCATACCCAGGAGTGTCATGATCATTGTCAAATTATATGCCTTCCTTCGGCCAGTAAAAAAAAAGAATCCAGTAAAAATCAAAAGTAAGCCCGAAAAAAACTTGTAAAAAAAACTTACGAAAAAAAAAGAGCCAATAAAAAGGACTAAAAAAAACAGCACCAAGGAGAAGACAAAAAGGAAAGGGAGAAAAAAAAACAGCACCAGGAAACAGTACGAGAACAAGCCGGAAAGCTGCTACGGGCTCTCGTCCCTCTCCTTCCGGCTCGCATACTCGCTCTCCCTCATCTCCCGTTTCCTCTCCTTCTTCTCGCTCTGCTTCCTCCAATGGCTGCCCTCCTCATAATCCGCCGAAATCTTCAGCGCATTCCTCAGTCTCTCGCTCTCCGCTACAATCACCACCAATCAGCATCTCCACAACAACAATTGAAGAAAAAAACCCCGAACAGGGGGTTGGAGGTAGCATACCAAGCTTCGCGGCCGCCAGCTCATGCACCTGGTGCGGCTTGAGACCCCTGGCATTGACACCGCCGGCACCCCTCTTCATCTCATCCAGCAGCTTCACGCGGAGCTCATCGACCTGTCTCTCGATCTCCTCCTCGTCGACCCTGTTGACATTCCCACACATGGACATTAGCTCTCCGTCCCCCTCCACCAATAGAAGTAGCTAGCAAGCACTTACTCCTCATCCTCGAGCTTATCCCTGAGCTCCAAACACTTGACCTCCACCTCGCGCTTGCGGTCGTGCTCCAGGATCTCCTTGTCGGGCTGCCGCTGCTTGTATGTCTTGAACGAGTCGTAGTCCTTTGGGTAGGGCGCGATGTTGTCGCGTGGCTTGAGGTGCGAGAGGTTGCGCTGCACGTAGCCGGAGGTGCCGGAGCCGCGGGGCGTGGTTAGGCCGACGTTGGATGACATTTTTTTCGTTTTTACTAGCTTTCTTCTGTCTGGGGATTTCGTTCGGCGGTGTTTAAGTTTTGGGTAGAGCTGGGAATGGCTGGCGGAGGTTTCCGTGATAGTTGGGGCTGGAGACTCGTACAGTGTTTGGCTGGTATTGAAGGAGGGGAGTTACCCGGAGATCATGGAGTGTCACTCGGAGGGTTTATATATAGGATCTGCATGAGTATTTTAAAATAGGATTGATTGGATACGTAAGTTAGTATGAGATTGGTTGGTATATTCAGAGTTGGTCTAGAAGTAACGGTTTAGATATGCTACCTTCGCTCGGAATTTCCTCGTTTCCGGAGAACATGAGAGTATCGTATAATTATATCAATAGCTGATAATTAATGTCCGTGTGGGAAAACCAGTTGTGATCCCTAACCTGTAAACTCAGCGCCAGAAATGATGTGGGTTGATAAGTAGTGCAGATACCACTCAAAAGTACTTTTATATCACGGGATTCCACAGCTATGGAAGTGATACTGAAATTCCATGTACTGTGGTTGGTAATGACGGGTATCAGGCCTAGATTATGTGCCTCACAAGTCTAAGCCCAACCAGCTTAGCACCCACCCCACAAAGCACAGCCAGATCCCATCGTTAGGATTAAGCATTCGAGTTCAGCACTTCTTCTCGGGTTGTACCTGTTACTAGAACCCTTCGCCGCTCTAGCCAACATACAATATTCCTACCCATCCAAGAAGTATATAAGTAGATGGTTCAGGATATACAGTGCCGACGGAATAAACCAGCTCTGCACTCAGAGATGAGAACCTTCCTGGAAGCGCAAAACATCCCTGGGGCTGCCATAGTAGTCAGTGACCTGCATGCAGTGCTATTGCTCGGCATAGCCGTATCATCGTCGAGTAGCTCTACCGCGGCTCTCACACCGGGCTGCAGTTGGTGGAAAGCGGGATAAGCGATACCCGAGCTCTTCGATATTCAAATAAACTACGTTATTAATATAGGTAGCACAATAAGAAGTGAGTTTATAGTGGGCTATGTCATAGAGTAGTCCCGGGCTAGGAACGATAAAATCCCAGGATTGAGAGTCGTCGGCCAAACAACCAAGTGCGTGAATGTTCCGTAACGAAGAGGTCCCCCCACCTCCGCCAGTACCACCGTCAATATTATCAATCAACCACTTACTCAATGTGTATAGTTTATCACAAATTGGTGTCAGACCTGAGAATGTTCGTCCCTTCAGTAATTTCAAGGGTAAATCTTGATCAGAGCTCAATGATGCAAGAATTTCTCAGTCTTCACTTATCACTCGGATTGTCAAATACATTAAATATGGCTCAAACGTTCACTAAAGGCAATTTTCTAGTGTAGCCTGGGAGTACATACTTTACAACACCATAACCCTCTTAATTTAACTTTTTTCTATAATTTTGTAAATAAGATTATTTATGTTAGAAATTCTCAAAACATATCGTTCTCATAATAAATCTGGTGAGGCCTAATGACTTCTCAAGCCATATTAATCTCAACATCTTAACTAGAAGGTATCGATACAACACCACACACACACGCTGGGCGTCATGCCTAGAAACTACAACCTCCAATCGTCTCTATACAACTGACAAAAGAAACAATAAGGAGACATAAACAACTAAAACGCTACGCCAAATCTGTCCGTAATTAACACTACGTGACTATGCAAACAAACAGCGTAAAAGGCGTCTACTTCTGCTTCTTCGCCTTGTTCATCCTGTCGGTCGCTCTCCTCTTGAGAATCTCTTCTTTCTTCGCCTGCAACTCCATCTGAATATCCTCAATTTCCCTGATCGGATCATCTGGGACTCCCAGAGAGCCTGATTGAAAGTTCTCCGAAGATGCAGATTTGTGGAGCTCGCGGGCTGCAGCTCGGCCAACTTTATTCTTTAGACGCTGTTGAAGCCATTGCTTGCCGGGAGAGTTAAAGAACCCAAGAGAGACGAAGATGCCAATGTGAACAAAGAACTAAAAGATCAGATATCAACTAATTTGATTTTTTATATGGATCAGAACAAAACCTACGTATGCTCTAGACCACAATTTCAACGAATCCTTAAAGTCAAGGATGATGAAAGGGGCAACAATGTACGCAAATGAGAATTGCGTCACTAGAAGACCAAACACATCGTAGATCTTCTTGTATGGACCATCTGACTTTTGATCAGCAGTCATGAAAAATGGTCTTACATGCCGGCGGAAGTCTTTGAGCACATTGTTAGCTTTTTGTTATGCCAATCAGACGGAACACATACATTTTGCAACGGTTTGTACAAATGACGCAGTAATGAACGTCAAGTAGTACCCAGGCGAGATTCCATGCCAAATAGCAGAAGTCCCGAAAGTGGCCATAGAGCTCCTGAAACCTGGTTTCTTGCCCTTTGGTGTGACTCTCAGGTAGACATAGTTCTTGAGCCATTTATTTGTGTTCATGTTCCAGTTTTCCAGATACGCACGGGTGTTTTGGGCGGTCTCAAGCGCAAGCGGCCCAACGTTGGTCAATCTATCCCAGCGTGGCTGTTTTTTCTCGTCAAGACCATTGTATCCGAGACCTGAGAGGATACAAGCACCTTCGGTGAGGTACCAAGCACCATAGTACTTTAGACGTGCAGTGAAGCTAAGAAGGTAGATGTACCATATTCTGATAATATAATTAGTATCAAGCATATATCACCCTGCCTGCAAAGCCTTACCTTTTGAAAATACCATATTCCAGGAATTGATCGCTGAGAGCAAACTCTGTTGTATACCAACTCGAGAACTTTAAGAACAGGAAAATCCATGCGAGTCCCTTCACCGCCTTTATTGTCGCAGGAATAGAACTACTGGGAATCTTTCTTTTCCTCTTTGTTCCGCCCCTTTTGGTATCTGGAATTATGACGTCAAACATGCTGCAGTCGATCCATCTGCGATATTCGGCGAAGTCGAAGGCTGGACCCGCGAATAGAGAAGGGAAGAACAACTTTTTTGTGGAATCAGCAAAGTTTCTCAAGCATCAGGGCTAAATACTGAGAAAACATACCACATATCCGGCGTAGTCAAGCAGACTCGGCATCTCCGGTAGCGCGCGATCCTGTTGAAATTCAGAAAGCTCTGCTTTTGGCAGCCGTCCGTCATGCACAGACCAACAAAATGCCGTCAACTTGAATACCGCACATCATTAGCTTCCCCACTCCCGAGATTTCAGACAAATAGAGCAGACCTTCATCACTAGCACCATCTGCGCGCCCGTAACATCCACCACCCCAGGTTGGGGGTACATCTCCCGGTGTATATGCCCCACTAGCATATGGCCCATCAGAAATACGAAAGAGACCCATGGCATATACGGGCCCTGCACGAATGCTGCAATACAGTACGCGCCAGAAGAAGCGATCAAAAGCGTTCTGATTCCGGACCAAAGAGAGAATACACCGATTAGGTAGAATAACGACACTCTATTTGCATGGTTCAGTCAGCACCATGCATATGCAACCGTGAGTTCCTGCCTTTTCTCCTCCCCTTCTAGAAGAGACTATATCTAGGACTCAATTGACAAAATAGACATACCCTATCATGAATAGGTTTTTTTTCGCAGGTTCTGTGTCCGGAAGCCTTTTTAAGACGCCCGCGAGCGGGTAGGAAAGTAGAATTGTGAATATAAGTTTGACTATCGTGCTCATATATTATTAGTTACTTTTCTCCATTGTTTGCCTGAAGACCAAAAGTCCTACGTACGTTCATCTTTCGGCACACCTATGGTATCCTGAAGCCAAACGAATGCTGCAGCGCACAAGTCAAATTAGGACATTACTTCCTCCAGAAACAGTATTTCGAAACTCACGATAGTCTATGAAAGGTATCATTGCGATAAGTCGTGTAGGGGAGAAGAAGAGTACAAAACTCCTCAAGACATAGAAACGGGGAGAGTCCAAAAAAATGTTGGGACAGCTGAATCAGGGAACGGGTAGGGCAGGATGTGTCCAGTGCTACTAAAACCCGCTACGTATGACGGAAGGTTGAGCTGCTGCAGCCGACACCGTGCAGATCATGGGATTATTATGTCAGCTGGCGTACAACACGTGCGTTTCATGTGGGGTCACTCGTGGTTCCAACCGCCACGCCTGAATCGTGAGTGACTGCTACAGCTAGGAATATCAATATCAACCTTACATGTATGTGGCACCAGCTCCAAAGCCTCTTGGTATGACTATATGTATGTGGCTCCAGGTTAGGCGCCCCCACAGCTGTCTGGATGGGGGCTCTACCATAGGGACCTCAAGTAAGACAGGCGGGAAGACTGGACGAACTGGGTTATTCAATGATGATTAAGGTAAACCTTGGTTACAATATTCCAAGGAGTTTCTGGAAGAGAAATTACACGCTAGAATTAACTGGGCCCGAGAACTTATATTTTTGGCATTGACTGGAGGTATCATTTTACAACAAGCGGACCCAGGGTGTCTACAGTCCACATCTAGACGCCTAAGACCATCAAATATCTACTGGATGGGTCCCAGCGAATACTCAAGAGACAAAGAGTTGCATGCATGTTACTAACTAGTGCAAATTCAGAACCAGGGTCTCGGTCTATTCAGCTGAGGAAAGATTTAAGATGCCGAGAAGGACACGCTGTGAACAGACTTCCACCATAGATTGTTTTTCCAAAGAAATTTCTTTTTTTTGGTGATATGAGCTCTTAGATGCGGGACCGAAACAATAAACATACTAAAGGTGAAAAAAGTTTTAAAACCCAGGGCATAAGATAAATCCCCTTACGCTCCACTATACCGCTCTTTATTCAGATACAAGTACGTAATAGCACAAAAAGAAAAAAACGGTGAACAGCGAAAGAAAGATATCGAATCCCCCGACAAGCATTCCCCGCCAAATACCCCGCAGTTTTGCTTCTTCGCCACATACCTCTCCCCACTCCCCACCCCCTTCACCCACCGGTTCTTGTATTACTACGTTAACATCAAAACCGTTGATCTTGCACGCAGACCGGCCCAATCGATTATTATGTTTAGAAGCACCTAAGAGATTGTCAGCATATGTAGTATATTTGGCAAAACACAGAATAACATACTTGCGGTGGACGATGGAAGGACCACTCTCGTCGTACTCCTGCTTTGAGATCCACATCTGCTGGAAGGTGGACAGAGATGCCAAGATAGATCCTCCGATCCAGACAGCTGTGATAAAATTAGCTCATCAAGGTCTTTCTATAGACAGGAGATTTTTAAACTTACAGTATTTCCTCTCAGGGGGGGCGATGATCTTGACCTTCATTGAAGAAGGTGCAAGAGAGGTGATCTCCTTCTGCATACGGTCGGCAATACCAGGGTACATAGTAGTACCACCAGACATGACAATATTTCCGTACAAATCCTTACGGACATCAACATCACACTTCATGATTGAGTTGAAGGTGGTGACGTGGATTCCGCCAGATTCGAGACCAAGAACAGCAGGCTGGAAGAGAGCCTCAGGGGCACGGAAACGCTCGTTACCAATGGTAATGACCTGTCCATCGGGAAGCTCATATGACTTCTCCAAGCTAGATGACTGCGAGGCGGTCTGGATCTCCTGCTCGAAGTCAAGGGCAACGTAACAGAGCTTCTCCTTAATGTCACGGACAATTTCACGCTCGGCGGTGGTGTTGAAAGTGTAACCACGTTCAGCAAGAATCTTCATGAGGTAATCGGTAAGATCACGTCCAGCCATGTCTACACGAGAGATAGCGTGGGGAAGAGCAAATCCTTCGTAGATGGGGACAACATGAGTGACACCATCACCGGAGTCAAGAACGATACCGGTGGTACGACCGGAGGCGTACAGAGACAACACTGCCTGGATAGACACGTAGAAAGCAGGGGCGTTGAAGGTCTCGAAAACAATTTGTGTCATCTTCTCACGGTTGGACTTGGGGTTGATAGGAGCTTCAGTCAAGAGAACAGGGTGCTCCTCAGGCGCCACTCGCAATTCGTTGTAGAAAGTGTGATGCCAGATCTTCTCCATGTCGTCCCAGTTGGTAACGACACCGTGCTCGATGGGGTATCTCAGAGTAAGAATACCACGCTTAGACTGGGCCTCATCACCGACATATGAATCTTTCTGACCCATACCAATCATGATACTAGTGAGAAGAAGGTATTGTTAGCTTTATCCAATCATGATGTACTCGATATTTCACTGCTCTACACCCCCAGATTGATCGCCCATTATTGCGCATCAATTAGAGCAAAAGGGGTCTAGAGCTGGGGTAGCGAGAAAGGGATTCTGGGAGTTTTTACCCATGATGGCGAGGACGTCCAACAATGGATGCTATCGAGTGGTCAGCGAATGTTGTGTTGTACAAATAGCGGGGTAGTACAAGACACAAGTCACTACACCACTGGGATAAGGGATAGAACTTACGGAAAACAGCTCTTGGAGCATCGTCACCGGCGAAACCGGCCTTGCACATACCAGAACTGTTCACAGCGTCAGCATTAAAAGTTCCATTGAATCCGATCGGGTTGTGGGCTGTAAATCATTGCTTACCCATTGTCGATAACGAGCTGGAAACGTTTCAGATCATGTTAGCTTGAATTGTATCACATACACCTTTACAACCCCACTTCAAGTCCCAACAACGGACAACACATGGAGTTTAATGGGTTCACATACGGCGGCAACTTCTTCTGTTGTTCACGATGAAAGTTAGCATAATGGATCCCAAAAAGAAGCTATCATCTCGAGATGGATGAAGATGAACAAAATTCAGGGGGACTTCTACGGACCTTCCATTGTTGTTGATGAAAAAGGTCTATGAGATTAGAAAGTTTAAGGAATTCGTGAATTACGTGGGTTGATAGTTGTAGTTGTGGTGATAGAAACTGAGATGGAGTAGCAGGGGGGAACTGGCTTCTCCGGGATGGGGGGGACGATGATGGCTTTTGTAGATGGAAGATAGATGGGTGTTCGGGAAGAGAAGAGAAAAGGGGAGAGAGGAGGAGGAGGAGAGAAAGGGAGAGGCCCGCACGCAGTTGCCCACGCACACACCCACCACCACCACGATATGCCCTGTCTCCGCCCTTCTTCCGCCCCCAACACGCCAGCGCCATATTATGGAGGCTTGGCAGACAGTAGTATTAGGGTTTCTTACTTCACAAGGAAGTCGAGTTTCCTTCTTTGTCATCGATGATGAGGACCAAGCGCTGATGCGGATATCTTACTGGGCAATTACAGATACCTATTCGCCGCCACCATACATGAATTGTAGAGGTCCTATTTTTACATTTTACGAATGTTCATCTATGGAAGTATTCATGGTGTTGTAAAAACTCTTGATACTGAACATGTTTCGCCCTATGCCCCAGGTGACACTGTAATGGTTCACGGAATGTAAGCTTTTACCTTCACCGTACGCGCGGTCAACTCGGATTCTTGGCATATTCCGTTCCTGGTGTAGTCTGTGTGCTGAATGATGGATCTGTGCTTCTAGAGAGTAAACTGAGTACCGGTAGAGACCTCCCGAGCAACGTCAGTACCGTGCGCGGCTCGGCCGCGTTTCCCAGAGCGTTTATGACTTATTTGGTTGCTGTGAGTAGGAACGAATGAATCATCTTGCTGGAGCTGACGACAAGAACGAACAAAGCTGTCGTGTAAATGGAATATCAATACTGCCATGAAACATTGATCTTCTTGGCTGTTTTCTTGGTATACATAGCTGGTTTGAGGCTGAAAACTTGATGGCGGGGTAAACGCGGGCATGGTGGGGTTTTAACTATTTCGCAATTCTAAATGCAACGAATGTCAAGCTTCATGAAAGTTGTTTGAGAAGTGCTAAAAACATCACAACGTTTCAACATTGTTTTAAAATCAAAATTTGATAATTTAAGGACATAAATTACCCTTTGGCCATCTTTATCAATGGGGGTAGAATCTCGGAGTGTACTCCCGAAGTGTCTTTTTGTTTCCAGCTATTTCGGCGTTGCTCCACAATCTTTATTCAATAAGCCCCACGAAAAAGAAAGGCCTACAACTGCGACAACCATCAGCAAAGCTCACTGATATCAAACACAAACCACCACTACCACCACCACCAAATCTCCTCAATAGATCAGCATGTCGGATATGTCAAAGCTTCTCTCCTGGGGCATCGAGAATTCGGTGCCTGGTGCACCCGAAGATAAAAGAACCGAGTTGGTATGTCACGACTTGAACCTGTTCTTTTTTCCCTTCTATCCGCGTGTTCTCAGACTAATTGTAATTAACATTCATCGTTAGGATCCTGCTCTTCTCGCCAAGCTCTTTGGCAACCAAAAGGATGACTCCACCATGATGAAAGAATCGATGGCCGCAATCCTCGACCCCGAGGTACCCCTCCCCGACAAAGAAACCGCCTTCGATAACTTCGAGATGCTTGTCGAGAATCTCGACAATGCCAACAACATCGACAATCTCAAACTCTGGTCCCCGTTGATCTCTCAGCTCTCTGCACCTGAGTTTCAGCTCCGCTTAATGGCCGCTTGGTGCATTGGGACTGCTACTCAGAACAACATCAAGTCCCAGGAGGCCATGCACAAGCACGGTGGTGTTCCAAAAATCGTAGAACTTATCCTGAAAGACCCGGAGGAGAAGGTCAGAACCAAAGCTGTATATGCACTCAGCAGTCAGGTTCGCAACTATGAGCCGTCATTGAAGCAGGCACTGGACTTGCTCCCAGAAGAGCTTGCGCTAAAGAAGGATCTCGACGCGGAGGATATGGAGTCTATCGACGAGCTGGTCCGGAAATTAAGGGAAAGAGTGAAGAAGGTTATTAGTGCATAAAAGGAATTGCGGAAATAATAATCATTATTGGTAATTTTATTCTGTTTTTCTCTCTTTTTTTCCCCTTCGTGTTTTGTATATAGTTTTTTTTAGCTATCAGTTACAAATGGATGCATGTATCGTATTTACAAACAAAAATAAGAGTGATGCCGGACTTTGATCAAGTGATTCACTTTTAGTGACATTAGCTCAGTACATATTTTATTTGGTCGCTGCGTCATGTCAAGAAAAGTTGAGGCTCTTCAAGTTGTCGACGACACCTCTCTAACCCAACCTCATATCGCGACCGCTCGAGCTTCATCACCCCCGACACTCAACTCCCGCGAAGATGCCTCCCATCAGAACCAGTAAATCTTCTAAAACCCCACCGGAGGGGTTTGACGACCTCGAGGACATGCTTCTCGAGTTTGCCAATAAGATGAAGGATGGTAAGCTAACCCCCCTTATTCACTCGCGGTTTTTCGCCCCTGTTCTAGTACTTTTCTTCACCCGTGTGCTCATCCCCACCTCTACTTCGCAGCGAGACCAAATGGACCCAGACTAATTCTGAAACTGTCGCGTCACTATAGCCGGAAACGCGCCTCATGAAGGAAAACGGAAGAATGAAGCAACATGGGAAATTTTCAAGATATCTCACCAACGTAAGCTCCGCCACTTACTCTCACCTCCGCGCCGTGAGATACAGGGAGCTGAAGATTGAAATATAGGTTCAAGGTACATCTATGATCTATATTACAATAAAGAGGCCATCTCCAAAGAGCTCTACAACTATTTGTTGAAGAATAACTATGCCGATGCCATGCTCATAGCGAAATGGTAAGACAGTGTCCTTCCTCTTACTATTATCCGAGATCTAACGTAAACTAGGAAGAAACAAGGCTATGAGAAATTATGCTGTCTCCGATGCATCCAGGCGAAAGAAAACAACTTCAACGCTACCTGCATATGCCGGGTACCCAAGGCACGACTTGGAACTGAGCAGCAGACCGTCGAGTGTGTGAGCTGTGGTTGTAGGGGATGTGCTTCAGGCGATTGAATACAGCCACGGATGCATGAACGATACCCCAGGAATACTGATAATTATGAAGGATATGTGGCACGGGTTTATGGAGGTGAGCTTGAGAGTTCGTTAAAAACAGGGATGTCCCAGAACAAAAATGAGGACTTGATTCTTATTTGTGTACCATAGCTAGCGAGCGAACGTCTTTTCGTCAATCCAAATTGGAATATTGTCATTTCTTAAGTGGTATCCTATATCTTTTGAAATTGCCGTTTAAACTTGGTAGAAGGTCCAAGGGATTAATATCTATCTAGCTCCCACGAACACGTATTTCGCAAGAACACTCCTTACTCGTACACTAAAAATTATACAATTCACATATATACTTTTAATTTAATAACGTTTCCAAGCACGACCACTATTGCATGGACATGCCATTGAAAACATGAACTTAGCGCGCTTTTTACATACACAATAGCAGTCGCATTCATAAACAGCATGCATCTACGAATAAATACTACACGTAGTTTAGACTTATGCGCACAGGGCCAAAGATCCTCCAACTTACACCCTTCGTTATAAGACAATCCCAAAGTATAAGAGAATCGAAACCTTTACTCATAGTGTTCTCTGCTTTATATGACTATAAAAAGGCCCAATTAATCAAATGATTCCGGCACAGAATTTTAACCCCGAATAGTAAGTACAACATATAGCGTAAAATCCAAGAATTTCTCTAGAGTCTAGATTGTACGTGCCTCTAAATCGGACAGAACATCTATATCTTATGAAATCGAACCCAGGTTCACACAGATACACACAAGTTGATTAGGTATAGTGGCTAGGGTGCGTTAATAGGCTTATTTACAATTACCCAGATTCTCTTCATATAACTACATGTAGTACAGTCTTCATTATAACAGTACTAAGAAGCCAGTACATATTAGACGTTTTCCTTGATACCCTAAGTGAGTTCAACATGAGAGGTTATACGTGAAAATCTAGCTATACTTTCTTTGGAACCCGTTTCAAATATTATATTACACAAGAGGGTGGCTGGTGGGTTCGTGGTTGCAGGGTTAGGTGTCCCTCTAGTCTGCTTTGCCTTCATGATCACTCCCTTAAGTATTACTTCCCAGCCTTTAACAGTTGTGTGGGCGAGGTAGTCTAGTGGTAGACGCCTCGCCTTGCTATACCGCGTGGGTTGAGCCACCATGACCATCCGGAGGTCATGGGTTTAACTCCGGGGGTAGGGGTGTACGGCCTGTAACGGGAGTAGAGTTCAATATCGCGAATTAGAGCCTGTAGCCCGTGAGGGGCGTATGGTCACAGCATCACTTTTTGTGTATATTTATTGCCCAATTTCCTTTTTTTTTTTTTTTTGAGGGGCCTGAGGGCCTTAGTGGGGGGTATGTGTGATATCGATTGGAGCTCTCTCTAGCCGGCCTACAATTGTAGATTGAACGATCTTAGCTTCTCGCTCACTATTTGGCCAATCTGTCTCCCATGTCAGGGCCGGATGTAGCCTACGATTAGGCCGGTTTAGCGAAACTCTTTCAGGCCATATTCTTTTATAGTATAGTAGATAGATAGAAAGAGGATTCTTTCACCCAATTTACAGCGGCCTCGGTTTATTAAGATCATAGATGCTTCGTTTCCTTTGCTACGTGGAGTTGCTAGACGTCGAGTGATCTTTTGTGTTTCCACACCGTCCCGATCTTCCCGAAATTGAAACACTGTCAGACCCTTCTCGTGAGAGATCGATAATAAGTATATCGCAAGCGATCCTCCGTTAGTCATATCACACAGCTATTAAAATCCCCAAATTAAAGATCCGAAAGCTACAAATCCAGCGCAGAGAGACTGTTTGGTGTGATAGTGGTAAAAGATGACCCGCAGCTATATACGGAGAAAACAAACTTTAATCCGGCCATGCTTCTGGAACGCGTTACCAGTGTAGATTTAAGGCTTGTATAAATATAGCAAGCACATAAGGTGAGCTGGGCAAGCGGCCACCATATATATGATCCGGCCATAACTCGACTTCCTACCAATAATATTGAGCAGCCTAGCTTTTTACGGCGGCCCTGAGAAGACATCTACAGCAAAGCCCCGGATTGGCTGTATAACATACCTGGTAATTCTTTTATCTCTTTACTTTCTTATCAGCAATTATCCGTATAGTTTGTAGTCTTTTGAGGTAAATACCTTTCGAATCGAGTGAGATTATATAAGTTGTCTGTCATCAATCAAGCCTCAACTTTGCTGCGAGATATAACGCTTCAAGACTGTTCACAGTTTGATTCTTCTCTCTCTCTCTCTCTCTCTCTCTCTCTCTCTGACAGTAACCGCCTAAAGCCTCACATCGTAACATGTACAAGCTCGTTGTGTTTCCGAATTATGGATCAATTAGAGCGTCGGTGATGAGAGAACGTATGGTAGGGCGGAGCGAGGTGTTTGTTGGCAGTTTTGAGGACAATCTTTAGGAAGGCCATTGCTTTCTGTGTCGAGCCTGAAGGGCTGGGTATATTGGTTATGGTTATAAATCTGGTGAACCAAAGGGAGGAACCGGGAACGGGTGGTAGTGAGTGTATGATATGCTGTTAAAAAAGAGCATAAATTAGGACACTCAATTATTCTCCATTGGATAGGGTTAGTTAGGGACGTTATTTAGGCATAGCTTTGTTGTCGCGCCGTGGCCTAAGTGATGTTAAAACCTCTTGGCCATACCACTGGGGCTACCACGGATTCCTCCACCACCTGAAGAGGTTCGTCGTTCGAGCTGCTCTACCCATCATGAGAAATTATCTACTGAGACGTCTCGATTACAGGGAGAGTATCGTTGTCTCAAACCAATAAAGTTGCTGCGGTTAAAGTTTAACCTTTACCCTGGCTTGCCAAGAGAATACTCCTGGCGGAGGCCCTGTATTGACATTTGAGATTCTTAAGTAAACCATAAGTGGTCGGGAAGCTGCATGTCCATTATCCATTATGTACTGGATTATGGTTTTTTTTTCAAACGCTTGGGCATTTGATTGGTTGAGAGTGAAGGATCCTAACCCATATAGCAACCAAAAATTTGGAATTAATGAATTAAACAAAAAAAAAAAGAAAGAAAAAAAAAATTTAGAGCAGGTTGCGAACATGACACTGGCATGCCCTGTATGAGGGGATCAATTATACTACGGGAGGTGGAGCTGTAAATTTATTGAGAGGGAGGAAGCACTGTAGATGGAAAGTAGAACATAACGATGGCTTGAATTGACTGAGAGCAACAATCAATTATTAACTGGGAGCTGGCACTGGAGTTGGCCATATGATCAACCACAGGAGCTGGCAATTGCAATTGTAATCAATGAGCGAGTATGAGAGCTGGCTATGGGCAACTACTAAAGCTGGCTATGGGCAACAGGCTACGGGTAACATTGGCTCAGCCTTCAAGTATTTACTACATGGAGGTGGGAGAATTCTCAGGAGGTGGGAGACATCGCGGTCGCGAGGTGGGCTACTACTAGTAGGTAGATACTGTACTACGCATGTAGGGGTAAGTCTATAGATACATGTAGTGACCGTGGTTGCAACCACTATACAGACTTACACCCCAGTACAGGAATAGTATTAATCAACAGCCAAGCTTTCTTCACGAAATATCACTCGCGGTATTCGCATATCTTGTGAAGTTTTCGGTGCGGAATACTATGACTGTTTTCTTGGTTATTGCTATAAGACGGGCAAATTACAGAGCTTTATATACTCAAAATAGGTGGTAAGAACATGTTATAGACCCTCACAAGCTGTAGCCATGGAAAATGGCCCTTGTGGCAAATATAAAATCTGCGAAATATAGCTCCATGAAAAATACAAACTCCAAGAAAAAGTCCAACCCGGAGATTTAACTCTCGGGCCTGAAAGCCTAAAATAAACACCTTGTTCAACACTGTGGGACTATGTCCTGGAGACATCGGGGCTCAAAGTCATTGATAAGTGTCGATTCCCAGCGCCTCCACCGCACCTCCTTAATTATCCTCTAGAGAAATCAAAATCAACATAGCCTCCGGCCCAGCCGATTCACTACAATAAAAATAATAAAAGGTACTGCAGCCGCTTATTGATTAATGTGCGCTACTACCTTCTCGGCCATCCTGGTGTTCATATATTATAGGTAAGCTTGGAGGGGTCTTTTTATAGTCACTCATACATGATTGTAGTGTAATTTTACAGGCCCTCTTTTACCTCCAAATACATGATCTAGTACCTCGTAAGATTACTCCAAATCCCATTCTATTTCAAGTGATCGATCGTATATACCCGTTTACCTAGCTCCCTAGTAAGTAAAGCAGAATCGCGAAGGTTTACCTTTATATCAAAATCCTGGAATTTCGGTCGCGCGTCTGGATAAGAGAAGCATAGAATTTTATTATTGAGGACTGTAATGAGCTGGCAGTGTTAATTTAGCGCAACTGCCCTATAGTACAAATTAGAGCCCAACGAGTATGCGAATTATTTAAACTTGCTTTCTTGCCCTCTCTCAAGAGAAATGAACGATTAATCCGCCTAAAATCCGCGTACACACCCCTTGTAATCGTCATCATCATCATCATCCCCCCAAGACTCACTTTCCTCGTCATTTTCATCCTCGTCATTTTCATCCTCGTCATTTTCATCCTCGTCCTCCTCGTTCTCTTCCTCTTTCTTGCCCTTCTCCTTCTCTTCCTCCTCATAGTAATCATCATCTTTCTCCTTTCTCTTCCTCTTAGTCCCCTCTCCTCCCTCATCCTCATCTTCCCATTCCTCACCTTCCCCCTTGAACAAGTTACTATCAACCATTACTTGCTCAGTACTGGCTTCTAGTTCTTCCTCTACCTTCTTCAAGAGATCACCCATCTCCTCGAATGTGTTTTTAATAGGCAAGGTACCTAGAATTTCGCCTCTCAGTGCTGCTTCGCTGGTTCTCACCAAAAGCTTTCTTTCTTTCATTGCTTTCCGGATAGATTCCGGGATCGGCCATGGCTTTTTAGTAAAGCCAGTTCTCTTTCCACGGCGGGTTGCGGGTGCAACTCTTTTATTCATAGTTTGAAATCTCTTAACCACACTTAAACTCTTCTTAATGAATGTGCTCGATGCATCATTGATCTTGCTATCCAGAGATCCAAAACTCCGTAGTAGCTCTTGGTGAACCATATGACGTTCTATCTCTCCCGAAATTCTTGTCTTTCTTGCAATGTTTAGAATACATTGGCCTTTGAGAAGGCCCTGAAGTTCTTTTAGGCGGATTGAAACTTCATCCGTGGGTTTCTCGCCCACACTACCGTCGGACTCTTCACTAGTTTCATCCTCGGATTTTTCGTCAGTCTTCTCGTCTGTGTCTCCATCACCAGTGTCATCCTCGGATTCTTCGTCAGTGTCATCGTCAATCTCTTCACCAATTTCATCCTCAGACCCTTCGTCGGTCTCATCGCCGGTTCTTTTCTTTTTACCAGTTTCCCAAACATATGTGGTATTTTTGTCAAAAAATCCAATGTAACGCAACTCCTGAGCGAGTCTTTCATCTGTAGGCCCATCCGCAACAAGATCTAGCTCTTCTAGGCCTGGCATAGTGGTTGTATATGCATTTGGACCCGGCTGAGAGCTTGAAAGATTATT